CAGGAGTCTGCCACATGTTCACGTCTGTGTATGTGCACACATGTGGTCATCCCACCCATCTAGCACCACATGCATTGTCACATACACCCAGACGAGGCTTTACAGAGGTGGTGTTTATAAAGTCATGGCTTTTGGGACGATCAGCTGTCACACTGCTGTCCGCTGGGTCTGAAACTGTAGCAGGTAAGTCACTTTTATCTGCTGCAGCTCTTACTGGCACTAGTGCATGTTGAGTGTAACTCTGCTGGATGGCAAATATGGAAGCAGAACAACTCTTTGAAAATGCACATTTATTGTTTTTTATTATAGATATTAATAAATTATGTAAATTTAAAAAAATACCCATGAGATATAGAAATAGAAGATATTAACATCATATAACATAACATTGATTTGCTATTTTATAACATCATAAAATAGCAAATCAATCTGTTTTTTTAACCCTTTGATGCATAATGGTCACTACAGTGGAGAGGTACTTAAAATTGTTATTTATTTATTTTTGCTATTAAGCACAGCTGTTGAAGACTTTATTGCATTTGAACCCCTCCATTTGTACTTCAGTAAGTCAAGCCAACATATTTCATGTTCAGATTGCACACTTTCCACTGAGGTGGACATGTAATAAATTATTTGTAAATTAAATTTTACAAAAAATATGTCAATATGAAATTTGTTTCATTCACATCTAAAGATGAATGAAAAAAAAGTAAAAAACAATCATGGTTGAACATTTCATAATTCATGCATCAAAGGGTTCATATTCATTTATTTTACTGTTACCAGTATATTTGTATAATTACTGTAAAGTAAACCCAATTGTTTTGGGTATCTCTATTCTGCACTTGCATACAGAAGTGCTTTTAAATTTCCATTAATTTTTTTTATTACATTTAAACTTTAAGAGTTTCTCATCTGCATGGTAGTGGTGCACTAGACTATGTTATCAGTTTTTGAAGAAATTTAGTAAGAACCTGCAAATGTGTTTTGCTAACATCCAAACCAAAGGATGGTCCCAAATTGACTAAGATGAAAGGGCAATAATTGACTTTTGCCATTGATGATTGCATTAGACACTGTTCACCATTCCTAAACATAAAATAAACAAGACATGTGATCATTTCTATTCTAATCATTATACTAATTATCATTGCTGATTGTTAAAGCCAAACACCAAAATTTCTTAATTCTGAAATGTTTCATTTTATGTTGTCTCTTTTTTTAAGTATTACAAGAAAAACTTCAATAGAATTACTTAAATGCATTAAACTTCTGCATACTTTATCATCTTAAAGGTTTTGTCCTGATCTTTAAAGTGGCATTATGTAAAATTGATGTGAACCATCCATTCGTTACCTTTTGACGACCTTCTTTTGAAGAAATTAAAATGCGGTCTGACCTTTTGACAAGCTACTGGCTAAAGTGACAGTTTTGAAGTGGATTGCTGATTCTTAAAACTTTTACAACTTTGCAACTACTGCTAAACTAATTTACATACTTTTAAATAGAAGCAAAATTTGCATTTCATACTTTTATAGAATTCTATGGTTATTTGCAGTGAGAAGTGGAGGACCCTATTTGTAGCATCTCCTGTTTAGTGTGCAACACTTTTAATCAGAATCTCAGCCAGAATAACTATTAACTAATTAATTGACAACAGTGAAATTTTTCGTGAAACTAAACTAAATTCTGTTTCTCCAAACTGACATTACTGAAAAAGTGCAAACTAGAAAGTATGCCTGACCTCTCCATAGAAACTCACTCTAAAACATCTAAATGATAACCGGGCAGTTGGCTAATTTGAACGAATTATAAAGTAAAAATATAACTCACCAACATCGTGTATACATGCACACACACACACACACACACACACACACACACACACACACACACACACACACACACACACACACACACACACACACACACACACACACACACACCTTGAAAATATCTTGCTGGTTTAATCCGAATCTTTGAGCCTTTGATCAGTTTAGCAGCTGTGTTTTGGAAATAAATCTTTCTGTTGTCACACACAACTTTATGTTTTATCTTAGATCAGTGGTTCCTAACCTGGGGGTCCCGACCCCCACAAGGGGGCGCCAAAGCCTCTCAGTGGGTCACCAAGACCTCTCCACTTTAAGGGGTTAAAACTTCATTTATTACTTGTTTATAGCCTACATTGTGCTCACATTTTTTCATGAGTGAAAAGTTTACTAATATTAAGACAGGAAATAATTAGTACAGAAAAAGTAACACACTTTTAAAAACATTTTGCTCAGCTCACTGTTTTATTTTCAAGTGTCAAAAGTTCATTAAAGATAGGACTGGTTGATTAATCACAGCATTTACAGTAAATCATCTAGTATAAACAGTATTATACATATTTAAGTACATTTTGCTCAGTGTATTTTTTATGTGTCAAAATTTTATTGAAAGGAATGATTGATTTATCAGTGTTTACAAGAAACAATGTTTTCAGAAAAGTAATACAAACTGTTAAGCACATTATGCTCTGTTTGGTTTTGTTAATGACTTTGTTCTGTACTGGAGCCTACTATTACTGCTATCTGTTGAATCAAAGCATATTAAAATGTGCTTGAATAATTTTATCATTTCTTAATAATGTTTGTACTGGAAGAGAGAATGGGAGGGGGTCGTCAAAAATTTTACTGGTAAAAAAAAAGGGGTCCCTTGGGAAAAAGGCTGGGAACCACTGTCTTAGATAATACACAACCTGCAAATACAACAGAGATTTCATTTTAAAAGATGAACCATTTAAGTACATATATATATATATATATATATATATATATATATATATATATATATATATATATATATACACACACATTATCAGAAGCCACTACAACACGATAAAATGTAAAACAAATGAAAGAGTTTTAAAAAGTGTTTTGTGCAACAAATGAAAATATTTTTGTGCTGATTTAGTATTAAAAATGTTTTTTCTTCAGTAATATTAGTTTTGCACTACAATTATTTAAATGTTGTATCTATCAGCTTCCTGAAAGAAAAACAACAGAGCTAGAAGATCCAAACAGTCCGGTAAGAGGCATTAACACACACACACACACACACACACACACACACACACACACACACACACACACACACACACACACACACGTATTGACTGTCCAAACATACAACAAGACAGACAGCAAGTGCAGGTGAGCCATCATTTATAAACCATGTTGCAGTGAACCAAACCCAGAGCCAGCATACTGCTGGAGCTGGATGACCAGCATGTATACTTCAGATGGGAAGTGTCACCTTCCCCATTTCACTTGATCCATGTCTGCTTGGTCCAGAAGAGGATTGAAATTTATCCATGTCCACACCCTGGCTGCAGTGGAAAACAACACCCATAATATCATGTGTGTGTCTACTCTGCAGTGATGCATGAAGGTGAAATCAGCTGATCCTGTTTTCTGTATGCTAATCCTCAATGAATGAATAGAAGTCAATTGAAGCTAGGAAGAAAATCCCACAGCTGTCTGTTCAGACACTCAGGGTCTGATTCTGTCCTGAGGAAATAAATGTATCTAATAAAAAACACACAGCATCAAAAAAAATTATTTTGTGAGCATTAACAACCCAGAAGAAATACCTTCAGCTTGGGCTCCAATTTAGTTTTAAATGGATTTTAATGGAGCCTCAGTTTGGTAATGGACAAATTACTCTTTATGCATGCAAACATCTTTTAAAAAATAAATATCTTTATAAATCTTTTATAAAAGTTATATATATTAGCAAATGTTAAGAATCAGACATGAAGCAATGGAAGCAGGGCTGTTGACCCGATCATGAAAACAGAAGCAAACAATACAGAGTGCTGCTGAAGAAACTAGTGAAGCTGAAGGTTTGTTCATTTGCCGTAGAATTACCCTAACCCTAACTCTAACCCATAGTGGAAGAGACGGGTCCACACTTAAATGGGTTCTCACTGCGGCATGGCTAAAGGGGAGAGTGGTTGTCCTATCACCTGATGGTGAGACGTTCGATCCCCAGGCCCAACAGCCACATGCTGAAGCATCCTTGGGCATGATTCTGAACCTTGAAGTTGCCCCATGGTTGCAATACAGATTTCAGCCCGCTGCTCCTTAAAGATGGGTCAAATATATATTTAAAGTAAAATAAATTTCATGTAATGAAGATCTGCACAAATCGATGCTATGAGCACATGATAGAATTATGTCCTCAATACAAAAATGAGCAGAACAGCCACAAACCAAATAGACACATCAGCCAACAGGAGTGACTACAAGTCCAATTCAGTCACAGACTGTTGTCATCACAGCACAAAAGGTCAGACAAAGGAGTCCCGTAACACACCAAGTTCCTAAAAGAACAAAAAGGTCATTGCAACACGTAATCACACACAGAAAGAAAGCCTAAATAGTCACAATCAGTGTGGTCTACACAAAAAGTCAGTCAGCAACATTCAAAATTATTCCAAAGAACGTGGGCTCAAGACCCAACTCAATCATGATGGCATCCATATACCTGCTGGTAGAAATACACAATAGGCATGTTCCCACAGATGTTACTTTAAATAACCACACACAGTGCAGGTTTAGCTTTTGTAAACACAAGCGTTAAGCTACAAAATACAAGAATGGAGGACCACAAGCCACACACACACACACACACACACACACACACACACACACAGTACTGAAACTTCAACGTTTTCTCTTTTGAGAAGGATTTGGGACATTTCTATTACAACCAAAACCTTCTTATTTCTGCATGAAAGTCTTTGAATGATAAAAGAACTGCCTGATAAATCAGTCAAAGTCCAAGAATCCTGGTGTGTTGTTCATGAATGGCAATAGGACGGGATGACCCAACAGATCAGGGTTCCATTTTCCATAATAAGGGTGTTGCTCCGGTTTATGGAGCTGGTGATGACCGAGGGCAGAAAGCATGAAATGCAGGTCCACCTACATTCAAGCTCTTATCTAATGGTCACCACATTTGGATCATGGCCAACAGAGTGAGCTCCTAGCAGAGGTGTGACCAAGTCATTGCTTTGCAAGTCACAAGTAAGTCACAAGTCTTTTCTGTCAAGTCTCGAGTCAAGTCCAAGTCAAAGACAATCAAGTCCAAGTCGATTCCAACGTCATTGATGTGGAAGTCCAAGTCAAGTCCAAGTCCTTAACTTTGAGTTTTCAAGTCATAATCAAGTCATCTGTCCAACTTCAATTTATTGGCAATGATAATAACTAAGATCCAGAAATAATTCTTCTTAAAGCTTCATTTATTTGCTCAAACAAGCAGGAAGTGCAACTGAAACTGATTATAAACAAAGTGCTGCGGCATTTAGCAGAACAAGATTACACCCAGATCGAAGAATGGTTTATGATTTTTGTCCATGTTGTGTCACTTTTATGCTAAATATCAAATATGCTCATGTCATCATCAAGTCAACAGATGCAAGTCGATTCAAGTCGCAAGTCGTTGGCATACAAGTCCGAGTCAAGTCGTAAGTCTTTATAGATTTTAAGTCAAGTCAGAAGTCATTAAAATAATGACTTGAGTCTGACTCAAGTCCAAGTCATGTGACTCGAGTCCACACCTCTGGCTCCTAGACACAAGAGGTTGAAATGTGCTCAGACCTTAGAGTGGCTGGGGTCAGATAAGGTGATGTGGTCAGAGTAAAGCTTCTGCTCCCAACATCAAATGGAGTAAGATGAGGTGATTCAGGAATCTGGCAATGTTGCGTCCTAGTTATCTTCCTCATGAGGTTTTCCAGGGATGTCCCACTGGATGTTAACCCTGAAGCTGACTCAGACATTGCCGGAGAGATTATAAATAATCTCTTACCTGGGAATGTCCTAGGATCCAATAGGAGAAACCGGAGAATGTCGCTGAGAAGAGGGATGCTTGGATTTCCCTGCTGGATCTGACACCTGAACAACAAACTCAAGATCAGAGGAATGACATGAGGCTCAATCAGGATGATAAATGTGAAAAAGACCTTTGTGTTTCCCTGGATTTTGGTTAGGGTTCCTCATGGTAGATTGTTTATCCATGATTTTGACTGACAACACAAACAAAATATATCTCTGACCTTTCAGCTTTGTGGAGCATCTTTCTTCTCAAAGTTAGGTGGGAGTGAGCTTCAATGACGTAGGTGAAGAGGCCAGTGAAACCACAGCCTCACCACATGCCTAAGCTGTTGCTTGTAGGGCGGCGCAGCTCTAATTCATCCAACAACTTTTCATTGCACGTGCCTCACTGTCCCAACATGCCTTCACCTCTACATGTGTGGTGTGCCTCACAGGTGTGTGAAGCAGGGGGACCTAATGAAGGACCAGGAGCAGCAGGCGTACTGGCAGGAGACGGGCCGATGGGCGGGCGGCGAGGAGAGCTTGGACCCCGAGGCAGGGGTCTGGGCGTCCTTACAAATCTCCTACCTCACCTTCAAAGGCCTCATCCAGCTGCGCCGCACCATGAACACTGGTCAGTGACAAGAGCTTGTAAAAGCTTGTCTCTTTTCTTTCAGCCATTTAAATTATGTGGAAGTGAGTTCTTGTATTTCATTTTAAAGTTTTTAATTTTTAAGTGATGGTGTGGAGGAAGTTTAGGATCAGTTCTCTTCTGTCACCATCGTTTTAGAGCATTGTTCCCTTTACTTCTCAAGTTGTGACCATTTTTGACTGTGCGGAGAAGACTCTAGCCACTATCGCTGAGAAGATGGTGGCTGAGATGGTTAAAAAGAAGGAGATCAAGTCTGGCGACCAGGAAGGAGTGCTGAAATCTCTGCTCCAAACCCGCAGGTATCCACCACCCAACAGTGACTCAAACACTCTGACCTACATTTAAGCATTTAGCTGAAGCTTCTAACGAGAGGGGAAGGTTAAATGGTCAAACTGGAAGAAAGTTGCTGCTCTGGGGACCAAACGTGTGATTATGTGAAATGATCTCTGACCAGATGACCGCTGTGCTCAGTAGAGACCTTGCCTTAAACACAGTTGGATGGATGACTGTTACCATCCAAAATAATCAGACGTGAAACTGTAATTTAATAGACTCAACTTAGAAATCTCAATTAAATATTCTAAGCTCGAAGTCTTACTAGTAAGGGTATTTCGAGGTGGCCATTTTGAATTTAGTCCCTGACTTATTTGAAAAGTTTCTGCCTCTGGTGAAAGCTGAATCTACGCTAAATGATATAAAACTTTAAAGATATATTTTCCAAAATAAATAAATAAAATAATAATAAAAACAAAGATGGAAAATTCCTTAAACATTATAAAACTATTGTTTGTTTGTTTTTTATTTCATTTTACATTGTTGCATTAGGGAGCCTAAATCTCCTCCCTTTCCGTTCGGCTTGCGGGTCCCCGGAAGAACAAAGAAATGAATGCAAGTCAACGAGGTTTAAAGAGATATTTTCTAACCCTCTTTGCCTTACTCCCTGGGTCGCACATATGTTGTACTGCAATTTAAATGATAACTAATGATGGGTGTCTTGAACACGCCAGTCACGTACTTTGAGATTTATCAGCTTGTAAAAGTTTGTAATTACCATGACTACATCGGCACGTCGCATATATGACGTCACCACGTAATCTCCTCTCTCCTAGCGTAGCTGCTACTTACCAAATGGCCAGATTTATGGTGGTTCTTTCCTCCTGTGGGAAGTTTGCTAAACTTACAGCCCTTTTCCCTCAGTTTTCTCCGTGTCTGATTCGATGACGTCACTTTCGTGAAGAGCATTTGCAGTCCTGGACTGGATTTTCACACCAAACCTAAAATTATGTTTTCCCTTGTTCGAAAATAAGCACATTGTTTTTATCAACATGTGTCTTTAAAATTCACAGACATCAAATGTGAAATCCATGGAACATAACAGTGGAATTAGAAAACAGCGCATTGATTTCTTGCATTCATTTTTTTTTTGTTCTTTCGGGGACCCAAGGTGCAGAAGTGGATGGAAGTGACTTAGTGACTTTGTGACTAAAATTACTATTGTCCCTTGAAACGGTTTTGACATTTCTGAATATCTGTTCATAAAACATATTTGTTTGTAAAATAAGCAACTTGTTAAAATTTTTGAAATCTTTGAAATTATCTGTGAATTGATTATTAATACTTTTTGACAATTCTGTCAAGACTTTAATATGTTTAATATTATCACTCAATTAATTTTGATTAAAATGAATAAATGAAAGGATTAATTGACTTGATTAATATTTTAATCTATAGTTCAGCTTCTGTGACCTGTGACTATTTAATTAAAAATGTATTTATGCATTTATTCTCCATCAAGCGAGTCAACTGATCCAGAAAGTCAAAAGCTGACAGACGGAGGAGACCTGCACAGATTTTCAGTCAAAGACAGAGTAAGTTTTCTCTTTGATATCTCTGATTATTGACACCAGGATGCCCAAAGATCTAAATGATGTCCTCATCATCCCTCCAAACACCTTTTCCTTGAGACTTCTTAAAAATAAATTTGTAGACTTTTTGACACAGGGACATTTTTGGTTTTAAGTGTTGCAAAACCTCCAACATGCATGAGGAGTGTTTGCTCATTTGCTCTTTTTCCTTTTAGAAAGATGAATGTGATCACGTCGAGGCATCTATGGTGTTAGTTGGTAAATGTATTATTTTTCTTTTTAAAAAAGATCTTAAGAATGTTTGTTTATGTCTGTGAATTATGACATTTTGAGAACATTATTATTTATGTATTTTGCAGACGCTTTTCTCCAAAGTGATTTTATATTATCTTTGCAGCTTTGTTCGGGAATTCATTTTTTTTTTTTTTTTTACTATTTAGGAAACATTTTTTATATTTTCTTATTTTTGACCATAATTAAAATAATTTCGTTTGTTTGTGATTATGAGTTTCTATTAACCTAAATAGCTATCTGGGACTACCAAAAGCTTGTGTCCCAGGAGGTTAGTGAACATTCTGATTTCAGCTTTAATAGACCGATAATTTTTCATGTATTTTACCAGGAGCTTTAGACTTTCTGGAGAAAGCCACAATTGTTTTTGTGCGTCTGAAGGAAGCTGCAGTGCTCGACTCGGCCCTGGAGGCCCCGGTGCCTGTTCGCTTTATCTGTGTTCTGGTTGGACCCAGCAAGTCTGACATGGACTACCATGAGACGGGTCGAGCCATGGCAGCTCTAATGGCTGATAAAGTGAGTGGACTGTCATTATAGGCAAACTAAATATATCTGAGCATACATTAGATCATCATACCTGGTCCCAGAACAGTCATCATCTGCATCCATTGGATTAATTTATCAACATTTATTTTAATCTAAATAGAAAATAATTATATTACAAAACAGAAAGAACTATGCAAATATACTTGGAAAAATATGTTGATTAAGACTTCAGGCAGTGAGGTCTTAATTTTCTTGACTATAAATGTTTCTTGAGAACAAAGGTCTCCACCTAGTGGCCATTTACTATAATTCATATTTCAAGGTTTAGAAGCTTGTCTTTTTTATTATAAGCACATCTATTTTACATGTCTTATCTCATAGTGAAAACCCAAAATTACTATCTTAGAACATATTATGTTAGTGAGAGCCTCTTCATTCTTCTTCATTTTTTTCATCCCAGGTGTATAACCAGGTAGCGTTTCAGGCGAGGAGTGCCAGAGAGCTGACGGACGCTTTGGTGGAATTCATTGACTGCAGCATCATCGTCCCACCAACCGAAATCAAAAATGAAGCTATGCTTAGTTCTATAATCAGCTTTCAGAAGAAAATACTGAAGGACAGGCTGCAGACCACTCCAGACCTCACACCTCACAGGAACTCAGAGACTCGCAGAGGTGAGAACCATCGACAACTTGGGAAAAACACAAACACCTACAATTCATTTTAATCCCTGATGCTAAATAGAATTTATTCTCCCAGTTTCTTTTGCCAGTGGCTCTCCTGCCGATGATCCGCTTTCCCGCACTGGTCGACCCTTTGGTGGCATGATTAGAGACTTTAAGAGACGCTACCAATACTATAAGAGTGACATCACAGATGCCTTGAATGCCCAGGCTCTTGCTGCCATCATCTTCATCTACTTTGCGGCCTTGTCTCCTGCCATCACTTTCGGAGGCTTGTTGGGTATGTAGAAGTCAGTGTTTGTGGACACAAAGCTTCTTCTTGTTGCTGTAGATCTTTAAATGACCTTTAAATTTCCCTCTCTACAGCTGATAAAGTGGACAACATGATGGGTGTACCTGAGCTCCTGATTTCCACCAGCATTCAGGGCATAATTTTCTGCTTTGTTGCTGCTCAGCCCATCCTGGTGATCGGTTTCTCAGGTCCTCTTTTAGTGTTTGAGGAAGCCTTCTTTGCAGTAAGTCAACTTATTAAAACCCCTTTTCATCCTTGAACATGTAAATGCACTCAAGAGCAAAAGTTTAACTGTAGCTTCTTTCCTTCAGTTCTGCAAATCCCAGGACATTGAATACATAGTTGGGAGGGTGTGGGTTGGAGTCTGGCTCATCATCATTGTGGTGATCATCGTGGCCTTTGAGGGCAGCTTCCTAGTGCGTTACATCTCACGCTTCACCCAGGAGATCTTCTCCATCCTCATCTCCATCATCTTCATTTATGAAACTTTTGCCAAATTGGGGAGGGTAAACTAAAACTGTCTTCATGTTTCCTCTTCTTAACCAACATTCTTTATGAACTTTGTAACAGCCAATCTTCTAAACCTACTTTAGATCTTCAAGGAGCATCCACTGATTTTAAATTACGATCATTTGAACGGAACGCTGGAAAATCCTTGGCACACAAAGGTGGAAGAGAGCATCATCTATGACAACATAACTGGCAACATATCTGTTATTGTCAAAACGATAAAACCACCTTACCCCAACACAGCCCTCCTCTCCATGTGCCTTATGTTCGGCTGTTTCTTTATCGCCTTCTTCCTGCGCCAGTTCAAGAATGGGACATTTCTTCCTGGAAAGGTTAGCTGGAAAGAAGCAGAGCACGACACAGACCTCTAAAGACCACTTTAGCTCTTTTTTAGCTAATGGTGAACATCTGCTTTTTCTGTCATAACCAGGTCAGGCGTTTGATGGGTGACTTTGGTGTCCCTATTGCCATTTTCCTTATGATTGTTGTAGACTACAACATTGAGGATACCTACACTCAGGTTAGCTTTCTTTTAGACCTTTCATATAAAACTTAGATTTTTACCATCAAATGTAATTGGACTGTAACCTGTTGGCTTCTTATTTGCAGAAATTAGTTGTTCCCAAAGGTTTGATGGTGTCCAACCCAGCCAAAAGAGGTTGGCTCATCAACCCATTTGGAGAGCACAAGTCTTTCCCTGTGTGGTTGATGTTTGCATCCTGCGTTCCAGCCTTACTCGTCTTCATCCTTATCTTCCTGGAGTCTCAGATTACAACGTGAGTGTAAAGATCTCCTCACCAGATTATCAGAAGGCATGATGTTTCCTGAATGATTTGCCTTTCATGTCTTTGAGCAGTCTGATCATTAGTAAACCTGAGAGGAAGATGGTCAAAGGTTCTGGGTTCCACTACGACCTGCTTGTTCTAGTTGGCATGGGAGGACTTGGTGCCATATTTGGAGTGCCGTGGCTCAGTGCTGCTACGGTTCGATCTGTCACCCATGCCAACGCTCTTACTGTCATGAGCAAAGGGCAAAAACCAGTGATAGAGAGGGTGCTGGAGCAGAGGGTCAGTGGCATCGTTGTAGCCTTGCTTGTTGGTGAGTGCCTTCTGTTGTGATCATCTCCTCCACAAATCAACTTTTCAATTCACACCAAACAGTGTTTTTACCACACATATGTTGTGTAAAGGTCTGTCAATTCTGATGGAGCCGATCCTAAAGATGATTCCCATGTCAGCGTTGTTTGGGATTTTCCTCTACATGGGAGTTACATCACTGAATGGCATCCAGCTTTGGGATAGAATGCTGCTGCTGCTCATTCCTAAGAAATACCACCCCAATGAACCCTACGCCACCAGAGTAAGTATCTACTCATCTTCATCAATTCATGTTGATGTCAGTGTATTAAATGGTCTCATTTCATGTACATCTGATCACATTTGGTTTGTTCTTGAACATTTCACAAGCTTTTTGTCAAAATTATGTGAACTGAAATTTCTGTGTTTGATATTATGAACTTCTCCAAGTGAAAGGCCATGGTTCTCTTCCAGAAAAGGATAGTACGATCTCTCCATTGGGAGTGATTCTTCACGCTTGTGTCTTGTCCACAAGTGGAAAAATGATGGAGTGAGAGATGGATGAATACATTTAGGTTTCATGTGCATTGCACATTTTACAAAGTAACATAATGATGGTGTTTATTTGCTAAACAAGGAGTCTGGTCGGAGTAGGTTCTAACTTTCACTTGTGGTCAGGTTTCTTTATGGAGCACGGAAATGGGAGCATGTCACTGCCCTCCCGACTGCTTTGTACTGGTTACCAGTGAAACACTGTGTCCTATTCAAGATCCTGCCTTTGTTTTTAGCTCTTTGTCTAGAACTGCCACACAATTTTTAGCCACACTGCTGACTCATTATGTCCCTGCCAGATCGATACATTATGGTAAGCATGACCTCCTGGTGGTTCCACGGTCAAAGCGTAAGTCCAGAGGTGATCGTGCCTTTTCGGTTCTGGGTCATCGGCTTTGGAGCCATCTACCACTAGAAGTCAAACAGTTCAAATCGCTGCCCAATTTCAAAGCTAGGTTGAAGGTTCATCTTAGATCTAGTTTTTAGCTTTTGTACTCATGTTTTTACTGTTGTGATCATTTTTGTTTTATGGCTTTTTAAATCTTTTGCTGCCTTTTAAATGTTTAATTCTGCATTTTATTATACAACTGTTATTGTGTTATGGTTGTTCTTAACACTTTGTTCAGCACCTTGGGTACCCTTGATTGGGGGTAAGAAGGGGCTTTATAAATAAAGTTTAATTGAAATGAATCGGTCATGAGATCTGGATTGTGACCAAAGATTCAAAATGTGCTTCCTCCGTAGGGAGGCTGCCTGGGATCAGCTGTAAGGATTGGATATAGTACCTATGATGTGCATAATCAGAACTTACTGAAAAGATTATACAGTGTATCCTATCTGACATTGGACCACTTTGGGGTGTTCCTAGTAAGACTGAGTGGTGATGCTGGGGGAGGGAAGTCAGGGTTTCCTTCTTGAATCCGTTACTTGTCAATAACCCAACCTGATCAAGTAGTGGAAGATTAATAGATACTAAAGTATTCCATTACATAAAAGAACAATGGATCAAAAAATTTATATAATGGACTTTATTTGTTTTTATTCGACTGCAGGTAAGCACAGGACGAATGCACTTGTTTACAGCAATCCAGATGGTGTGTCTTGGACTTCTGTGGCTCGTCAAATCCAGCCCAATATCCCTTGCCCTGCCCTTTGTACTCATCCTCACTATCCCTTTGCGAATGCTGATGACTGGTCATCTGTTCACCAAACTGGAGATGAAATGTGTAAGGGGCCTCTTGTCAGTGTATGTGTGTGCGTGTGTTTGTGTATGTGTGTGTGTGTGCGTGCATGTGTGTGTGTGTGTGTGTGTGTGTGTGTGTGTGTGCAATCACACTCATTTTTTTTCATTTGTTGTGTTTCAGTTGGATGCCGATGACGCCAAAGTGACATTTGAGGAGGAGCCTGGGCAGGATGTGTACTGTGAAACCCAAATGCCTTTGTAGTCACCTTCCATTATAGCTGCTGTCACTTTTAAAAAAAATAAGAAAAAAATCTATTTATTCTATTTTAAGCTAAATAAAATTTCAACTTCTGGATGAACACAAATGTGTGAAAGTGTTTTTCTTTTTTTTTTGTTTTAAAAGTTCTATATCGTGCTATTTTAAACTTGTGAGAGCAAAGGTATATGATAAATATTACCCTTGGCACTATTGAGATGCCAATTATCTTAAAGGGACAATTAGCAACTTTTTAATTCTTTTAAATCATTTTCTTGAGCCAGTATGTGCTAAAATGACCCTTTACAGGGTTAATGAATTTAAATTTTAACTAAGATGCACTAAAGTGCCAAATTATTGACTACACATGTCTACTGCACAGTTAGACACTCATTATCAGCAAAAAAGTAGATTTGGGGGTAACTTTCTCTTTAAGTCTTTTCGTTTATTTAAAACTTTGTTAAATGATTGTTAACTGCCAGCCCTCAACTGTTTCCGATTTTCTTTTGGATTAATAGGCATATATAATAACTTTCACTTTCATTTTAAACAAATCTGTTCTAAGAGTTGTCTATTTTGATTGTTCAGATTTGTTACGCCGTTTGTATGTTTATTTTAGTTTATTTTTTACTTATTTTTTTGCCCCATTGATCTTATGTTTGAAACTGTTTTGTAATTTTGGTCTTTTTCTTGGAACTTTGATAGAGGACCCACTTGCAACTGAGTGAGATGGATCATCAAGTGGTAATCCTCATAAAATATAAGTAAAATAAATAAATTATTCCACCATTCCCATTTCTCAAAATTTTAATAATGGTACAGACATCTGAATCACTTGCAAAAGTTATACTTTCCTCAATTCCAGAAAATGATTCCTTTGTATAATCTCCTGTATTTTCTGAGAGCTCTGAATAATCGTTAGCTGTAAAGAAATGTTCTGTCTTGTTCTTGTAGTCCATTTGTTTTTAGTTTTGCTGTCGATAACAAGATTTGGGTCTCTGTAAATCCTAGGAGCTATGCCTTTGACAGAGCAGATGTGTTCTGAATGGAGCTTCACTCATGTGACAGCGGCATCAGCACAAAACGCATGCGCACAGCTATCGCCCCGCCCTCTTCCGGGGAAAGGCTCTTGCGGACATATTCAAGTTACGCCATGTGTTCTCTCTTTTTGGGGTCTAGATTTTTAATGTTTCAACCAGACGAGGTTGTTAGTGGTTGACGCCTCGTTATTATTTCCGCTTACCTCTTATCTAGCCAGAAAACTAGCTTGTTGGTTTTCCTGAGCTTTTGGTTCCTGACTGTTTTTCACTCAGTAAATGTCAGATATTATTTTAATTTTATTTTACTGAGAAACAAATTTGGGTTTTAAAATGAGCCATTCAGAAACGGAGGTTGGTGAGTATTAAAGAAAACCCATTTCCTTGAACTCCTAACTAGTCATAAAAATGCGTTTTGGGTTATGAAGAAAACATGAAACCCGCCAGTCCCGGTGTTGTGTCAAAAAGCGACTGGCTGCCAAAAAATGATTAGCCACAGCGGGATCGCGCATGGTTAGGGTAATTGCATTTCTAGACGAAATTCCCTGGGATTTCGCCTTAAAACTCAGCATTTCTAGCAATGTGGACATTGAGAAAGCAGATATAACCTCGTCCGATACTTAAACAGATGTTTATCGCGGATATGAGTTTTTTCCAGTTCGGAAGTTGTTTTAAGTGTTGCTGTTTGTCATAAACGTTCACAATGAGCATATATTAATCCTTTTTGCAATATTTGCGATTGAAAGATGGTTTGTGGTAAGAAATGGCTTTCTATATGTTACAGCCTTGATACTAAAAAGTAAATAAACAGTGTAAAATGGCACCCTGTTTTGAATGTAAAGTCAAACGTATAAATAACAATTATCCAGCGATTAGATTTTTTCCCCTTCCTTTCTTTAGTCCATTTGACATGGAGCCACAATTAACTAGTTTGGGGCACATTTTTACTTGAAAAATAGCATTTAAACTGGTCAAGCTTTGGCTTTACAATGCCACTGTGTAGGTTACTAGTATCTATACATTACTTTGCTCTATTTAAAAGTAACAAGATAAAAGCACTTCAGCATATAAAATTAATATTGTCACTTGCCTAATAGTGACTATACCCTCCTGTTTACCTATAAGAAATGCCTCAAATTATCTTTAATTTTTTTATTGAGGATTTAATTGTAGACAACAAAAATGGCATTTTACTTGCCAAAAAGTGATTGAATTGCTCAGTTTTTCATGGAGGCTAAAATTGACCAAGTAAGGGCTTTATGTATTATCTGTTGATGTTATTGTACTCATACTGTCTACTGTATCATCATAAACACACCAAAAATGGCAAATATAAAAGATTTCCCTTGCCAAAAATTGTTTATGAATTTGGAAGAGACCCAGCATCCTGTGATGGGACTAATGACATCAAGAGATAATAAATAAAGTAATATTTAGGTCAATTTAACCCATTACAGGTGACCAGGATCCTGTAATCAATTTTTGGCACGGGAAATGATCATTTTTTGCCTTTTTTGGGGTGTTTATGATGATACAGTAGACAGTTAGAGTACAGTGGCAACAGATAATACATGAAACCCTTATTTTGTCAATTTTAGTCTCCATGAAAAACTGAGTAATTCAATCACTTTGGCAAGTAAAATGCCATTTTTGTTGTCTACAATTAAATCATCAATAAATAATTTAAATATATTTTGAGGCGTTTCTTATAGGTAAACAGGAGGGTATAGTCACTATTTGGCAAGTGACAATCTTAATTTTTTGTGCTGAAGTGCTTTTATCTTGTTACTTTTAAATAGAGCAAAGTAATGTATAGATGGTAACCTACACAGTGGCATTGTAAAGCCAAAGCTTGAGCAGTTTAAATAGTATTTTTCAAGTAAAAATGTGCCTCAAAGTAGTTAACTGTGGCTTCGTGTCAAGTGGACTAAAGAAAGGAAGGGGGAAAAAATCAAATTGCTGGAGAATTGTTTATTTCCATTTATACAACGTTTGACTTTACATTCAAAACAGGGCGCCATTTTACACTGTTTATTTATTTTTTAGTATCAAGGCTGTAACATAAAGAAAGCCAGTTCTTACCACAAACCATCTTTCAATCGCAAATATTGCAAAAAGGATTAATATCTGCTCATTGTGAACGTTTAAGACAAACAGCAACACTTAAAACAACTTCCGAACTGGAAAACTCATATCCGCGATAAACATCTGTTTAAGTATCGGACGAGGTTATCTCTGCTTTCTCAATGTCCACATTGCTAGATATGCCGAGTTTTAAGGCGAAATCCCAGGGAATTTCATCTAGAAATGCAATTACCCTAACTGTGCGCGATCCCGCTGTGGCTAATCTTTTTTTGGCAGCCAGTCACTTTTTGGCACAACACCGGTCCTGTGTGTTTTAGTTGTAATCTCTCTCCGGCTGCAGAATGGACCAACGAGAACCTTGCAAAGCTTCTTGCTTCGCTGAAAGCCTGCATTCCTGACGAGGAGAGGCTGATCGACTATCAGTTAGGACTGAAAACGGTAAACTGGGATAAAGTGGCCTTCTCTACTTTTTCTCCGGAGGAATGCAAACAAAAGTGGGCACAAGTAATAAAGAAGGTGAGCCTCACTTTAGCTCAGACACATGGAGTCATGCACTCTTAATGCTTCTCTTGACTTGGAAATGCTAATTGGTAAGAGCATTTTTTATTTAAATGTATTTTGACAGAAACTTGTTCCTTGACATATTACATCAAACCTGAATCCATAAAAATTATTTTTGTTTTCTAATTTATGAATTTCAAAGGAAATTAAATCATAATCGCTGCTTTTTTCCAACTCAGAGTACACCGCTTTGATTCCTGTGTACTATGCGAGCACAGCATTTGTCTAAAATGATCACATGAGAGACGCTTTACTACTTTCTCATTATACTCAAAAGAAAGTAGACCCATATTCAAACAGCGATCAGAATGAACAGCAAAATCAGTATGATTGTACTATTTTTATGAAACAAACTGCTAGTGGCCACAAGAGGTGGAAACAAGATGAAACAATGCGTTGAGTGCTGGAGTGTAAACACTGCCGCCATATCGGATGGGTCCCTCACTCCAAAACCTAATCTGGGTCAACGTTGAGTGAGCAACTATGCCTGTTTTTGTGCGGTCTGCAGTTCCAACAACCGGTGTACTATTGAAAACAGATTATATGGAATTACTATTGATTTTTGACCCATCCAACATGGCGGCCCACAGTTACACCAGTGCCAATTGAGCTCCGGACGTCACGTGGCTCTCAGAGTAGACACCATGTTGGCAGGCAACAAAGGTAAATAAAATTAACGGGATCGGCTTGGATTTTACTTCGTCGGAGTTTACTTCACACTTTAAAACCGAAGAAATCATTTTATATAGTCAGAAATTAAATGAACTAAACATCTCCGACCCTTATTGTGCCCCTGGGATACTTTTTAAAAACGCCAGAAGTTGTCGGAGCGGACTTCTTACCAGACCCGGCCAGGGAACGCCTTGGGATTCCCCCGGAGGAGCTGGCCCAAGTGGCTGGGGAGAGGGAAGTCTGGGCCTCTCGACGCATGGGCTCGACACACGGGAGGCGACATCACCTCTGCTCCATTCATTTTCAATGAGACATGCGCAACAAAGCGATAATCGCGGGTCTCCCTCCTACCAAGCGAAACGCGAAAAACGTGCGTGTGAAATTTAGCGCTCGTGCGTGTGAAATTTAGCGCTCGTGCACATGTCGTGCACAGGCGACCCAGTGACGCGATCCCAGAAAGTTGAAACATTTTCAACTTTTCATCACTGTCGCTCGGACGAGGACCAATCAATGGAGGTTTCATTCACTGACCAATGAGCGGACAAGATGCTCCATGCATCTCCAAGCAAACATGGAGGAGAAGTTGATTATTATTATGTTTTATAAAGTAAAATCAGAAGTAAGATTTCACATAATTCTAGCAGCACCTTGTGAAACATCATATCTACCACTTTTTTAACTCTGAACTGCTTAAATAACCTTAATTCCCTCCAACCTGACACAGCCAAGCAAAACAACGGAAGTTTCGATTTCGCCATAGAACAGAACACGTAGACGGCTTTGCCGCTGCCGCGGATCGCCTCCCGTGTGTCAGGTAATAAAAGCGACAACGACAAATTTCGCTGATCGCGGCCATTTGTCGCCTCCCGTGTGTCGAGCCCATTAGGCTACTGCCCCCGCTACCCGACTCCGGATAAGCAGATGAAAGTGGATGGATGGATGGACGGACAAATAACATAGATTTACATGTAAGTAGTTTAAATGGAGTGCTGTGCTGTTTGAATGTATAAACTGAACGCCAAGAGAAATCACTAGTTTGATTTTTTTCCGTGAATAAAATAAATATGTCCGGCAGGAGTGTCTCAGGATCTGTCTGAGATCTGTCTCGGTGAGACAGATAATAGCAATCCAAAGTGCTTTTTATGTGTGATCTGACAGTTGATCAACCATTGCTTAAAAATTAAATACAGCTTAGCCGGTTAATTGCTGTGATCATAAAACACGTAAACGGCAGCATGCAGAACTCATGAGGCAACGTTTTACGTGTTGTTTACTTGTTGCCTTTACGTGTTGTTTACTTGCTGCTATGAGTAATAAGACAGAAAAAGCCACGCCAAAATATGTTTAGGAAGCCCATAATAAAAGCATTTAAAATAAATACCATACACAGTTGAGGAAACGTTGGTTTAAGTACCTGATATGAAGCGGTCGCTGCATAAGCAAAAACCTTTACTCTCGGGATCCCACAGTTTCATTTTAGCCCGGTCACTAGTGCGTTTTATTACAATGATCCAACGTTTGCGGCGCTCCGGATCTTGGGGAATCCTGTAGATGGCTCATTCTTTATGTCGTCCGCGTCTGTTCTGGCATTCTGGGGCACAACAGGAATCTACCATATTTCCCGTTTGAGTTTTATGACAATAACAAATAGTCCAGCTGGAGGCTTCTGTCTGCCAATATGGCGCCGTTTCGATTTGAACTGTTGCATGCCGGGAGAAGTGACGTCAACTCCCGGAGCTCTATAGAAAGCCCTAGCCCATGCCGCCTCTGCGTTTATATGATCTGATCTCTATGCTTCTCATTCATTTTCTGTTGTAGAAATCGATGAACATGATGTCCGGACAAACAGGAGCTTGTACAACCCAACATACACAAACACTAACCATTGTTAAACTAGTTGAATATGTGTTACCTCAGCAACTAAAAGTAACCGGAGTCGAGCACGTCTTCTTCTAAGTTTCCCCTGGGTATGTAATGTGTCACGTGACTCCAAAACCGCATGTTTTTTAGGGAACCCTGCCCACTTCCCTTGATTTATTATTTCAAACACCTGCTAGTTATCTGAAAACCTGGAAGAATAACCAAAGTAACTGTTTGGCCTTAGATTATGTTTTTCTACCATTTTAAAGAACATTAAAGATGCACTTTAAGAAAATATTGCATTGCATTTTTTCTGGCAGAAATTGGAATTTCAATTAAATTTACAATTTTCATCAAATTAAGCTTCAGCGCAGTATTTACAATGTTCAGTATAATTTTCAAACATGACGACTCAGGCATCAGCCTCCAGCTCCACCACCCGCTGGAGCTCGCTGCTACCGCCGTATCATATTTAGGCCTGGGCGAAACCCTGGATGTGTAAAATAGTTGACAAAACAGATCCTGGGTCAGTCGAGAAGTGCTGCAAAAAACTGCAGCTTTGACGGTCACGTGATTGCATTGTTTGAAATAGTAATTTTGATCAGAAAACGATAGATCATTCAGCCCTCACATTTATACACATGCATTAATGCTCCACTAGCCGCTTTCATAAGAGACACTGTCAGAGGAATACTGCCGCCACGGTGTGTCTTATGAGAGCAGTGTCGCTGCATGGCCATGTGACGGTTTTGTGGCTTCTGTGCCACCACGCTTGGTAGTAATATTACTGCTACGCCGAACTTGTGAATGAAGATTTGTGCATTGGCACAACAGAAAGTGGTGACATCATTATGTGTGGGATGTACCCCGAGCTCTGGCTGGCAACTATATTGAAAATGAAAGTAAACTCTCACAGTAAGTTTTGTTTGTTGTCAATAAAACTTCAAGAGCACGGCTTCAATCGCAATTAAATAAGTTATGACCAAGCTGAAAGGAAGTCTGTGACAACGTGGAGAGGGCCCCCACACCCTCTTTATACCTCCATCGCATAATCTTTTGTGAAGATAACGCGATCGCACTACACTACCACCACAGTTTGACCACTTATTTACAACCAATGGTTCCCTGATGCCGCCTCGGCTTTGTGGCGAATTAGCGGCATTGTTTTCTGAAACATTTTCTAAACATTCTCTCTCTCCTGATAATAACATTTTACTTTCTTTGACATTGAATGTGCTACTACTAGTTTACCTGTTGAATTAATTATAGATTCACTAGGATAAATACAGTAAAGTTTATCTCTTACTAAACAGAATATTTACTAAGAAATCACAATGTAACCTTAGAATCACTACTTGGTGTTAGGGCTGGGCGATAAGTCGAAAATTTATCGTTATCGAAATTTGTGACCCTTATCAAGATAATTTTTCCCTTGTCAATAAATTTGACAATTAAAAATTAAAAGATGTGTGTCAAGTCTTGTCCCAGTTTTACTTATCGGACAGATATCGAAATGACTAACATCAGCCAATACTGACGTTGGTGGTGATATATTGTGCATCCCTAGGGCCATGGACTCCAGTGACCTCGATGGCCTCATTAGTAGCTCAGTGGCCTAGTGGTAGAGTGTCCGCCCTGGGACTGGGAGATCGGTGTTCGATTCCCAGTCAGGTCATACCGAAGACTTAAAAAATGGGACCCAATGCCTGCCTGCTTGACACTCAGCTTTAAGGGGTTGGATTGGGGTGTTAAACCACCAAATAGTTCCCGAGCTCCGTCACCGCTGCAGCTCACCGCTCCCCTCCATGGGGGGTGGCTCAGATGCAGAGATGAATTTCTCCAATGTGTGATGATGACAATGGGACTTTAACTTTAGTAGTAACAAAGGCCTCATCAGTGACTCCTGTTGCCTTATCAACATGTTTGTTTCAGACCACATCTTATTAGCCTCCTACCCCAACTCAAATTTCACAGCTGATGAAAGGTGAAACATCTTCAAGGAAAACAAGAAAAGTCCAGTTATTCCGACTATACCCTCAAGATTGCCAAGCCCTGGACCACTGAGAGTCTACACAAACTTCATTTTATACTTTTAGGTTTTTCTTTACAGCCTGAAATGTTCCTGACCCCAAAGCCACCAGTGGTCTACATCTATGGTTTAAAATATTCAATAGACTTTATTCATACATGTGTATAGGCTAGTTTTCATACGCAAGCCTTTAAAATAAGACCTATATGGATAATTAAATCAACCATTTAAAATATATACATTGTCAGACAGTGTCATGTTTGTTTTTCAGATGCGCAAGAGGCGGAGTATCACAGAGCTCATTGACGAGGCTCAAACTATTGTTTCAGATCCCTTACATCACAGAAGAGTAAGTTCACTGCCACCATTCTTCCCATATTGGTGTAAAAACAACACAAGTGCATGCTTGCTTTTTATGGATGATGTTGAAGAAGCTAATCTGACTACCTGGCTGTCCTGAGTGAGTTTTTCTTTTCTCTGACTTACAGGTACATCCAGAGGTTCCAAAGAGACCGGCTCAAGCTAGATACATCTACTTTAAAAGTAAATGTGCTAAGTTTCAAACAAAGCATCCTGAAATGGGAATGACACAGGTTCTTTGTACATTACTTCAGGAGTATGAGGCACTTCCACAAAAGGAGAAGGTGATTAAAATGAAGTTACTGGGTAAAATTCCTGTGATATGATCGTGAAGCTCTGAAATGATAAAGTTCTTTATTTTTTCAGGCCTTGTACGAAAAGAAGTATGCCCAAAAATTGGTAGAGTACAGGGAAAAGATGAGCAAGTTCTGGTAAAACGAAGTCTCGCATTTTAAACAATGTAGTCACATGGTTATTCAGATGTGTTCAGGCTAACTTTCCTTCTGTTTGATGTTTGTTCTTTCAGCCAAAAAAATAAGATGCATGCCCCGCAGGTGAAGATGGCTGCTTCATATCTAAGTGAATTCTCTTCAGTTTGATCTGACAGCAGATCTATGAATAATTTACATTTGTGTCTTTTTCTGCAGAAGACATATAAAAGGAATCCACAGGATAAAGACATCCCTGCCAAGCCACCTGGGTAATCCACACAACTTAACATCATTCTAAGCACATCTGTATGTAGAAACCCTTCTGTAGAGTTGGACCATTTTAGGTAATGATCTAATTGGAAATTTTATGACACAGTTTACAATTTTATTCAAATCAAGCTTCTGCACAATATTCAAAATGTACAGTAATACCATCAAAACAATAAAGATAACAATACAAAGACAAGAATTAAAGATAATAAATGCATTTATTAACAAGAAACATGCAAGTTTATTCTTTAAAGTCCAGTTATTACAAACGGAGAACTGGTAACACTATAATAAAAGTCCTTTTTTTAAATGTTACTTATTACATTATTAAGCATCAATAAAGTATTATCAACTGCTTAACCATATTATGTAATACATTACTAAGCAGACACCCCCTGGCCTTTTGTCCTAACCTTAAAGCAGCTTTCCGGAGTTTTCTACTTTCAGAAATTATGTGTGGTTTTTCAGAAATCCATGAAAGCGAGTATCTTATTATCTACTGTGATATAATATAAGCAATACATCTTATTTATTTATTTATTTTTGCTAAGCACGCCCCCTGTCCCGCATGAGCTTCGTGCAATAGGAAACTGAGCGCTAACCAGAACTAACCAATGGCGTTAGACTACCACTTACTTGCTTCAAATGTGAGGAATCCCTCGGCTGATGCAGAGTTGATGAACTTTTCACGGACAAGAAAGTCTTTAAAATATAAATATATGAAAACACCTCATGACATGAGAATAATACTTGTAAAACAACATGTTTTAGCTCTGTTTGTTGGCTACAGAAGCACATTTATAAACAAGAAACGTGAAGTTGCCATCTTAAAAAATCAGAGCGACAGACTTTTTGTGTGATATGCTTGTTTGCCACGGAAAAGGGTAGAATGCCTTCTCCGGGTCAGGGATGAAGTCCTGCCTCAAATGGAGGAGTTTAAGTATCTCGGGGTCTTGTTCACGTGTGAGGAAAAGATGGAGCGTTAGATCAAGAGGCAAATTGGTGCTGCGTCTGCAGTGAGGTGGGTGTTGTACCGATCTGTCGTGGTGAAGAGAGAGCTGAGCCGGAACGTCCAAGTGGCTGGGGAGAGGGAAGTCCGGGCCTTCCTGCTAAGGCTGCTGCCTCCGTGACCCAACCTCGGATAAGCGGGCGAAAATGGATGGACGGGTTATCAAAGAACTTTAAGAGCCATCTTTGTCTTACCTTCAAAAAGTTAATTGTGTTTAAGCTAAAGTTAAATAAAATACAACAAATAAAATAACAACATTAAATAAGTAATAAAAGGAAGAAAAAAAAATCAACAATTCTACTTTAAGGAAAGTTCTTGCCAGAGCTGTTTAGTCCCATGCCACTTCTGATTGGTGAGTTTGGCGAAATAGTAGAGAGGATGCATAAAATGGCTGACACAACAGATCCTGGGTCAGTTAGGAGCCCTGCAAAAGAACACGTTTTGTTCTCCTTTCATAAATGTCCCAACATGCTTCATAGCATACACACCAACACTCGCTTTCTGTAGCAGTGCAGTGCATCGACTTTAAATAGTTCTCACAACAGAATGATGGTGAGTTTGTTGTTGTCATGTTAACGTCGTATCCTGATACATAAAGCCTCCAAAATGTCACATATTCTTTCCGACTGAAAGGCCCTTCAGATTTAACCTTGTCCTTAGAAGTGCACCAAGCTTCAGTCGGTAATCAGAACCTGAGTGTGACTGATCAACCAAAAGCTCAAAATTCACTTTTCAGTCCCTGAATGCAGCATGCCCAAAAGCAATAATGTCTGACATTTTCCTTGTGGACCCACTCACCTTAGCAAAAACGGAGTCCTGGCAGCTCACTGCATTTATTGATGTTTTTGTATGTTTGTAGGAGTGGCTACAATCTGTTCCTCAAGGAAAGTTTTGAATCCATTACCGGAAAAAAAACACCCGCCACTATAAATTCATTGTCCCAGCGCTGGAGAGAGTTGAGTGAAAAAAAAAAGGCTGATTACAATAAGCGTTGCAAAGAGGTAAAAACATGCAGATTAACATCAGCTCCCTCATCAAAGGTAGAATCTTTCATTCCATAAATATATCGTAATAATTTGTATTCCATCTTTCCAGCTGAAGATGCAGTACGTTGCGGACTTAAACAATCATCTAAAAGTAAGTGAATTATACAAACTGGGTTGTAGGGATGCCGGCAGGTGTGTAATTGTTTTTTATTTTTGTTTCTCAGGGGTTTGATGAGAAGGAACAAAAGGAGATCATCAAAAGGAATGGCATCAAAATCCCCAAGATTCCTGTGGTAAGAATATCAGTAATGTAAAAAACTTTAAACAACCTTGTGAAAAGGGTTCCAATGGACAAAAGTCGGAATTTGTCAGGGTTTAATTAATATTCAATGGGGCAAGCAATTGGATTTTGGGAAAACGGATTCTGTGGATGAAATTCTAGTATTTGACCTTTTAGATTTTTAGTGTTTTTTGATGCATTCAATCTAGTTCCTAAATATCAAGATTTGATCCCAATGAAAAAATAAAAGTTATATGCTGTGTGAAATAAATAAACTGCCTGGCCATTAAAAGTCGCCCCCCCAAAAACACCCGTCACACACTTATTTTATTTAACTGCCTTTAGCTGTGGCATTGTCTCGGTAAGCTTCTGCAATGTCACAAGTTTATTTCCATCCAGTGTTGCATTAATGTTTCACCAACATCTTGCACTGATGATGGTAGAGTCTGACTGCTGCACAAAGTTTTCTCCCGCACTTCCCAAAGATTCACCACTCTGCGGTGGCCAATCCATGTGTGAAAATTGTCTCATGCTCCCTGAACCACACTTTCACTCTCTGAGCCTGATGAATCCTGGTATTGTCATCTTGGAATATGCCCATGTCATCAGGGAAGATGGAATAACCCGGTCATTCAGTATATTCAAGTAATCAGCTGACCTCATTCTTGGAGCACATCCTGTTGCTGAACCTAGACCTGACCGACTGCAGCAAGCCCAGATCATAACACTCCCCCCACAGGCTTGTACAGTAGGCACTAGTCATGATGACTATATCACTTCATCTGCCTCTCTTCTTACCCTGATGCACCGTCACTCTGGAACAGGGTCCACCTGGACTCATCAGACCAGTTTTTAATAATGTGTTGGACAGTTCTTAACCCAAGATTGTTTTTACAATCTCCTTAGAAGTTTTCTCTGTTTGATGCATTCCAATGATCGGACACTTCTCAAACAGTTTTAATTCCATATTTTAGTTCTTTTTAAAACACAAAGGTTTTGTTTGTGGCTGCAAACTTCGTCAGGCTGACGCTGATGGTGGTGTTACTTCCTTCTCCGAGAAACTAAAAGATGGAATTAGAATTTCAACACAGCAAGAACACACCAAAGACTTCTCAAACAGACTAACATCTTTTCCACGAACACCAGATGTGTCTTTCCGCATGGTTGTTCAAGAAATGAGAAGCAACTCATTGCACCAGTTGGGTGTAGCAATTAAAACATATTAATTGTGACCAATAAGATGCGATGATTCCATGTAAATATGAAATATCAATCTGATTGATCTTTGAATGTTTAATCAGACGATTCTTGGATTCTTTGCTTCTTCGGGGCCATAAACAGACTTTGTATTAATTCAGAGTCAGTATATAGTTTATAAAATTAATTTAATTATTTTTCCTAAACTAATATTTTATACATGACAAGTAGGGCTGCAACAACGAATCGATAAATTCGATGAAAATCGATTACTAAAAGCGTTGGCAATGAATTGCGTCATCGATTCGTTGTGTCGCACAACTCTTACAAAAGCCCCCCCCCCGCCGTTGCGCGCAGACCAGAGCAAGTCAGATCAGCTCGAGGGAGAGCCGCAGATCAGCGCGAGGGAGAGCCGCAGATCAGCGCGAGGGAGAGCCGCAGATCAGCGCGAGGGAGAGCCGCAGATCAGCGCGAGGGAGAGCCGCAGATCAGCGCGAGGGAGAGCCGCAGATCAGCGCGAGGGAGAGCCGCAGATCAGCGCGAGGGAGAGCCGCAGATCAGCGCGAGGGAGAGCCGGTACCGGCAGATCAGCGCGAGGGAGAGCCTGCAGACTTGCGCTGCTGCGAACCGGTTCTGCATTGTTGCGCAGCGATCCAGGCAGCTGCTTCCAGCGCACGGTCCATTCTCAAAGTGGCGCAACCAAAAAACTATAATTAGCACACGATCGTTCTTGTCTGCATATGTTCTCTATTTTCTGCCTATTTGTGCCTGAAGCGCGCTACTGCGGAGCTCATCACCTGTGCTGTGGTGTTGTCACCTCACGCAGCATCGAAAACGCGCTCTGCGCTTTGCGGTCAGGAGATCCCTTTGATCTGCTCAAAAGTAACTGATGAGGTGAAAAGGTAAGAATCCAGGCAACAGATTTTCTGGAGAATTATGAGGAGATGCAGGAAGATGAGAGACAGACAGGATAGGAAAATAGTTAAATAAAAACAAGAAAACAAAACAAAGTGTTGAAAAGTAAAATGTAGGTAGATTTATCTTCACTACACGTTTTTACCAGTAAAAAACAATAAGTTATACACATGTCATATTTATACATCTGATACAATTCAGGTCACCTTCAAAACTCAGTCACACACCCAGGGCCGTTTCAAGACATTTTGGGGGCCAAGGCAAAATGCCCCCCCCCCCCCCCCCCCCCCCCCATAACTGGGCTCCCCAGAAGCCTCTGTGTAATTCATGCCCTCTCCAGGTGTATTAGTTATACGGTGTTTATAAAAGCCCCTCAGACATTACTGACATGTTCTAATATTATCAGATGAAAAACTAAATTATCAGACATGCTGTCTCATCTGCTTCTTTTCTAAACTTGCAAAAAGTAACAAAACCATTTGAAAGCCACTATTTGTGGATTATCTGAAAGTTTCCATGGAGTGTGTGACAACTTATTTTTTCATTGATCCTATCGTCTAATCTCACAGCTGAAACAAGCATCCTTAATAATCTGTGCACAGGAAGCTTACCGATGCTGTAGGAAAACAAAAGGTATAATAATTTATTATTAATAAAACCTTGTTGCAGCACTAAAGCAGAAAAATGAGATTTTACATTAAATATGCAAAATATTTACATATGAATTGTTTTAGAGCCCTTTTATTGGCAGAATCTGATATTAATTTAGTTCTTACAAAAAATGGGTCCCAACATGGTTTGTGTGGCGTTGCCATAGTGTGACATCATAGGCACAGATCCCCTGTCCTCTTGTTTGGAAATGGAAATATGGTCACCCTATTAAACAAACTGTCCACCCGGGCTTTTGCGCTGCACAGAGACGCTTCGCTGCCTATGACTTTGAACGTCAGTTGAGAGTCAGTCTCATGCAGACTGACCAATGAAGAGAGGGCCTCAAGTTAAGACCCTCTCCTCATTGGTCAATCCACACGAGGTGGGTCAAAGGTTACTCTGGGCGGGTTTCGTGTTGTCAGGCATTCAAGTATTGAGTATATTTACTGCATATTACAGTAAAATATTCTGTATGTGACCACATTATGGTGATCCTCGGGTCGTGATGATGGAGCCCTTGAATATTGTTGCCCAGGGTACAACAAAGTGTTAATCTGGCCCTGGTTCCGCCGTCACATTCCCGCAGAAACTGGTTGATCACACCGGGGCCAGACTACTAACATGTGGTTTTACAACCACAATGTCCTCGGAAGCAAAAACGCTTTTAAAAGGGAGGGAGGAGTCCTAACTGTTGCTGCAGGCGTGTTGTGTGAGAGTGCAGTTATATACTGGTTAATATATTTTTGGGTTCAGTTGCTTTCATGTGGCCTAATGTGAGTCTATTTGGGATCATTGGAATGATCAGCAGCATTTCTTGATGTGACTTTATGGCAGTTGCCCAGGGCATCATCGCAAGGAGGATGGCATTCATTTACTTTTGTTTTATTTGGTATTTTTTCAGTCATTTTTGGAAATAGTGATCAATTTTGATTAATTCACAGCCTATGTTTAATTACATTTAAAATAAATGTCAACAGATGAGATCAAAGAAAACAGATGAGAATTGCCCTTAAGCTGTTTAACTTGGACCAAGCATTTTAGGTCACAGATAGATGTAGCTTAGGGTCTCTGTCTATACACCTTATAAGACAATTTAGGTGATGGCATGTTGTTTTTCTGCTACTGAACTGTTTTCTAATAATGTTGTGTTAAATAAAGTGAAGGAAGGAGAGAAATAACGTTTCCCTAGCAGTTTTTAAAAATTTCCCCATGTAATCCGATTAATCGATTAATCGTGTCGAGACCCCTTCCGATTAATCGATTATCCAAATAATCGTTTGTTGCAGCCCTAATGACAAGATATGAATAAGGAGATTTGGTGTGGTGGATGTGAGGTGTTGTGATGGAAGCTAGATGTTGTAGCGACCATTCTTTGTATCTGAGAAAAATTGTGAAATGTGGATGTAAAATAATTTGTTGTTTGGTGTTTTCAAAACTAGAGAGTTGTTTATTAAAAACAGCATCTGTTGTGCAGAGTCTACGCACCCTTAGTGTGGAGGTTCTCGTTCGATCCGGGGGTCGTGCTGGTCACTGCCGGTGGAGTGAACCTCTGATATCAGGAACCCATAAATAGCTCCGATAAGACCTGTCCAGTCTGAGATCCCTCGAGGTGAAGGCTGAAAGCTGGAATGCTTATTTGCATCTAAGGTTGATGTTTGCTTGGCTCTTAGGAAGCCAGTTGTCTGGTATGCCGCAGCGTTGCAGAGAGGCTTTGACAGGAGGACAAAGGAGAAGATGGTTTCAAAAATGCTTAATTCCCAAATTGGCCGGTTCGAGGGTCAGCAAGAATCAGAATTACTTGGGAAACAATTCTTGTTTTATTAAACTTCTTTGTTATGATTTCTGGCCAAGTTTGGCCAATCAGAATTTGACACATTTCTGAGTTTTTACCAACATCCATCAGACAGCCACGCCTTCCTTCAGATTCAAAGATGTTTTAACCTTAATATGTATCTTATTGTAATGTGTATGAGTGTAAACCACAATGATTTGTGATATAAATGGATCATTGTAAGAACAACATTCATTTTAAAGCCATCATTGGTTTAAGCACAGGTTATTCAAACATTTCAAACATCTTGTTCATTCATCACATATGATTATTGTAAGCTTATGAGTTGTAAAAGTCTTGGAGTCTTCACTTGTTGAGAGGGAAGAATGTTGGCGTCTGGCTTTCATGCAGAGAGTGTAGGACCTTGGGAGAGAATGTTTGTCTGGATGTTTTGTCAACACGCGCTGAGCAGAACCTTCTGGATTTGGAAGGCCAAACAAAAAGTGGATTTTTTTTTTTTTGTAGATGAAAGGTTATTGTGTTGGTCAATATATAGGTGAAGTTTGACCCTTTTGGTACGTGACATGGGGTTAAATAACTTGTTGCCAGACGAAAGATAGTTGCCCAATTATCCAATACCATACCAATATTATTTCTAAAGCACGTTTTAAAACAGCCGGACAGCTGACCAAAGTGCTGTACAAGAACAAAGCAAAAAAAAAAAAAAAAAAAAAAAAAAAAACGGCACATGAAATATGCTAAAGCACAGATCTAGACCAGAGAGAAGTGTTGGATCAACATACTAAAAACTCACTAAAACTCGTATCTGCATAAACATCCTATAAAGGCAGACCAACAGGAGGCTCGTACCTATTTGCTTAATTAAATCCAGGAGGCGACGTTTTTTTGGCCAGTGTACGTACCAGTAGTAATGATCAGAAATCTTTACATTGTTGACTGTTTTTAAAATAAAACAAATAATTTAAAACAAGGGTCTCTGATTCAGGGCCTAGCCTACATGTTTAGTTGTTTCCCTGCTCTTAACACACCTGATTTAATGGTTGAATCACCTGTTTAGCAGGTCATTAAGCTCATTGATGCCTGTTAATCCCCCACTGGTTAAACTCAGGTGTACTGATGCACAGCCGTCTCTAGAACATGCAGGACTGTGTCCCTCAAGGATTATGATTGGACACCTCTGTGTTAGAATTATCAGGGTTTATTTTTCTCACTGCTAAGAGGTAAAATCACCTCAAACAAATTATCATTTTTGATCTTTACAATATGAAGTCACTTTGGATAAAGTCTCTCCCCTAAAGATGAAATTTGTCCCCCATGTTTAGAAAGAAGAAATCATGAAAACAAAACGACCCAACGAGCCCAAGATGCCGTCTCAGTGAGTTTGGCTGTTGAACATCCATAAAGATTCATTTGAAACAAAAATCTGGTCCTCGATCAACAGGCTTTTTTCTTTTTCAGTTCTGCGTATTCGTATTTTGTTGGTGAACAGCTGGCATCACTGAAAAATGATACCAAAGTACGCAACGAGCACATGAAGAAGGCCCACGAGGCCTGGGAGGATCTCTCCATCAAGGCGAAGGAGCGTTATCGAGGCAAAATGCACGTAAAGTTGAGAAAGTACTCGCAAGATCTACAAATGTGGTTTAAGGTAATAAAGAGAGGAAATAAATGTTATCTCTGGTTGTAAATTAGAAATTTAGCTGTGAGTTCTAATTTGCCACTCGTTGCGTTGCTTGTGTAGAAACTGAGTCCGGAAGAGCAGGAGAGCTACTTGAAAGAAAACCCCTGGGTAAGTGCTAGAAATGACTTTCTTTTTATTTGTATCTTTTTACGTTTCCAAAAAAGTCTGAAGGTGTTTTTTTTTTTGTTTTGTTTGTTTTTCTTTGTGTTGCAGAAATCTCGGTTCCTTGATAACGAAAAGATGGTTGCATATGACAAAAAGGAAGTACTGCTGTGCCAAGATTCAGTAAGTCTACATGTAAATGAAATGCATGAAAGGATCCTGCTGGGTTTGTAACATCCCTTTACGTTTGTGACACAGGACTCGGAGGACGAAGAGATGGAGATCAACAGCAGTGATGAAGAGGAGACTGATTTTGATTTCAAGGTTGTTTTGTCATTTGTTTTTCTACTTTTAAATGAGGTATATAATATTTTCATCAAAATGTTAATCATCTACTCATGATTTATAGGAAGATGAGGAAGAAAATGAGGAAGAAGAGGAGGGGGAAGAAGAAGAAAACTTAACATTTGATGTTTATTAGATGACAAAAGGACAGAGACCAGCACCTCTCAAAAGGGCATGATGGAAGTCTGACATAACCAGATGTTGAAGAAGAGATGCTACAGACTGTTAGGTCATCTACATGGTTTACATCATTGTGATCACACGTCTGAGTGACACATTCAAGGTTGGAATAATTTCTGTAAAAATATAAAACAACAAACAAAAAAATATATTGTCACACAGAATGAGTATTTTTAGGCACTACTGTGGATTCCTGATAAAAAGACCTGTTGAAAACACGGAAACCCGAAGGGGTGCTGCTTTGGGTGTTATTTAAACAATTAAAGGGTTTTGCTGTTTGATTCTTCTCCATTGAACAAAATTACGAAGGGAAAAAGGCCAATGTACAGTAGTTTTTATTTTATTTTGCTAAGTTTTTATACATCTTCATAACTTCAAATTAAGCTGAATAAATGTTTCCACAAAGTAAAACAGGACATTTGTTTTCATTTTAGCAAGTCTGCATCTAAATGAAAAAGTATTAAACACTCAGTCTAACTTTAACAATGCTATTAAATAAAAAATAATTTCTAGGTGAAAAGTCCATTTAAATGCATACCTTTTACAGGTGTTTTGATTACAGTGTGACACGTTCAGTCACAGATTTTCCGTTTTCTAATTGAGATTTTGAACGCAGGGTTTTCATAAGCTGTAAGCCATAATCATCACAATTTTAACAAATACTTGAAATATCAGGCTTTGTAAGTAATGAGTATCTCAGTTTCAATTTAAGTTGATTTACTGAAACTTACACCATCTAATTTTTGGAGTTTGACCTGTATATTCTGGTATTTGCTCGATTTATCTTTTCGGCTGATAAAGCCCTTATTAAAGTTAACATCCGGGTAGACTGGTGTTATAATTAATTTAAAATGAAAATACATTTTAAGGCCCGTCCCCCCAATGTAAATGGTTATAAATAAAGCAGCAGTCTAGTGAGGAGCCGCCCGTCGGAGGGGTGGCGCATCGGTGAATCTCGTGCGGCGATCGATTACTTGTGTCTGATCTGTAAAGATGGATGCCTGTCGAAATTGGTAAATAAACTCAATTAGGAGATTCGCGTGGCTGCTGCTGCTGCTTTATTCGCGGGAGAAGTTACACGCCACGGTAAGAGCTTTGTACTTCTGGTTGTTGGAGGTCTAAGCGGCCAGTGGCGAGGCGGACAGCCGCAGTGCAGCAGTGAGTTCGGAGACGAGAAGAAGCCGCCTCGCTCGCTCGCTCGTGCTGCCGTAGTAATGATGTGCTTCCTCAGCTGCGAAACAACTCGGTAAACGCGTCATATCGTGTTTAACGACTCCGCTTGGTCCGGTTCGGGTTCCACGTTCAGCTCCCGGTCGGATTTGCCGCTGACTTTATAATTTAGTGCGCAGATTAACCGCTTGTTTCCTCCTGGAATTTGTCGATCTTTCCAGCCTATTCATAGCCCCGCTCTTTGTTTTCTTCAAGGTTCGAGCTAAGCTACTTTCATTGATGTGAAGTGTTGGGCTGTCGGTGTGTGTGTGTGTGTGTGTGTGTGTGTGTGTGTGTGTGTGTGTGTGTGTGTGTGTGTGTGTTCCTGTCTCCTGACTTTCTGTGTTATGTGTGGTTCGCAGGGCTTGTGAAGATTGGGAAGTAACTCCCAGGCTCCGTGTTCAGCGTGTAGTTAGTGAGTGTCTGCATCACACATCCAATGCTCACAGGCTGATTGGCATCCATTGTTTCAGCTGGGTCTCTGCTGCTAACCCACTGCTCCTGTCTCCTGCTGCAGCCCTGATCTGGCCAATGCTGGCTGCAGCTACAGTATGACCAAAGCAGCGTCTGCTCATCTGGTAGTTCTGGCAAATGAAAATGGAGGAGGTTTCAATGTCCAGCCTGGACAACAGCAAGCTGGAGGTAAACACTGACTGGGTGGTAATGCCACAGAGCAGGTGTGGAAATCCATCCACATCACGTCTCTGCAGGCTGTGCTGCAGAAGTCTTGGAAACAACCCCAGCTGTAAACGCGTACACAAATAGAAATGTTTCTCCTCCCTGGCAGGCCCTAGCACAGGACATCCTGTCTGACCTGGTGGAGGATGCATGCCTGGGTCTGTGCTTTGAGGTCCATCGGGCTGTTAAGCAGGGATACTTCTTTCTGGATGACACGGACCAAGAAAGCATGAGAGACTTTGGTGAGCAGACCCGTCTGCTGAGATAGATGCTAGACGGATTGTATTTGTGCAACATTTTTCTAGACATTTAATACTTCCCACACCCATTCATACCCCAATCTGCAGATGGGCTTCTGTGTCAATTGAGCAAGTTGGGATTAACCTCTCAAACTTTCAGATTGACAAATGACTGATTCCCCCCCTGAGCCACTACTTGGTTTATATCTAAACTACAAATCAAAATTAAATAAAGCTGTCCTGCTGCTCAGAAGTTTGGGATCATGCAGTGTTTAAATCTTCAGCCTAAGGTTTGCCAGACTGTAACTACCTCAAAATGTTCTTTTTTGTTTCATTAAATCAAAAATTTCAAGAAAGTATTCAAAATTTCCGTTCAAATCTTCACATTTCACTCTGGCAATGTCTCCATCTCTTTATTCATTTGCTGCATTTTCTTTTCAGACCAATTTTATGTTTTGTTTCTCTGAAAAACAGAAAATTTCCAATAGACTTGAGCAGTGGCGTATGTAAAAGTAGTAAAAACGTGTGCGTGAAGGCCTGGTTTTGATACTCAGAAATCGTGGACGAGCCCGGGTTGGACGTGTTTGGCCAAGTCTACAACCAGTGGAAGAACAAGGAGTGTGTTTGCCCCAACTGCAGCCGAAGCATTGCCGCCTCTCGCTTCGCCCCTCACCTGGAGAAATGCCTTGGGATGGGACGAAACAGCAGCCGTATAGCAAACCGCAGGTAAGTGATGTAGCTTGTGTAACCTCGGATGTTACTGGGAGACTGAAAATTACACTGAGCACAGTCCTGCTCAAGCTGTAGTGATGTGTTAATGTCATGTAGAGTGTTTAAAGATGTGGAACACTGAAAAACAATTTTTATTAAGTATTTCTGATTATAATCGGTCACTGAGTTTTTTTTTATGCAGGCTGATCATGAAAATGGCCTACACCTATCTTCTACATTAGTTTCTGATAGAAAATAGACGTCGAAACTCTTAAGATTAGAAAATCCTGACAGATCTACGTCACACTGTCAATTAACATTCATGGACTCACTCATCTTGACTCACGACGGGGAAGGCTGTTGTTGGTTTAGCATCCAGGAAACAGCAGTGAACGTTTTGGCTACTAGAAGCTAACTATTAGCATTAGCAACTCCACCACACAGCAGAACTCATTCAGGCTCATGCTATTTGTGTAGATAAAACACCAACGTTGCAGAGTAAATGGTCCGTGGTAGAGTCGTGTTGCTGTTAGCCAATCAGATTAGAGATGTCCAAATATGAAGTAGTAAGACTCCAAATCCTGTCATTTTGAAGCTCTCCTGATGTGACAATATTCTGGTTCTTGAAACAGGTGCACCGGAGCTTTTCCTTCCCAGAATACAACTCACAAGCCATTCATTCCTACTAGAGACCCCTGCAAATGTGTTGATTAAATGGGCGTTCAACACCTTTAAAGTGTTTCAGAATGTTCTGAGCAGCGGGTAATGCTGAGTGTGTGTGTGTGTGTGTGTGTGTGTGTGTGTGTGTGTGTGTGTGTGTGTGTGTGTGTGTGTGTGTGTGTGTGTGTGTGTGTGTGTGTGTGTGTGTGTGTGTGTGTGTGTGTGTGTGTGTGTGTGTGTGTGTGTGTGTGTGTGTGTGTGTGTGTGTGTGTGTGTGTGTGTGTGTGTGTGTGTGTGTGTGTGTTCACAGAATAGTCACTGGCAACAACACCAACAACAAGTCAGAGAGTGACCAAGAAGATAACGACGACGTCAACGATAACGACTGGTCTTACGGCGCAGAAAAGAAAGGTGAGTCTCCGGTGCTCCTAGAAACATCACGTAAAAGTCATAACTTGGATATACGCTTTAATCCAAACTGTCTTTCATTTGCAGCGAAGAAAAGGAAATCAGATAAGGTGATTGTTATTAATCTATTTAGTTATAATAAAGGATGAATTTTAGTCTTGACTTGTTGACTTTTTTTTTTTTTTTTTTGCAGAATCCAAACTCGCCAAGAAGATCGAAATCCTTCAAGCATAAAAGCAGTGAGTGTTCACTAGCGTTTTTGTTGTTCTATAGAATAAAAGCTTATTATATTTTTGCAAAACAACTGTAAAAACACAACAAAGCCACCCACTTCGCTACACTGGATCCATTACAAAGGCGTAAACCGTAAAACACTTTCTGACAAAACCTGTTGTGGAGGATGATCATAGTTAAATGTTTGAAGGCCAAGTTTAAATATCTGAAATTGTTCTGTTCACTATATGAACATTCTGACTTTGGAAAGCAGGCATCTATAAAATAAACAACTACTCGAAAATATGTATTTTTAAATCAGGTAATTTTCTAAAAGTGATTAACCAAGTAATTTGCATTTTAAAAATCTGAGGTCAAAAGATGAAAAAGAAAAGGGCTGAAAGCGAGAAAACAAGTCTTAAGTTCTAATAACAGAAAAACACATTTATTGTTCTCCTTCAGAAGTCTCAACTTTAGATTGAGTATGACAAAAAGAGAGCTGTATAAAGGGGAAAAGAGTGGAACAATAAACCAGTTATGTTTTTTTTAGATGCTTTTACCTCTTTTAGAGTTGTGCCTACACAACAAAAGCTAAACTTTAGATGAAAAAAAATTCCTTCATCCTCACAATTTTCTCCTTCTGTGTTTACAGGTACAGCAAGTAAAGCCAGTCAAGATAATGAAGCCCACGCACCACCCAAAGACTCCTACACTGCTTCTGCAAGGCCAGTGGGTAGGGGGTCAATGTTGAACATAGCTGTTTGTTTCAGTGTTCCTTTGATCCTCTGATGTGTTGTTTCCTCTAAGTGACTGATGGTTATGAGCTCCTTTAGAGCTCACCTGTTCTAATATGTGCAAAAATCCAAAAGGCTCTGAGACGTTGGTCTGCAGGGAAAAGCACTGCTCAAACAAAAAACTGAATACTTTCTTAAAAAACTGACGGTGTTCGTGCGTTTTTGTTTGTTCTGTAATTTGCTGGATGCTGTATGCAAAGCAGAGGTGTGGACTCGAGTCACATGACTTGGACTCGAGTCATTATTTTAATGACTTCTGACTTGACTTGATAAAATCTATAAAGACTTTCGACTTGTCTTGGACTTGAACCCCAATTACTTGCGATTTGAATCGACTTGCATCTGTCTTACTTGATGATGACTTGAGCATATTTGATATTTTAGCACTAAAGTGGCACGACACGGACATAAATCATTCTTCGTTCTGGGTTTGATCTTGTTCTGCTAAATGCAGCAGCTCTTTGTTTATAATCAGTTTCAGTTGCACTTCCTGCTTGTTTCAGCAAATAAATGAAGCTTTAAGAAGTTTTATTTCTGGAGTTTATCATTGTCATTAAATTGAAGTTTGACAGATGACTTGATTATGACTTAAAAATTCAAAGTTAAGGACTTGGACTTCCACATCATTGACTTTGGACTCGACTTGGTTGTCTTTGACTTGGACTTGACTGGAAAGGCTTGTGACTTACTTATGACTTGCAAAACAGTGACTTGGTCACCTCTGGTGCAAAGGCTTCAAACCAAATTTTTGCTTCCAAAGGTGCAGGACCGTTGGTAATCTTTTAAAGTAATCTGGATTAATCTTCCTTCACAAAAGGTTTTTTATCATCTGATTGTCATTTTCTGACCAGTTCCTTTACCGGACAATGAGAAGAAACATCATCTCTTAAAAGTAGACAAGCTGAGGACAAATTAGAAATTTAACTCTTAAAAAAATCTTGTTAACATCAGCAGAACGTCATCTCAATCTTTCAGCCAATCGACTGAAAATAGCCTTTTTATAAATCTGTCAAATTCCATTGTCTTTGGTGTTTTCAATGAATCCACCTAAAGAACTGAAGCAAATCCCACACCATACAACCTCAACCCAGTTTATTTAAACACTTTTATGACACGACGTGGCTGCACAGAGGGCAAAATAGAAAAACATTCAGAAATGAACATTAAAAAAAAGTTACAGACCAAACATACCAAACACTACAGTAGACAAAACCCGAAACTAAAATCGGGTGATAAGGCAAGTTAATAGGGAGCCTAAGTCTCCTCTCCTTCCACTGCTCATAGGTCCTCAGAACAAAGGGAGTAAATGCAAATGAATGAGGCTATAAAAGCTGTTTTCTAATCCGCTTTGACTCACCCCGGCTTTCCACTGGCCGTGGAAGCGGTTACGTAACGTAATAGCGCCGTTTTACTCGCAAGTTCGTTCCCAACCAGGAGTAATTCTGACGCGAGACGGGATTGAAAGTGCTCCATGGTAGTCTAGTGAACTAGACCAAATTTTAGTTTTGCTAAGTTTAGTCTAGGAGCTCTCCATTGGAACCTCCGCAGCCCCTAGCAGCATTCTGGCAGGCCAATCGCAGCTCTCTACAGGGGTTTCAAATTGATAGAGGGTGGTGATTGGTCTACAGTGGTGGACCAATCACAGTGCTCTATCGGCTTTGTGGGTAAATTGGGCCCTCTATTGGTCTGGTGGGCGGGGTGATGCGACGGAGTGGAACAAGATGGCGACAGCTCGTTTGAAATGGCTTTTACATCAATTTTGGGCTATTAGGACTTGGGCTTTATTAGAATCAGAAGCAGGTAGATGAATTTAAGTCCTTATTTATAAAAATTATGTATTTTTGCCGCCTTCAACAGCGGACTGCCTCATTTACCAACACCCGTTGAGGTGAGTATGTCACGTTGTTCAATGTCCAGTAACGTGTAGAAATCATTTGAAAGACCGGTAGAACCCGCCCCATGACTGAGAACCGTCAATGGAGTGTTGCCTGACTAAATAACATATTTATTTAGTCTGACTTGCCAGGCTAGTTCCACACAGCTGATCCCGTGTTGTCACAAAATCACAGAGGAACTACCAACACAAAGCGTGATTTCAGAAGTCGTCACACGATGATAATCAAGCAGAAAGACAGCTACATGTATCAAAAAATGTCTGGGGTTTATTTTCTTTTCTGTTTACATCGGTTACGGAGGTTATAATCAGAAATGACATGTTTACTTGCATGCGATTTTAATTCTGAAAGTTTCCGGATGTGTTTTACACTGCTCTTGAGTTAGGCTTCATGCAGAGTTTGATTTGTTTTTGGAAGCACCGTGCGTAAAAAATAAACTTGGGACATAATGATAGCGTGCCCACACTTCTGGGGTGCGTTCAAAACGTCACACTTTGCTGCAGGTGGAATTGAGCTCATCCACAATAATGGCGGCATATCGGCACGCAGTAAGTTTCGCGCCGCTTTCTCGTGCGGTGAAAATGAGGTGTTACTTCCTGAATCGAACACAATTTATTCTTTAATTTAAATGAAAATGTGAGTTTCGACTGTCTACTTTGAAATTTGTTAGCTTGAAAAAATTTGTAAATAAAATGACTACAAATCAGACGTCCCCGCAGAATCTCACGTACTGTACTGACTACATGTCCAGATTGTTTGCTTTGGTTTTCCCCACGTTTAATGCTCCTGTCATACCGGAAGAAAGATTTGAAGCTCGCTAAACTCACAGCCATTTTCTTCTCCGTGTCTGGTTTGATGACATCAATATGGTGAGATACATTTGTAGTCCTATACTTCTTTTCACACAAAACCTATTGTAACTTTTGCCACCGTTCAAAAATAAGCGTTTTCATGGCATGAAAATGTGTTTTTAAAATTCACTGACATCATAATGACTTGCATTCATTTTTTCGTTTTTCCGGGGACCCCGTAGTTCGGAAGTAGATGGAAGTGACTTAGGCTCCCTATAGCAATGTCAATAGGCAAGTTTTAAAATCCTTAAAAGATGGGGACTTTTTGACAACAAGCGCTCAATCCATGCTGGTTGTCTTTGTAACCAACTAACAAAATACTGAAAGATTCAAATGAACTTGTTCTTTTTTTTGTTAAGTTGTCTAGTGTTGCAACAACAGCTAATAAACCTTTTTGGGGTTTTTTTCCTTCTGAATATTTCCAGCTTCGAGATGAGTGGCCATCGAAGACAGACACACACACACATACACTCACTCTGAAAATGCTTGAGTACAGAACAGAAACTGTAAAACAACTGACAACGTTAAAATTCTCCAGAAAGTCCAAAAACTCTTGGTCACTTTTGAAAAAATCAATATTTGAATAATGAGACTTTTTATGACAGTACTATTTGGGTTAAAGGCATTTAAGTGGTTGTATTCTGTTTTTAATTTACATTTTTCTCAACTTTAAAAGGCCCAGGGATCTGCTCGTGTAGGATAAGAAATAAATAAAAACAAACCTTCCGGATCGCTTCTTTTGCAGCGTCCTATTCAGTGAATTTCGTCCCGTTTTTCTAGTCTAGAAACACAAATACTCAAACAGTATTGATGTAATTAGGACTGGATTCATAGACGGGTGTTTATATGATGTGTTGTTGTTTTTCTGCCTCAGGTATGATGGGTCCTAGACGTCGAATGGACAACCAGGAGAGTCCACGTATGTTGATGAAAGATGAGACATTCTCTCAGTAATGCACTTGGCCACAAACACATTCTTTTATCATTTGTGTGTAGACAAACACACAAGGAGACCAGTGGCACTTCAGCTTTGGTTCTTTATGTTGTCAAACCAATGGATGTGGATGTTTCTAGGTGACGTTTGGTGTGTTTGCTGCTCAGCAGAAGCAGCTCAGAAATCCTAGTCTGAACTGTTTTAGTCGCAGAATCATTTTACCAAAACTGTTTTTTTTTTATTTTACTTGTGTTTAAATTTCAGTCCTAAAAATGACTGTTTATGTATATTTTTTCCCCAGAGAAACTGATTTAGTGGTTGAGCAGGAACAACCGTTTCAAGCGCAACAATCTGCACAAGCAGTATTTTGTTTGTAAAACACAGAAAAGCTTAGACATTAGGTAAACTCAAATGTCCTCACTGTTTTTATCACATACCTTAAAAATAATGTCAAAGACAATCATGATGATGGTTTGTCTTTTGTTTTCATTCGGTCAGGGTTACACGAGCAGCTCTGTTTGTTTTTCACCTGTGAAAACTTGTCAGATAATGTTCAGGAAATGAACGGTTAATTGTACAAGAAAGCTGCAGAAAGCAGGTTTTTTTGTTTTGTTTTTGGTGGATAGATCAGTTTGTTTTCTAGCATTCAAATATGTCTTTGTATCATGTTTACATTGTAAAGGGTTGCAAATGTCTGTGGTGTGAAGTGGTAGTGTAAATATTCTAATAGTTGAAATGCTGCTATCATGACTCAGTTTGTTTCATCAGTCTAGCATAATAAATGATTTCTTACCTGTCACAAGACTTTGGGCTCATGAGGCGCTCGTCTGACCACCAGAGGGAGCGTTTGGTGAATCCAATAAACCTGTTTTAAGGGAAAACCTACTGAATGAGTACGTCACATTTAGATTTTTATCAAATTTGAACAGTTTAAGTTAACCTAAAAGAAAAAGTCTGCACACCCTTTATTAACCTCAAATTCTTGTCACCCAAAGACAAATGTCTCCCAGTAAAATGAAGCGGCTTCAAGCAAACTTCAAAATAAAACTTTAAAAATGTTTGTTTTTTCTGGACTACATTATCTTTTTGGCACGTCTTATGAAAGCTGAAATAAGCAGGTATTTTCTGAACAATAGTTTTGCTAGTTGGTGGATTTTTAAGAATAATAGTAACTGATTCTATTATGTATCAGTTTAGTTTTTAAAAATGTTAAATTATACATTGTTTTGTTCTAATAAAGCAATTGTTGCCATAAAACATCAAGAGTAGCCTAATTTAGTTTGAATTAGAACAAAACAATTAAAAGACATTAGGGGGAAACTGATTATTTCTAAATGGTAATCAAGGTACAGCAGTAATAAGTAATAAGAAACATTTCGACTTCCAGCTTTCTTTTTCTGTTTGCATAATGCCTGTGATTACTTCCATTTAAGAAAGTGGGCGTGCACTAAGGCAATGTCTTATAAAGGTCACATCTCAAAAATAAAATGCATTCATTTTAATGAGAGAAAATTAACCGGTAAAATATTTTTCTTTGTGTTTTCTGAAAAATATGTTTTGAAGTTGATTGAGCGCCAAACCCATGAACTGATATTTCCGATTGTCCTGAAGGCAGCATGTTGGTGTCGCGTGTGGGCAGTTCAGGGTACTTTAAGTCGCTTCAGGACTGTAGTTTGTGGTAAGTCAGGCGCTGTCAGCTTTCACGGTAGCCTCCCGGTGAAACAGTGGAGTCTGTTGGTGCAGTTTATTCGTATAAAGATGGGTGAGATATGACAAGCGTCCACCGCTCCGTGTCTACAGAAGGAGCAAAAATAAGGTAGGAGGAGATCCCGGAACTTCAGTCGCTCTAGCTAACATTAGCTAGCTTTTTGTTGACAGTGTGCGTTGCTGTCAAACCCGGACATCACCTCCGCAGCACTAGTGGTCGGTAACGACCGCTTCTTCTGACTTCCTGCGCGAGTGACGTCCACTCACCAGCTTCCTATCGTACCTTGTTTCGTTTGAAGTTTCTGTCACTTTTAAAACAAACAACTTGTGGAGTTAGAAGATGGCATCAAGAGGGGGCTTCCCAGCTCCCCAGATGAATCCGAATGTGAACCCCATGAATGTTGGCCATGTAGCGGGGATGAGGATGCCGCAGCCCCCGGTGGGTTACAGCCGGAGCATGAACAACCCCCAGTATACTCAGGTTTGGTTTCTTTTTAATTGTGTAAACACATTTCATGATGTGGAAAATATAAAACTAATAATTATCGTTAATAAAGCTGGTCATTCTGACAGCTTGTAATGACTAAAACAATCTCTACATATTAATAGAAATCAATTTATAACCCATAAGAATGTGGGTGGTGCTTCCGCCTTTGAGAAGTCTCTAGTTACTTCCTGGCATCATTTTAACAAATACTTTTTTAGAAATGCGTCTCCCCATCACTGAGATCCTTTAAAATATACTATTCAAATACGGTTAAAAAAAAAAGTTACATTCAGTTAAAAATGATCGATGTCACGTGGTTGCCTTTGGCCTCTTGTCAGTTAGAGAAAAAGTTTATCATTACCACCATCTGCCCATGGGCAAGCCTGCATGCATATATTATTGCAGCGTTGCCTCCATCTGCAGCGTTGTGTGGTGGAGCTGACAGGCAGCAACACATTCAGAGATCGTTGCGTTTCTGCTACACAAGAATTCAAACCAAACAGTATAAAGTTTGTGGAAAAATAAAATAGTGGAGCATAAAAATCCACTAAAACGCCTAAAACCTGCAGTGATTTATTTTGCATCCTGATATACATCGACAAATATAACAAAAATAATATTGTGATAGGATTTCCCCTGGCTCTTGCACATCTATAATCTTTAATTCTATGTTTTTTCAGCCTTTTGTAAGCAGTTTTTGCAGGGCCCCACTGATGAGCACAAGGCCTCTTAAGTGACGGGTGTGGCCTTTAAAAACTTTATTTGCACGGCTATGTGCGAATGTAATAACCATGTGAGCAGTCTCAACATGGGTTAAGCTGCTTTAATTGTCGACAGTCCTAATGTCTTTTTTTGGATCGTTTAAGTAATGGTAATAATAGAGATGCACCGATGATGCTTATTTGTGATTTGTTTTAATGCAGTTGGTTGCACAAACTCAATTATGTTCCTGTGTCAAAATGCAGTTAGTTTTTGGAACTACATAACCTGAGATGTTTGCTGATTGTTCACTAAAGTAATTTATAGTTATAAGTGAAACTGATAGCATTTCCTACTCATTAATTTAAATAACACCATGTAAACAGCTTTTTCTGTTTGCGTTAAAATGTTTTTTTTTTGTAAAATGCATAAAAAGTAAACAAACCACTAACTAAAATGTAGCTTTGAACAAGAATCCATGTTTAACAAGGGGTGCTTATGCATCTGAGGTGAAAGGAAAGTAATAGTAGTCATTTTAAGCATAAACATTTTTGGAAGATTGTTTACCCATGCCTCATGCTACTACAAGAATAGGTGTGTTTCCTTTACCAGAACTTCAGGGTAAATGCAGCGAGGGGGAAACTGACCGGGAGAGCTGAAGGGGCGGTCCTCTTAGCTGTTGTGTCTCCATTTACAGTTTGGTTCTTGGTTGGTTGGTAAGGAATTTGCTAAAACGTCAGCACATTGCGACCGCTGTGTTGTGAGTTACATCATTGATTGGTGCAAAACATGCAGACCGCACCAAAAGCAGTGAACAAAACATCACTTCCAGGCTCAGGCATCATGGCTGAAATTCCAGCGCCCCCACCCTGATTTCCGACTGAGTTACAAACAATCAGCAGCATTCCCGCTCATCTACTGCACTGGGCCATTTACCAGGCCACTCCAAGTCCCTACCCTTGATCAGGTACTCAGAAGGTTCCTGAAAATGGCCATTTGGGCGGCCCGGTCAAGTAGAGACACGTCTACCCTGAAGTTCCGGTAATGGAAATGCCCAGTTGTTTAATTATCTAATTTATAGTTTAAAATACTTTTTTTATATTCTAGTGGAAATAATTGCAATTAAAAAAAAAACACAGCTTCAATCTTCCTCCTCCTACTCCAGCGCCCTGGGATGCCACTTGGCAGAGTAGCAGGCCCCATGGGGTCAATGGGGGGTCAGCTTCCTGGTCCTTCCTATGGCGGTGGTAACATTCCAATGCGACCAGGCATGGGATCTCCAAGCATGGACGCCTCCAGGAAGCGTTTTCTTCACCAGCAGCAGCAGCAGCAGGAGACGATGGGAGGCCTGAGGAGAGGGTAAACTGTTGGGCCAGTTTTGTGACCCTAAATTACTCAGATAAACATTTTTTTCACAATTATTTGTTTATTAATGTTTTCATTTAGTTCTCGGTTTCTAAAATGGGGATGGCTAAAAATCTAATTGGTCTCTAATTACAGCTTTATGGAAATTTATGTAATGAAGTTTCTCCTGATAGTGATAAGTGAAAAAAATACTCAGTTTATTTCATGATACAGAAAAGAGCAAAAGTCCACAATAATAGTTGGTTGTTAGTTTTAACTGTTTTTGCACACTTTAGCTTTAAACGTGTCACAATGAAATGTCATGTTTATTTAAATTTCACCTTCAGGCTTTCATGGAAATCAAGTTGCTGCTGCAGAAATGTCAGATGGGCCTGATTTTCAAAACCAATGAACATTTCCAGATTAGGACAGATGCAATAATGGACTAATCAAACTCATGGGTTGACTCTGAAGTACTGCAGAAGGGAGAACTGAGCAAAGTACAGCTGAGCGTCTGTGGACATAAGGATACCAGAATCTCATGACCGTCCTTTGCTTTCTAAGCTACCAACACAAGTGACTATTTTAGACTTCAAACTGCCTTTGAACACACCAAAACCACAATGTGACGCAGCCTTTATAGTCTCATCCACAATGGGTCTGTTGTGCTCTGAGGCTTATTTTGTAACAAGTGAGGATAATTGAGCCACTTTGCTCAAAGCTTCATCCAAATGTTTGATTAAAGCTGTTGGGAATGACGCCATAAAGAATTTAAACTGAGTTATTTAATTAAAGAAACAAAGGCACCCTTGTGAGCTTAGTGGCAGTGATAAGTGGAAACCTCAGGGAGATTTAGTGAGGAGCTGATCTTATCTGAGATTGTCTTATCACACTGTAAAGTAGTCCACAATTCTCTGATAATCAAAAATGACCTTTTAGTCAATCTTCTATCATGTATTTGTGCTCGTCCTTGAGAAATCGGTTATGGAAGGAATGATGGAACCAAATTTTCTCTTTTTTTAATTTTTTGAGGATTTAGTTTGTTGTGGGTGAGTTTTTGTCAAAACTTAACTATAGTTCTATTTCCTGTGGTTTAGAGCCAAAAGACGCAAGATGGCTGACAAAGTTCTGCCACAGAGGGTAAGGTAAATGTAGTAAAGGAAAGAGCTGTGAGATTAAAAATCTCATTTACATTTCAAACAATCCATTTCAGATATTAGAGTCCACCTAATCTCAACTTTTAGTTTTCCTTTTCTTCAGATCCGAGACCTGGTCCCAGAGTCCCAAGCCTACATGGACCTCCTGGCCTTTGAGAGGAAGCTGGATCAGACCATTGCCCGGAAGCGCATGGAGATTCAGGAAGCCATCAAAAAGCCCATCATGGTATCTCCTTGTGTTGTGTTCTTCAAAGGAAAAATAAAATTTCCAAAAAATTTTTTAGAAACCCCAAAAACTAATGAAAGAAAACAGTTTAATCAAATAATGACAAACGTTAACGCATAAGTCACTCCCGGACTTAATCAACCCACACTTCCTGTTTGAAAATGTGCCTAAAGGAGGTGCTGCCTGGTGGACCAGGAGAGCGGCGCTCAGTCAGTGACTGACAGCACCCCGTCCACCAATCACCCCCACACGCAATCGGAGTTTCTCTGTCGGGGAAACGAGCCATTTAGAAGCGCACGCATGCGTGCACACACATTCACACATACATATACATACACACACACACACACACACACACACACAAGCTGCCACCTCCTTCACCAGAAGAAAGAGAGGAGGATGGTTTTTTTTTGGATGGTCTTTTTAAGAGGCAAGTGGCTCTGGGCCATGTGGTTTTGGATCGGCTCGTGTGGGGCACAGACTCGACTGCTTCTTTACTCCTCAGCTGCAGTGGAAGTGACTTCACACTGTACTGTTTTAGCCAATAGCAAAGGCTGATTCAAATTCACAATGGAGCACAATTTTAACCTGAAGAGGGCGCAATGCTGACGGTTTTAGGCAGAAATTTTATATTTAATACAAGTTGCACTGAAATGCTAAAACAATTACTACAGCCCTATTTGACACTAATTTATACAGTTTATCAGAAAAAAGTTGATTTGGGGGTGTCTCAGTCTTTAAATGATTTAAACAACCATTTCATTTATATTAAGGCTAATTTTTGTTTTAAAATCACCAAATCGTGTTCTCCAAGTTGTTTGGAGTGCACTCTTTTTGCAATTTCTGATATTCATTCAGTTAATTTAAAGATGTAGCAAAAATAAAAAAAATGTCTGAGTTGTTTAATCTAAGGGTGTTCATCTGATGTTTTAGTTTGTAGAACATCCTTTTCAAATTAAACATGGCTGATTCCAGATCAGACTTGCTATTGACAAAGATTTTAATTATTTGCATCTGGAAATAGTGGCTCTGAACCCTAATGTAGACAAAGAAACTCTTAAGTTAAAAAGAACACGTTCTTAGGGTGTAAAAGTAAAAACTTATCCATCAGTTGGATGGTACAAAGATGAAGGTGGACAGATCAACTATTGAATCTATTCTGAGAAAAAAGGACATGCCAGTGAGCCCAGTAACTGCTGTCAGATCCACCTCTTAAAGAAAAAAAAACTGAGCAGGGTTGACTTTTCACAGCAAAGAGAAACATCTGGAATAGGCTGACATCAGGCGTTGGTGGTATAGTGGTTAGCATAGCTGCCTTCCAAGCAGTTGACCCGGGTTCGATTCCCGGCCAACGCAAGTTTCTTTTAAAGGTTTTTCTGCAGGTTATATTTACAACGTAACTCCTTTGATTAAGAAGGGACCACTGTACAGCGAAGTGGAGTGGATGTTACAAACATCGCTCTTGTAGCCTCAAATGGAACTTTCTCTGGTTGTTGGTGCAACTGCATACAGAGCAACATGTTCTCAAGCTGTGGGAGTACATTTTCGTGGGGAAATGGTGATTAAAATTCCCTTGGAATGTCCAGATAAACTGCTAAAAGAAACAAAACCTCACCATGCAATCCAGTGGCTATGAGCTGCTTCTGGTATCTCACCAGATGTTGCACACATCATCGTTTCTACATGAGGAAGCTAAGAAGAAAGGACATGCCAGTGAGCTCAGCAACTGCTGTCAGATCCACCTCTTAAAGAAAAAAAAACTGAGCAGCGTTGACTTTTCACAGCAAACTAAAACATCTGGAATGTGCTAACATCAGGCATTGGTGGTATAGTGGTTAGCATAGCTGCCTTCCAAGCAGTTGACCTGGGTTTGATTCCTGGCCAATGCACAATTCTTTTAAATGTTTCCCTACAGAGGGACAAATAAAGACTTATTCTGTTCTACAAGAAAAAAGTTCATTTGGAAATTTGCTACGATTCACTTTGGAAAAATGAAACTGAGATGAACTTCAGAAAGTCTAGAAACTATCACAATTCAGTGTTAAACAGTGTGTTACCACGGTTGTTCTTAGCTGCGGCTGTTAGCGGATGATGCGATAGGAGGCAGAAGCAGCCTGATAAACGTGTGACATAAAATAATCTGCTCAGATTGGGTCAGATGCAGTGAAGGTGACTGGATGGCCTCTATCAGCACTGATAAAGAAGTTCAAAAGTTTTTCTTGACTTAGGAATGAAAGAATCTGCACCAACTTTCTCTTTTCATGTGAAAAAAAAACTAACAGCAGAAACATTCATGACTGCAAAAAAACTTTAATTTGGGCAAAGGGTTTAAATCCACCTGTGACTGTAAAGGATTTAGAGCAAAACAGGAACATTATCTATTGGTATTACTTTTCTGGTGAACAACGATTTGATTGAAATATTTTTGTTCGTTTCTTGCATGACTCAACAAATGCAAAAACTAACAGCAGAAACATTCATGACTGCAAAAAAGAAGAGAGATACTTTACTGTGTTAACTGTTCGGAAAAGCAAATACAGCACAGTCCTGTTAAAGCTGCATTCGGAGTTTTCCCCTTTTAGAAATGATGTATGATTTTTCAGAAATCTGTAAAAGTGATTATCTCATGTACTGTGAGAAAATGTAAGCAATACGTCCTTTATTTATTTATTTTTTTTTTGCTAAGCACGTCACCTGCCCCGCAGAGCTCCATTCAATAGGGAACTGAGCGGTGACCAGAGCTTACCAATAGCGTGAGACTACCGCTTATTTGCTTCAAATTTAAAGAATACCTCGGTTGATGCAGAGTTGATTAAATTTTCACAGACAAGTAAGTCTAAAATATAATTATATAAAACACAACATGACATGAGGATATTACTCGTAAAACAGCGTGTTTTAGCTCTGTCCGCTAAGAAGCACATTTATAAACAAACGTGAAGTCGCGATCTTAAACAAACAGAGGAATAGACTTTTTGTGTGATATGCTTGTCAGCCACTAGATGGTGCCATCAGATAAGAGAAATACTCCGGAAAGAAGCTTTAAGTTATGAACTTTGTGTGCCACAGAGGACAATTCGTGTTGAGTAATGACTTAGGTTTACGTTTTTATTTTTGATTCGAACTGAACCAAGAGCATACTTAAAGCTGCTTTAGCAATTTTGCAGAACAATCTAGGTTTTGAACGCTAACATGTTCACGGAACACTCACCCTTCCCCTCCAGTATTTTACCCGAGATGCGTTTGCTGGAACCGGAATCCTGTTATTACAGAGAAAACTAGAGAGCGCTAAACACCAGTTACTGTTTTTTAGGTCCAAACGTCTTTTGTTGTCCTTGACTTCAAATGGTGTTTTTCTTTTTGGGACTCTGGTAGTTTGTCCTAAAGTTGAAGTGGTAGCAGCCGACTTTTTCTCCTTCTCTGATATTATTGAGCAGCAAAACTCTCACATCAGTGGTGTTCTGTTGCTAACTACATGATTGTGTAATGAATGGAGGACACACGGTTTGCACCGGACCAACAACCGAATGGTCCAGAGGTTGCTTTTGGTCTGAAACACGTTATTTGCAAAGATTTTTAGACAAATGCGAGAAAACCACTTCATGAAATTTTTCTGTTTTTTTTTTATCTTTAAAATATTTTTATAGTTGTTAGAGCACTGTTGAGGCATGAAAAGAAGAATTTTAAGCTAATTTAGTTTTACAAATTTGCCATTGTAGCTTTACTTTTAGCTAATTTACTGTAAACTGTTTGAACGTGTAAAATGTGAAGTTCCATTGTTGAATATATTTGAGTTGAGTAGCAAACGTGTTGTTTTGGTTTTTGTGTCATTTAATGTCTAGGGCAGGGATTCCCAAAGTGTGGTGCGCGCACCCCTGGGGGTGCGCGAGCTGCCGCTAGGGGGTGCGCGAGGTGAAAAGTGTAATGGCTGCGGAGCTCAGAGAAGTCTGTCATGTGTCACTATTATTGTAGAAACTCATTTGTGGGTGGGCCAAAGAAAAAGTAAGTGGGCCCAATAAATGTAATTGAAAACAAGTATATTTTTGCGCGTGCGTGTCCTCCACATGTGCCATAGCTTCATAATAACAATGCGCCGAGCTTCAGCACTCTGGCCTGCGCACGCCGATATGTTCCGTATTTGATCATTTTTAACGGTGTTGGACGAATCTGAAGGTGGCGAGTCATTCTGGCAGATTGTAATTAACACCCTGTCTCATGCAGGTGTTCTGACATTGTAAACCTCACACACAGAACATTGTGGATGTAACAAAATAACAAGAAATGATTCCCATTCAGGCTATTGACAGCGCGCTGAAGATCTGAAGTTCAGAGTGCGTCTGTCAGAGGTCAGACGTGTTCCAGCGGAACCACGGCTCACGAGTGCACATGTGAGCACATCTGGGCTGGGCAGAAGTTTAAATAGCGCCAATAACGAGACGCGCGCACACACACAGATTCAATAAGCACGCACGCTGCTTTAACTCTGGCGCGCCGTCAGACTGAAGGCAGAAATGAACGCTGCCTCCACCACGATAAAAACTTTTAAGAGGTTATTTTTCATTCAAGGTCAAATTAAGATATTAGCTTCTGGGATGAGTCGGGTCCGCTCCAGCCAGTGACTCCTCATGAACCTGACCACAAGTCCTGTTACTGCAGCATTTGCTATTCCAGTCAGCGTGGCAGCGGATCGCAGATTCAGCCACACCATAAAACAGCAATAAGTCGGTCTGAGGTAAAAGTGAACATCATGGCTATATCTTGTCCCCTATTGACATTTGATTACGCACAAGTAGGTGATCAGCTCAGGTTTACGCAGAGCAGAAGGAAGGAGAGCGCTCTGGCCGCACAGGTTAAACGTTCCTACTTTAAGAAAACCGTTAAATTGCATTATTTATGTGCTACCTGGGCACTCTAAATATTTATTTAAAATGAAATCAAAGGAAATTGTAATGGTATCGAATGTTTAGTATTTACTATTTAAAAAATGAAAGTGATGGGGAATTTTTTTAACCCTGTCTGTTTAGCTTGACATCTGATATATATATATATATATATAGAGAGAGAGAGAGAGAGAGAGAGCCATGCCCCGATATGTGTGTGTGTGTGTGTGGGGGTGTGGGGGTGCATCGACATGGTCGGGACATAGAAGGGGGTGCGCGGCTAAATAAGTTTGGGAACCACTGGTCTAGGGTGATGAACCATATGATAGGTTAGCATCCTTTATGAGGTTGTTTGTGCTGCAGGAAAAGAACACTTTTATCGATATCTGCCTTACCCCTCATGAGCCCTTGCGTAAAATTTGCAACTGACCTCCAGTCTGGTGTTTATTAGGAATCATAGATGGATGATGCCATCTGTTCCTGGTAGTTCACATTTTAGGAGATTTTTAGAGACCTAAATTATATGGGAACACCAGCTGTCATAGCTCAAATGGGATGTCGTTACAACCCCCTGACTACTGCAACAGAGGGATGTAGGATGGTATGGAAATCTGGTCAAAGCTAACGCACAGTAGCATTTTTAGCCACTTTATTAACTCTGTCTCATCCAATGGTGAGGCAAAGAACAATCTTTAAAGCTCCGAGGCTTATCAGTCGCTTCATCGTAATATACTTGGTCATGTTTTGTTGAAATAAGTGGGACACAATCTTATTTACTTAAAAGCAGACATAAAGTCAAGTCAAAGCCTTAAATCCCTCATCATTAAGCCTGGGTTTTAGTTTTCTACATCAGGTGAAATACAAGACCGGGTCCTCCATTGATGTACAGTGGTCCCTCGCTATAACGTGGTTCACGATCTGCAGTCTCGCAATTTTGCAAATTTTGTTTTGTGCAATTTTGCATGTATTTTTTTAACAAGGAATTGTGTTCTGCATCCAAAGGTACCAAGGTTTGAACTTTGACAGTATTTAAACAAGAGAGAAAGGTGTGAAAATGTTAATGCCTGTCTGAAGTGTACAAAGTGTGTAGTGAGGGCTTTTACTGCCTTAAAACATTGCAGAGTTGTGCTGGGACGAGCACGTCTGCGGTGGAGAGGATAGTGGCTGTGTCAGCGGGAGCGCGCTGTGCCATGACTGGAGCACATTAGTAATCAGCGTTCCTGCAGCTTTATATGCAGGAGGAAGAGACGCAAATCTCTACAACGAGAGCCTGAAACGCTGCCGTTAGTGTAAAACATGCATGCGTGCTAGAAATAAAACTGTTGAGAAACAGACATTCTGGTGTGTTTTTGTGTGTGGGACCCCAATAGTAGCTGCGTACGTTACAAACATCTATAATCATTGTAAAAAATGAAGCTAACTATTTTGCAGATTTCCCCAATTGCTGGTTATTTTTAGAATGTCACTCCAGTGATTACCAAGAGATACTTTACAGCAACCTGAAAGAAACTGAGCAGGGTTGACTTTTCACAGCAAAGAGAAACATCTGGAATAGGTTGACATCAGGCGTTGGTGGTATAGTGGTTAGCATAGCTGCCTTCCAAGCAGTTGACCCGGGTTCGATTCCCGGCCAACGCAGGTTTCTTTTAAACATTTTTCTGCAGGTTATTTTTAGAACGTAACTCCTTTGATTAACAAGGGACCACTGTGCAGCGAAGTGGAGTGGATGTTACAAACTTGTAGCTCTTGTAGCCACAAATGGAACTTTCAACATGTTCCCAAACTGTGGGAGTACATTTTCGTGGGGAAATGGTGATTAAGATTCCCTTGGAATGTCCAGATAAACTGCTAAAAGATTCAAAACCTCACCACGCAATCCAGTGGCTATGAGCTGCTTCTGGTATCTCACCAGATGTTGCACACATCATCGTTTCTACATGAGGGAGCCCAGGAATAAGGTGGATATGTCAGGAGAGACACCCCGGTTTATGAAGACAAAACCAGCACAGGCACAAGGATGAAGGGTGGACAGATCAACTATTGAATCTGTTCTAAGAAGAAAGGACATGCCAGTGAGCTCAGCAACTGCTGTCAGATCCACCTCTTAAAGAAAAAATAACTGAGCAGGGTTGACTTTTCACAGTGAATTGAAACATCTGGAATGTGCAAACATTAGGTGTTGGTGGTATAGTGGTTATCATAGCTGCCTTCCAAGCAGTTGACCTGGGTTTGATTCCCTGCCAATGCAGATTCTTTTCAAAGGTTTCCCTGCAGAGGGACGAATAAAGACTTATTCTGCTTCTACTAGAAAAAAGTTAATTTGGAAATTAGCTACAATTCACTTTGGAAAAATGAAACTGAGATGAACTTCAGGAAATCTGAGAGAATTGAGAAACTTTCATGATTCAGAGTTAAACACGTGGAGTCAGTGTGATACAATGGTTGTTCTTAGCTGCGGCTGTTAGCGGATGATGCGACAGGAGGCAGAAGCAGCCTGATAAACGTGTGACATAAAATAATCTGCTCAGATTGGGTCAGATGCAGTGAAGGTGACTGGATGGCCTCTGTCAGCACTGATAAAGAAGTTCAACAAGTTTTTCTTGATTTAGGAATGAAAGAATCTGCACCAACTTTCTCTTTTCATGTGAAAAAAAAACTACAGCAGAAACATTCATGACTGCAAAAAAACTTTAATTTGGGCAAAGTGTTTAAAATATTAGGTAGCCTGTGACTGCAAATGATTATATCTTCTCAGGTGAACAACAATTTGACTGAAATGTTTTGTTCTAAATGAAATGTTTTAATTTTTTTTAATTTTTTTAATTTTTTGCATGACTCAGCAAAAGCGAAAGCTTAGGATCTACATTTCCAACACTTTCACTCCCAGCAAACCTGACGGCGAGGAGGCAGAGAAAGTGTCCTCGTGGGAGCTGAGAGTGGAAGGCAAACTCCTGGAGGAGGTAAGAGGGCGTCTGAATGTTCTTGCTTTGTCTCACAATCGTCTCAATGTCTTCTGGCCCCAAATGTTTCAGCCTGTTGTTTTTCTGTAAACTTCAGTTGGCCTGTGTCCTTGGCTCAGACCACACAGCCAGATGTGTGTTTGCAACACACACACACAAGCTCATGTTGAAATAGAGAATTGAAACCACTGGCCGTTGCATACCATGAGCTGATATTCCTCCCCTCCCTCCATCAATTCCAGCTCAGCTCATTGTGTCATCTGGGGCCACGGAAGATGGATGTTTTCTTCTTCTTTTTTTCCTGCTAATTTTTTCCCTCCTGCTCGTTGGGTTTGAGCATGTGTAGGAGCTCCACATGGAGCAGAGGCAAAAAGAAAAGGGGAAGGAGTGAAGGAGGTCGCATTGAGCAAACAGACTTTGACAGGGCCGCGGGGGGGGGGTGGGAGGCTGCAACAGCTTTTTCTACTCAACAGTTTGGTTCCTCACCCCTGATGTGGTCAGAGCTAAACAATGCAGCCCCAGACGAACTCTGCACAGCAAGGGAACACTCATGGTTATGTGTTTCGCTGTCTGTTGTATTTTCGTGTTCTCTGTGTTTTCAGCCTGGAAAGCAGAAAAGAAAGTTCTCCTCTTTCTTCAAAAGTCTTGTGATTGAGCTGGATAAGGAGCTTTATGGACCTGACAACCACTTAGTAGAGGTATGACAGGAGGAGGTGTGAAACAGCCCCGAACACTGTTGGTTAGGGTTAGGATGCTGTGTGAGCTCACACACAGTTCTATTTTCAGGATTTGACCAAAATGACTAAAACTTCCATCGTTTCTCGGCACAAGATGGTTTTAATTTAAAACTTGACATGAAGATGGCATTTAAAGGTGTGTTTTTATTGGTTTCTTCTCCAGTGGCATAGAATGCCCACCACTCAGGAGACAGACGGTTTCCAGGTCAAAAGACCCGGAGACGTGAACGTCAAATGCACTCTTCTGCTCATGCTGGACCACCAGGTACCTCCCTGCTAATAACACTGTTCTAAACCATCTGCATTATTTGACGATTTCACTAAGCTAACCTTGTTCCAACTTTAAACCTTTTGTCAGCCCCCTCAGTACAAACTGGACCCACGATTGGCCCGTCTCCTGGGCGTGCATACGCAGACTCGGGCCAGCATCATGCAAGCTCTCTGGCTCTATATCAAGAACAACAAGCTGCAGGACAGTCATGAGAAGGAGTACATCAACTGTAACCGCTATTTCAGACAGGTAAGCTCCCACTGGGAAGGGAATGAGACATGCTGGCATCATAGAAATGAAGTTTTGCTTGTTTTGTTTTCTATCCAATGTAAATATCTTAAATGTATCAATGAGCACAGTTTAAGTTTTACAACAAATTGATGTTAAAACACCAATAAATCAAATCTTGAAATAAATAGTTGACACCATCCAACTAATAACTGATCAGCTACATTATGACCTCACTTTGTCCCACTAAACCAGTTCTGATCCACTGGCATATGCCCTCCAGTCCCATCTAACCATTACAGTAGACACGTTTACATTATTGGAACTTCCAAGTAGTTTGACCAGACCTTTGTGTCATGCGCGTGTCTCCATTTCACCAGGCTGGCCAGATAGGACCATTTTCTGGGCCATTTCAGATACCTGAGCTGGGGTAGGTACTCGGCTGGTAGAGCCGCTGAGCGGGCTTGTTTTTAACTCACGCTGATTGGTTGTATTCGCCAAATAACTGGCCTTTTCAAAAATGGGAAGAGTTGTTGGTGAAGATGAGTGGAAGTGAAAGAAAGCAAACAGCATTAATGCTGCTTTGAAATTGCAGTTTCTGAAGGTTCAACGCATATAATGCAGTGGAAATCCCCCACAACGCCATTATCCACACTGCTTTGTCAAAAACAGCTTCTTCTGGTCATTGAACGGCACTTTTTACTTCACACAGCTGCTCTCCCCGTCCCCTAAACTCCTAAAATGGAAACAGGACTCATGTAGTCCTGGTCTTAGCTTTAGAGGGCTGGATATGAACTCTGATGGATTAGTTGTCAGTGTTTTTTAACATCACCTGTCTTAAGTGCTAATGCGGTTTAATAAAATTGTGTTCAGATCTTCAGCTGTCCACGCATGAGGTTCAGTGAGATCCCCATGAAGCTGGCGGGCCTGCTGCAGCATCCTGACCCTATTATTATCAACCACATCATCAGGTAGGGTCTCATCTTACAGCTTCAGACGATCTCTGCTTTCAGACACACAGTGTCACCACACTTGGTGAATAAGGTTCATAGCTGCTCCTACAGTTAATAAACACAGATGTACGTAGAACCTTAGAAACACTTTCTATTTGGTTCTGAGCTGAGATAAGGTATAAACCCGTCCTGTAGTCACCACCAACTCCTTTGTTCCCTGAGCAGCGTGGATCCCACAGACCAGAAGAAAACAGCCTGCTATGATATTGACGTGGAGGTGGACGACCCTCTGAAAGCTCAGATGAACAGTTTTCTGTCCTCCACCACCAACCAACAGGAAATCGCTACTCTTGAGATGAAGGTCGGGTCTAATCTGGATTCATACTAAAATGAAACGAGCCTGTAGAAACCTGAAACGTCTTCCTTTGTTGTTTATGTTCAGATTCATGAAACAATTGAGTACATCAACCAGCTCAAGACTGAGAGAGACTTCATGCTGAGCTTCAGCAATAATCCACAAGAGTTCATCAAAGACTGGCTGAAGTCTCAGAGCAGAGATCTGAAGGTAAAGAAATGTCTGCTGCAACTACCATGTTATCGTGACTCTTTTGTCTTATTTTAGTCCCTCATTTCAGGACAAACTAAATAAAATGAAATGAAGTTGAGTTAAATAGCAGAGACAGGGTAAAATGAAGTTCCTATGTTTTTTTTATCTGATTAAATCAAGTGTTTAGATCTTGACTCGTTTAGATTTCCTTTACGGCTTAGACGGCAAAAATATTTTAGTTTTCTGAACATTCTCCTTAACCTGGAAGTCAGGTTTTATTGGGTTTGTTTTTTTACTCCTTCGCCATAAGAGTTCAAATCTGTCCCACTGGAATCTGCAGTGTTTACTCATCATTAAATGTTGCTTAAGGTGATATTCATTATGGGGATTACAGCATTCTTACGTTTGTTTACATTATATAATGTGACACAATAGCACAGAACTCATTCTAACATATTTAGCCAGTAAACGGATGCACCTTGTTGCCGGCATGTGCTCAGAGAGCTAATCAGGAAGCATTCTGCTGCAGGTGGTGGAGGGTTGATCTCCTAAAGCGAGCCGAAACACGTCTAAAGATAAATGTTCCAGCCAGCAGTTAGAAATGATCAGATCAGAAGGATCTACATGTCTGGGTTCCTGTCAACACAGATTTCACCCCACCTTGTTTTTTTTTTTATTTGTTTAAGAAGTCAAAGCTGTCCTCCCTCACCTGACATGGTTCATGGTTCGTTCAGAAGCCACAGCTTTGTTCTGTGTTCCTGTAGCTTTACAAACCTCCTGAGCCTTAAGCAACATCTCAGCAAGATGCAGTTGTAGATAAGAAAATGAAAGGCATGTTTGGGGCATCTTGTTGGTGTTGTTGTGTTCACTGTTGCATTTCTGTTGAATCAGCTGATGACAGACGTGAGCGGAAACCCAGAGGAGGAGAGGAGGACCGAGTTCTACGAGGCGCCCTGGGTCCCAGAAGCAGTGGGCAGATACGTTTACTCCAAAGTAAGTGAAGACAGATCCCAGAGCTCAGAACAGCACATTTTAGTCATCTGTATCTGAACCAGAGGTACTCCTTCTCCGTTTCAGGTGCAGCAGAGAAGGCAGGAGCTGGAGCAAGTTTTGGGGATCCGACTGACCTAAAGGCCAGATTCCAGAGGAGTTTGCCTGCGTTTGCTTTTGTTTAACTGGAATAGAGACAGCCATGATCGCAGCTTAAGCCATTCTTATTTACTAATGGGACCAAAGTGATGATTTATGTGTCCTTTTGTAACGTGTTTGCCTTGGATGGTTTTTCATTTGGAGCCTTTTCAAATCATTTTTACTTTTTTGTCTTTTTTATTCTTTTTTTTTTTTTTACTCGCGGTACAAAATGCTGAAAACTGTTTGAACACTGGTCCTGTAAAGGATTCTGCTTTCCCACGCTGATGTTTTGTGTGATTTTCTAAAAGTTGTAACATTTAAATGTTGACAGTGCCTGATGTCTAAAAAATATCCTTAATCAGTTTATCCCATATATATGTAGTTGTACTACATGTCTATTGAAATGTCCTTGAAGAGTGTTTGAATCTATATTTTATGTAAGTTTTAAGATAAACCCTTAAAACACTTTCAGGTCATATTTTTAATACATAAAAACATCAAATCAGGAAATACGTCATGCCTGTGGTGATTTATGAGAAGCTGTTTTTATACAGCCTTCTTTGTTCCTCTGATCTTTAGCAGCTCTTTTGTTTATATGTTGAAGGTTTACATGTTTTTTTTATTTACTTTTTTGTTTGAGGACCACAAAAATGAATTTTCACAGCCTTTGTAGAGGTTTGCTATTGATTATAAACAGGAATGCAGCTGTGGTGTCAGATAAAAAAATGGTGTGTGTATGGGGAAAAAGCTTTTTTACAAGCAGTCTTATGAAACATTCCGTGTATTTGTGCCAAAATGTGTTTTGTGAAGTTGATTAATTGAATTTGAGAAGTGTGTAGTACAAGTACTTTTGTACAGCTTCCGTGTTTTGCATGTTTTTGATTCAAAAGCTTTTTTAAAAATCTTTTTTACATTTGAGGTGTTTTTCACAATAAATATACTTGCAAATGTTGGTTATTTTCTATATCTGAAACAGAAACCTACATTACATATACGTTATATTGCACTGAGCTATTGAGGTGTGTGCTTGGATCAGGGAGCTGTGCATGTTGAGGCTGGTTGCTGCGCTCAGATGCTTCACGAGGGCAGCAGTTCCAACAGGAATGTCTGGTTTTACTCAAACAACGCTCCTCAAATAAAGCCCGGGACTGATACAACCAACTGTCTTTAGGAAGCCGTGTCTCAGCTTGTCTGGTGACTCTTGTTTAATGCTTCAGACGTGGTATTGGCTTGTGTGGCAGAAAATCAAAAATAGTATTTTTAATTGTTCTATAATGTGTACTTCCTAAAAATGGCTGCAGGGGGCAGTGTCGTTGTTTAAAGTTAAAGCTGTTATAGCGAATCTGCAAACAAGCTAGGTTTTGAATGCAAACACGGTCACAGAACACCCACCCCCTCCCCTCGGGTATCTTCGCTGGTTCACCGGAACCGGAAACCAGTGATGCCAGAGGAAACGAGTGAGCTCTAAACACCAGTTGCTGTTTTCTAGCTCCAAACATCTTTTGTTGTCCGTGACTTTAAATGGTGTTTTTCATTTAGGGACTCTGGTAGTTTGTCCTTAATTTGAGATGGTAGCAACCAGTTTCTCCTCTGATATTATTGCGCAGAGAACCTCTCACACTAGTGGCTAAATACGTGAGTGTGTAATGAGTGGAGGACCCAGAGAAGTGTGGCAGTTCAGTGAGACTGACAACTGGATGGTCCAATAGTAGCTTTTGGTCCGAGCCGCGTTATTGGTGGAGGGTTTTAGAAAAATGCAAGAGAACCAATATAAATGTATCTATAGCCATAATTCTAAGAAGGTTGTTAAGTGACATGAAAAAATGTTTTACGCTAAACAGGACACCCTTTAGTCCTAGAACATCCCCAAGGTGCTTTACAACACAATCACTCATTCGCCCATGCACACCCTGGTGATGATGAGCTACAATGTAGTCACAGCTGTCCTAGGGCTCACTGACAGAAGCAAGGCTGCCACTGGTCCCTCTGACCACCACCAGCTGGCAATGTGGGTTAGTTGTCTTGCCCAAGGACACAACAACAGAATGAGCCTGCACTTAACTCCTCTGACACATGGCTCTAAATTGACTCTGTTTGTCCACTGGTCTTTTCTGTCCACTGTCTCCATCACTTCCTGTCCACAGGCAGAAACACACTACTCATCATGTGAGAACCGTGGCCACACCAAAGCTCCTCGAGTTTCTCTCTCTGGAAACGCACATCTTGGATCAACAGCTTCCCTGGCGTGTCACCTGCAGCGCTGCAAGAGAGTGGAGGCGGAGGAGGGAGGAGCTTTCAGCAGGAAGAAAGGACTGATGTACCTGTACCTGTCTGAGAATGACCTCACTTCCCTCAGCGTACAGTATGTGTAAGCTGGTATCACTCATGTCTAAACGGGGTTTATACCCTCTTTTTGTTTAGCTGTTTTCTTATTTTTCTTTTTACAATATTTGTTACTGATGTTTGTCATGTCAGAGTTTTAGTTTGCACTGAAATTCTTTACCCTGACTCATTCTATTCAGCAGGGCCCTGCAGGAACTTGAATGATGTTTATAAGCATAAGTCAAGATAATAGATTTAGCATTGTGAAATAATCAGCCTGCTGCAGCAGAGCTAATCAGCTAGTTAACTAGCTTGAGTCTTATTTCGTTTTAGGCAGCAAATGTTCTCTTTTGGGTCAATGTCAACACAATCAGCAGGGTCTTGTATGCATCTAGGATTGGAACGATATTACATTTAACTTGTACCAAGTTTTGTAACTTGTGACATGTTTTGTAACTGTACCCTGTAATTCATGTTTTGCAACATGAAACTTTTATTTATATCTTGCAAAAAAACATCAATGTACAAGTTTCAAATCACAACTCTCAAAACACAAATCTCAGTCTACAGTTACAAAACTCAAGTCTACAAGTACAAAACATTTTGTCCAGGAATCCAAGACTCATGATTGGCTGGTCAGACAAAGCCTGTCATTTTTTCTTTGGGAAGGAAGCTCAAATTGGGACTAAATGCTTTGTACTTGTAGACTTGAGTTTTGTAACTGCAGACTGAAATGTGTGTTTTGAGAGTTGTGATTTGAAATTGTTTTCTGCGAGTTACGAAATGAAAGTTTCATGTTACATGTACTTGTCAAATGTTACGTGTTACAAAACGAAAGTTACGTGTTACGAAACAAAAGTTACAGTTACAAAACATGTTGCAGGTTACAAAGCTTGGTACAAGTTACATGTATTGTCCCAATCCTAGTTCCATAGTCTTGCAGGTAAAGCTGCACCTCAGGACTAAGAAACTCAATATTTTTGTTATTTAAGTGTTGTTTTATGTTAGATTTTCTATTTTATTTTTATTGTACTATATACATTATATTATTGTTGGCCTCATAATTGCAGATGTTGTTCATCATTGCCTTGCAAACTAACATGTAGCGATGGTGGCAGAGGTGCCTGCCTCGTAACCAGAGGGTTGCAGCCAGGTTTGCACCCCACTCAGTCTGTCACGTTGGATCCACTTCACCTTCTCTGCTGCTGGTGGTGGTTGGAGGAACTGGGGGGTTTCTAGTGTGTATTGCAGCTCCACCTGTCAGTAATTCTTGGGATATTTGTATTTTTTAACCTTTGTTTAACCAGATGAGTCGATTGAGAACTCATTCTGATTAACAACGATGATCTAGCCAAGAGGCAGCAACAACAGACACATAAGTAGCTTTACACCAAAGAACAACAGATAGATACGATTAAAAACATAAAACAGTTAGACGTAAAGAAAAAGGACTGTTTTCATTTACAATATGTACAAGCAATCAAAACATACTTAAAACAACTTTTAAGTACTCAGAAGCACGTTCATCAGAAACTACTGATTGCAATGAATTATTTAAGATAAATAATGGAATGTGGGTAGTGAGCTTCAGTGATTTTTGCAGCTCATTCCAGTCATTGGAAGTGGCCAAAAGAGGTGCAAGCTTTGAGAGTACCCATAGAGATTAAGTTACTGGAACGTAAAATGTGCTGGTAGTTGGAAGTGATGAGTAATGAGCGAAGATATGATGGGGTTCTACCGATGATTGTTTTGTATATGAACTGATACCAATGTAACAACCTGAGGGAATTGAGCGATGGCCAGTTAACGAGTGAGTACAGATCACAATGATGAATAGTGAAAGGTTACCAGTGACAAAATGGATTGCTGAGTAATAAATGACATTGGGTTTATGAAGAAGTTTTTTGAAAGCAGTTATATAAATGATGTCACCGTAATCTAAGATGGGAAGAATTGTCATTTTGACCAAGGTTTTCTTTGCAGAATGAGTAAAGGATGTTTATGTGCTTAGCAGATGCTCTTACCCAAAGCGACTTACAATTATTATTATTTTTTTAACCTATAAGGCATGTTGTGATCTGTGGGGGAAACCAGAGTACCTGGAGAAAACCCACGCATGCATGGGGAGAATACACAACTCCACGCAGAAAGGCCGCAGCCGAGTTTCGAACCTGCGACCTTCGTGTTGTGAGGCAACAGTGCTAACCACTGCGCCACCATACAGCCCTGGGGTGGTCTAGAAACACAATTCTTGACTTGACTTTAGAAAGTAATGAATTAATGTGAATGTCAAATGAAAGTGTGCTGTCAAGCCAGATATCCAAATGCTTATAGGAACTGACAAGTTCTAGTTCTGTAGCATCCTGTAGCAATACTAGGGTGGCACGTTGATTGCTGTAAGTTACGGTTGAAGATCATGAACTTTGTTTTAATCAAATGAAGATGATAGTTAGAGAAGACATAGTGAAGACCATTAAAGTTGTGCTGCAAAGAGGACAAAGCTGCATTCAAAGGAGAACTGCATGAATATAAAAATGTGTCATCCGCATATAAATGTTTATGAGAACTGTCAACAGCATGAACAATGTTAGTAATATTGATTAAGGTTGGGCCCAGTATCGACCCTTGAGGAACTTCCATAGATAGAGGTAGAGGAGCAGATTGGTAAACCCTCTGTTCTCACTGTTTGTGTACGGCCTAAGATATAACACCATGCCACAGATGCTTGAGAAAGCCTAGATGTTTGAGCCTGCTAAGGGAAGATGTTATGGTCTACAAAGTCAAAGGCTTTAGCCAAGTCAACAAACAAAGCTACACAATATTCCTTATTGTCAATGGCACATATGATGTCATTTAGCATTTAAGTGTTGCAGAGACACATCCATGACCAGTTCTGAAGCCGGCGAGGCTGACTAGTGCTGTCCGTCTGACTACCACCTGCAGGCAATGCAGGTTACGCAGAGATCTAGGATGGAATGATATGGATTTATAGGGCCAATTCTGAGCACTTGAACCTGGCCTGAACCATAAGGTGAAGTGGCCTGGGTCAGAAGCAGAGAACCAGGCACGAATTCCTGGAAGGATAAGCTAACTTAGCTTATCTACCTTCTGAAAGAGAACGTGGTCTCCTCGTGAACACCCATACATCACAACATGCTCTCACAGGGTGGTATCGACCCTAACCCCTTCATAATAAATGTAATTACTACCTCTACATGCAATTGCAAGAAAAAAATACTAGATTTAACAGTTTTATAGCTCTTATAGCAATGAGATTTGTGTTTTGATGATGGACAATAAAAGTAAAAGCCTAATGCGTTATTGGATGTCAAGTTAAAACAACATTGTTTAGCCTATTTAGGCCTGATTAAATTAAGCAGTAGGCCTTTCTTAAACTGAGGATGAAATGTAGCAATTGTTAGCCTGGCAAGCCAGAATAAATAAATATATTTATTGATTCATTGAAACTTTGCAAGCAAGAATTTGGTCTAGTTCACTAGGCAAAGCGATTGTGGCTGCTAGTGTCACATCTGGGCTGTAGGTTGAGTGACCAAGATCCTTTTCTGAATCTGACTTTGATCTTTATTTGGTTTTGACTGCAGCAAAAGCAGCAGAAACGCCTGTCTCACATTAGATGTGGCCCGTCATCGTTGGGCAGGTATAGACAAAAATAATATATGTTTCATTGTTCAATCATACAGTTCCCCCGCATTTGCACCGCGCCACCCCTAGGGGGTACTACCGCTTTAACATCTCGCATTTCGTTAATTCGCCTACCGGAAGTACAACTGCTCTGAAGCGGATGTAGGCTTTTTAAGATGGAGGTGGAAGTCATGGAGAATGTAGGTGGAATTTTCTACCGTTTTGTTTGTTTTATCAGAAACTTAGATAAGAAACATGGTGTTTGAACTTTAACGCGAGTTTTTTTCCTTTAAACGGTGATGAAACATAAATACCGTGCGGTTTTTGTGTAAAACGGTAGTGTTGTTGCTTTTATAAACAATGAATGCGGTCTGTGCTGCCGGTTTGCTGTCTCATTGTAGCTAAGCATGCAAAAAACCTGCCAAACACGCCAACATTTCACCTACTATCAATCAAATGTTCCCATGATTTGACTCTCATAGTCAAACGGGTCATCTATTTTAACGTTTTACATACATAACGTGACATTTTCAACTAGTTAGTTGTGATAAAGTCACATGGGGTTAGTCGAGTTGTGACATTAGCTAATGCTAGTTGGCGTTATCACTGGGAAGGGACCACGAAAATGGTTGTTTTACTGAAATGGATTTCAATTTTGGCCTGACATCACATGGTAAAATATTGTTGAATCAATTTAAGAACACCAATTAATGAATATGAATCCACCTTTAATCCAGTTAACGGTTTGGCTTGCAACAATCATTTAGTTTGCTATGAATTGTGTATCAACTACTGTTCTACATGCTTAGGATTTTAAGACACTGACTGGAGTATTTGAGAAATATCAAGGTTTAGTTAATTGACATTGACACGCAGAATTAGGAATTTTTGTTCCATTTTGACTTAAAAAACGATTTGGTAAAAATGAGTAAATTGTAATGTTCTGAACAAGAAAAAAAACACTTGTTTTAGTTCACAACTTCCTGTCTAAGTAAAATAATTTCCTCAATGATGTATAAATGAAGCAGTTAGTTTTAACACAATACCTTTAAAAACAACACTAAAGGAGATTTTGTACTTCCCTTTTAAAATATGTTTAACTGTTAACTTTATGAGAACGGATTGCTGTGTGGTTCTTCTGTTCTACTTGGGAGTTTCAAATCCTCCACAATGCTTGAACCTTTATGGATTTTTGTCAAGTTTTTAAAAGTTAAGCAATCTGAAATGATTTCAGCTGGTTTATGTGTCACTTCAAACTACACTGCTATAGTTCTCCATCTGTTTTCTTCCACTTATCTGGAGTTGGGTTGCGGGGGCAGCAGCCTAAGCAGAGAGGCCCAGACTTCCCTCTCCCCTGCCACTTGGGCCAGCTCCTCTGGGGGAATCCCAGGGTGTTCTCTGGCCAGCCAAGAGACATAATCCCTCCAATGTGTCCAGGGTTTTCCTTTAGGTCTCCTTCCAGTTGGACATGCCCAGAAAACCTTGCCAGGGTGGTGTCAAGGAGGCATGCCAATCGGATGCCCAAGCCACCTCAACTGGCTCCTCTCCATGTGGAAGAGCAGCGGGTCTACTCCGAGCCCCTCCCAGATTACTGAGCTTCTCACACTATCTCTAAGGGAGGGCCCAGCCACCCTGCGGAGAAAACTCATTTCATTATTTCGGTCACTACCCAAAACTCATGACCATAGCCTCCGCTCTCCACTGCGACAGACCAGTTCAACCTCTGCAGACGCAGCACCAATCAGCCTGTCGATCTCACGCTCCAGCTTTCCCTCACTCATGAGCAAGTCCCCAAGATACTTAAACTCTTCCACTTGGGGCAGGACCTCATCCCTGACCTGGAGAAGGCATTCTCCCCTTTTTCGACTCAAGACCATGGTCTCGGATTTGGAGGAGCTGTTTCTCATCCCAGCTGCTTCACACTCAGCTGCAAACTGCTCCAGTGAGAGCAGAAGGTCATGTTCTGATGAAGCCAACAGGACCACATCATCTGCAAAAAGCAGAGGCTCAATCCGTAGGCCACCAAAACAGATCATTTCAACACCTTGGCTGCGCCTAGAAATCCTGTCCATAAAAGTTATGAACAGAATCTGTGACAAAGAGCAGCCTTGGCGGAGTCCAAATCTTACCGGAAACGAGCCTGACTTACTGACGGCAATGCGGACCAAGCTCTGCCACCTGTCCTTGGGACCTAACAGCCCGTATCGGAGGGCCTGGTACCCCGTACTCCCGGAGCCCCGAGGGGCGTGGTCAAACGCCTTCTCCAAATCCACAAAAGACATGTAGACTGGTTGGGCAAATTCCCACGCACCCTCCAGGATCCCCCTAAGGGTATAGAACTGGTCCAGTGTTCCACGGCCAGGACGAAAACCACATCACTTCTCCTGAATTTGAAGTTCAACAATCCATCAAACCCTCTTCTCCAGAACCCCTGAATAGAGCTCCGGGAGTTGACGTCACTTCTCCTGGCATGCAACAGTTCAAATCGAAACGGCGCCATATTGGCATGCAGAAGCCGGCAGCTGGACTATTTGTTATTGTCCGAAAACTCAATCAAACGGGAAATATGGTAGATTCCTGTTGTGCCCCAGGATGCAGAACAGACGCGGACGACATAAGGAATGAGTCATCTACAGGATTCCCCAAGATCCGGAGCGCCGCAAACGTTGGATCATTGTAATAAAACGCGTTAGTGACCGGGCTAAAATGAAACTGTGGGATCCCGAGAGTAAAGGTTTTCGCTTATGCAGCGACCGCTTCATATCAGGTACTTAAACCAACGTTTCCTCAACTGTGTATGGTATTTATTTTTTATTATGATTCTTAGTGGGCTTCCTAAACTTATTTTGGCGTGGCTTTTTCTGTCTTATTACTCACAGCAGCAAGTAAACATCACGTAAAACGTTGCCTCGTGAGTTCTGCGTGCTGCCGTTTACGTGTTTTATGATCACAGCAATTAACCGGCTAAGCTGTATTTAATTTTTAAGCAATGGTTGATCAATTGTCAGATCACACATAAAAAGCACTTTGGATTGCTATTATCTGTCTCACCGAGACTACTTACGTGTAAATATGTTATTTGTCCGTCCATCCATCCATTTTCATCCGCGTATCCGGAGTCGGGTTGCGGGGGCAGTAGCGTGACTTCCCTCTCCCCAGCCGCCGGAGCCAGCTCCTCCGTGTGACAATGCTACCCCATCTGCTCTGTCAGTTAACCGCACTTTCACCCACACTTCTCGTGCATCTGGCCGAGGTGGTGGAACGGGCATGTTAATTTCCAATAATTGGATATATAGTCAGTTGCTACCAATCACTAAGTACAACTCCTTTGAATACCATGCCATCCAGGTGACTGTACCGAAAAAATTATTTTTGGTTGTCATATATCGTCAACCAGGTCAACTCAGAGAATTTCTTGATGAACTCGACACCCTGCTTTCCTCCATTCCTGAGCACGACTGTCCCACAATGGTCCTTGGAGACATGAATATTCACCTGGACAATCCCAGCTCATCAGGCTTCCTGTCACTAATGTCATCATTTGATTTAAAACTAGTACAAAGCCCTCCAACTCACAAAGCTGGAAAAGCACTTGACCTCATTTTCTCCAGAAACTGTGCCATAGACACAATCTCTGTCACACCGCTGCATCTTTCGGATCATTACTTCATCCATTTCAGCACGACTCTACAAGGGAGGTCCACTGCTTCCTCCCCAATGGTCTCATTCCGCCGCAACCTCCGCAATCTGGCACCCAACTACTTCTCCTCTCTTGTTACCTCCACTCTTCCATCTCCCAGCACATTCTCTGCTTATGAAGTGAATGAAGCCACTGAGTCACTCTGCTCCACACTCGGCTCTTGTCTTAATAACTTGTGTCCTTTAGCCACTAGACCTGCTAGAGCCTCTCAGTCGCACCCTTGGCTAAATGATACCCTCCGGGCTCTACGCACCAATCTTAGAGCTGCGGAACGGAAATGGCGCAAAACAAGACATCCTGGTGATCTATTGAAATTTCAGGAATTACTGTCCTCATTCTCTGCCAGCATCACTGATGCAAAGAAAGCTTTCTACACTGACAAAATTCTCAGCTCTACTGACTCTCAGAAACTATTTTCAACATTCAAAACTCTGCTCAACCCTCCTTCTCCACCTCCTACCAACAATCTATCAGCTGACACCTTTGCCTCATTCTTCACTGACAAAGTGGCAGCGATAAGAAAACAGTTTTCTCAACTGGCCACTCCTGAACATTCACTACCACAATCTCCTTCAAGCCCAACCATCTCAGACCCTACTGCTTCATTTTCCTCTTTTTCCCCTGTCACTGAGAACTGTGTGTCCAAGCTTCTCACGTGCAGCCGCCCTACTACATGCCCACTTGACCCCATTCCAACTAAGCTGCTCCAAGCTATTGCTCCCACAGTAGCCGCAGCAGTCACACATGTGATCAATGCATCACTGACATCCGGTACATTTCCCATCTCTCTCAAGCATGCTCAGGTTAAACCGCTGCTAAAAAACCATCTCTTCCTCCAAATCATGTGGAGAACTACCGACCTATCTCTCCTCCCTTTTCTGTCCAAAATCACTGAAAGGATGGCTTTCAAGCAGATTACAGAATACCTCTCACAAAACTGTCTGCTTGACCCTTACCAATCTGGGTTCAAAAAGGGCCACTCCACTGAAACTGCTCTGTTAGCAGTGACTGAATCCTTAAAAGAAGCTAGAGCGACTGGCAAATCCTCAGCGCTTATCCTGCTCGACTTATCGGCTGCATTTGACACTGTCAACCATGGCTTCCTTTTGTCAGCACTCTCTACCATGGGCATCACAGAGAAAGCACACGCCTGGTTTGAATCTTACCTCACAGGACGATCATTCAGCGTATCTTGGCTTGGACAGTCCTCTACCGTGCACCACCTTGCCACAGGAGTCCCCCAGGGCTCTGTACTAGGACCTCTTCTCTTTGCCATATACACCACCTCACTGGGTGAGATCATTCGATCACATGGCTTCTCCTACCACTGCTATGCAGACGACACCCAGCTCTATCTGTCATTTCCACCGGACGACCACACTATCTCAGCACGAATATCAAACTGTCTCTCTGACATCTCAAAATGGATGAAATCCCACCATCTCCAACTCAACCTCTCTAAAACTGAACTACTTGTCATCCCAGCAAAACCATCCATACAGCACAATATCTCAATCCAGAATGACTTCCTATCGCTGGCTCCTTCAAAGGCAGTTCGAAATCTGGGTGTTGTGATTGATGAACACCTGACCTTTAAAGATCATGTTGCCTCTGCTGCCCGTTCATGCCGCTTTGCGCTGTACAACATACGTAAGATCAGACCATACCTAACACAACATGCCACCCAGCTCCTGGTGCAATCTACTGTCATCTCCCGCCTCGACTACTGCAATGCTCTTCTAACTGGTCTTCCAGGCTGTACTGTGAAACCTCTTCAAATGGTCCAGAACGCAGCGGCGCATCTGGTCTTCAATCAGCCTAAAAGAGCACACGTCACCCCTCTGTTCATTGAGCTCCACTGGCTACCGCTAGCAGCACGCATCAAATTCAAATTGCTAACACTAGCATACAAAGTCCGAGACGGTACGGCTCCCATCTACCTGAATCTTCTTGCAAAGGCTTACGTCTCGGCCCGGCCGCTCCGGTCATCACAGGATTGTTGGCTAGCAGTGCCTACACCTACACCACGCTCAGGACAATCCAGACTTTTCTCATGCATCGTTCCACAAATGTGGAATGACCTTCCTAACACTACCAGAACTGCGGCTTCCTTTTCTATTTTCAAGAAACTCCTGAAGACCCTGCTCTTCAGAGAGCATCTTCTTAACTAGCACCTTGTCTGCACCCGTCCCCCCTCTCTACTGTCCACACCTTGTTCCCTCCTCTCCATGACTGATGTCAATTTGTTGTTGTTGTTGTTAGCCTCAAGGGCAAAATGCCGATTATCACTTGTAAGTCGCTTTGGACAAAAGCGTCTGCTAAATACATAAACATAAATCCCAAGGGGTTCCCCGGTCAGGTCCGGTGTTGTGCCGGTAAGAAGTCCGCTCCGACAGCTTCTGGCGTTTTTAAAAAGTATCCCCAGGGGCACGGTAAGGGTCGGAGATGTTTAGTCTATTTAATTTCTGACTATATAAAACGATTTCTTCTGTTTTAAAGTGTGAAGTAAACTCCGACGAAGTAAAATCCAAGCGGATCCCGTTCATGTTCATGGTTACATCCGTGTTTGTTTACCTTTTTTGCATGCCAAAATGGCGTCCACTAACTGAGAGTCACGTGGGGTCTGGAGCTCTATAGACTTTACCAGGAGGCTCAGGAGTGCGATCCTCCTGTAGTTGGAACACACCCTGGGGTCCCACTTTTTAAATAAAGGGACCACTGCTCTTGATGTCCACGCGATCAGCCAACACAACCCTACGACATCCAGAGCCAGAATTGTAAGTCGCTTTGGATAAAAGCGTCTGCTAAATAAATAAACATAAACAGAGCCTTAAGGAACTCCGGGCAGATCTCATCCACCCCCAGAGCCTTGCCACAGAGGAGCTTTTAGACCATTTCAGTGACCTCAGCACCAGATATTGGAGAGCTCATTCCAAAGCCCCCAGACTGCTTCCTCACTGAAGATGTGCCGATGGGATTGAGGAGGTCTTGAAAGTACTCTGCCACGTTACATTTGGCTCCTGTTGTCAACGAGCAAACATCTACATCAGACCTTCTTGTCTCATTTTTAGATGTTAAGATTAGTAGCTCGTAAAACCCTGACTGCAACCTTTCATGTCTTATGAACAAATGTGATCAGTCATAATGAACTTGGTCACAAGTTCTGATGAGATGGAAATCTAAGTTTGAAAGAAACGCGTGATTGAATCTAACAAGTTTTCCTTCACCAGATGGATGTGGTGGAGAGTAAAGGAGGATCCGGTCTGAGACAGTACTACTTGTCCAAGATAGAAGAGTTGCAGGTGAGAATTAGCCTGGTTTCTGCTGGTAGGGTAGTATTATCCATACTTTCTGTATATTTATCAGATCTTTATGTCCTAACAGCTGACGGTGAACGACAAGAGCCAGAACCTCAGACGTCTGCAGGCACAGAGGAATGAACTTAATGCCAAAGGTGCTTTTTTATTTCTCTAGCTTCGTCATATGAGCAGCTTTCCTTCTGAGGAGTAAAATACTGTTTTCTTGTCTCCCAGTGCGTCTCCTTCGTGAGGAGCTGCAGTTGCTCCAGGAGCAGGGCTCCTATGTGGGAGAAGTGGTCCGGGTGATGGACAAAAAGAAAGTGCTGGTTAAGGTGTGTGGCCCCATTCACTCTGCTGCATGCTTTGTTTTATCATCGTAGTTAACCTCTTGTATTTTTTCATCAATTCAGGTGCATCCAGAAGGAAAGTTTGTGGTGGATGTGGACAAGAACATAGATATTAATGATGTAAGGATTACAGTTGTTATGAGCACAAAAGCTGTTTCACAACTATTCACCCAATCGTTGTTTTTATACCAGGTGACTCCAAACTGCCGCGTTGCTTTGCGTAACGACAGCTACACCCTGCACAAGATCCTACCCAACAAGGTAGATCCTCTGGTGTCCCTCATGATGGTGGAGAAGGTACCAGACTCCACCTATGAAATGATTGGTGGCCTAGATAAGCAGATCAAGGAGATCAAGGAAGTGATCGAGCTTCCAGTCAAACACCCAGAGCTGTTTGAGGCTTTGGGCATTGCACAGCCGAAGGTGGGTGATAGTCCGGGCAGGTGATGGAGAAAACAAACCCATATGGTTCTTCTCTAGATTCCTCAGCAGCAGGGTGGTGATTTAGTTCTGCCTCTGGCCTGCAGGGGGTGCTGCTGTACGGGCCTCCAGGAACAGGGAAGACCCTGCTGGCCCGAGCTGTGGCCCACCACACAGACTGCACCTTCATCAGGGTGTCTGGATCTGAGCTGGTCCAGAAATTTATTGGAGAGGGTGAGTTCCAGTTTCATCTTGGTGCATTAGGTCTGAGTTGTGTGTAGATAACGCTCGGTCGCGTCTCTGCAGGCGCTCGTATGGTGCGAGAGTTGTTCGTCATGGCCAGAGAGCACGCTCCCTCCATCATCTTCATGGATGAGATCGACTCAATCGGCTCCTCCCGTCTGGAGGGAGGCTCAGGTGGAGACAGCGAGGTTCAGAGGACAATGTTGGAGCTTCTCAATCAGCTGGACGGCTTTGAGGCAACAAAGAACATCAAGGTCTTCAGACGTTTGTTTCTAGAAAATGTTTTGTTTTGTTAATTTGCTTTGGGGGGGAATAGAAACATTTTAGTGCCTTATGCCTGACCCCTGAAACATGAACTTACAGCTGCTGGTTAAGTCGTTCATTATCCCTGCAGGTCATCATGGCCACCAACCGTATCGACATCCTGGACTCCGCTTTGCTCAGACCAGGAAGGATCGACCGGAAGATCGAGTTCCCCCCTCCCAATGAAGAGGTACGTACAAGCTTCGTCACACTATGTCATTAATGAATCCATGTCATCTATTCAAAAATCTGAACCATCTTGCCCCAACAGGCCCGTCTGGACATCCTGAAGATCCACTCCAGGAAGATGAACCTGACACGTGGCATCAACCTGAGGAAGATTGCTGAGCTCATGCCGGGAGCATCTGGTGCCGAGGTTAAGGTGAGTTAGCTCATTTACTAGAAGTCTCAAAGTTTCCTATCAAAGTGAGACTTAAGGCAAGTCGCATGTTTTTCTGTAGGGCGTCTGCACAGAGGCAGGGATGTACGCTCTGAGAGAACGGAGAGTCCACGTCACTCAGGAGGACTTTGAGATGGCTGTGGCAAAGGTCAGAGTCACAAACCTACCTCACGTTGTGTTCTGTGCTCGTTACCTGTCCTCTAAAACCTCCCTTCTGATCTCCAGGTGATGCAGAAAGACAGCGAGAAGAACATGTCCATCAAGAAGCTGTGGAAGTAAAACGTCTAGTGATCTATAACTACATCTGTATATTGTCCTTCCTTTGTTAAAGGTTTGTAATTGTTACATAAATCCATAATTAAATGCTTTCCTCCATAATTAAATGGTTTTTTTTTAAATACATTTTTGTTAAAGTGAGGAGGCAGGAATCATCCAGCAGATCAGATTTATTTGTTCATTTTACACAAATGCTTTGGAAATTCAGTATGGCACTTCACAACACAGGTCTCTAACGTTGGAGATAACAGGTCTCTGACAACGACTAGCTTAGAAAATGCGCACACCAGTGAAGCTGTCACGCTCCCACTGGACACTTACAACAGTCCAGGATGTTCAGACAGACCTATAACGTCGACACCATTTCTATAAACACTTGAGCGTCCGTACACAGTGGTTCCTTTTATTTTAACCTTCCTGAGCAACAAGTCCAACTGCCTAGCGCCTCACCCAGCACACAGGCACCCACTGAGGTTCTGTCTGCACCCGCTCCAGTACATTCTGGAGTTCCTCTAAGGCACTCACTGGGTCCTCTTTCACCAAAACGTAGTCCACCCAATGACCGTAGCACTCGTCCATCTTCTCGGCCGACTGTCTCATTTCGAGCAGGTCATCGTCCTGATGAGAACAGGTAAAGAAGGGTTCGCTGTGGCACAAATCACTTCAGCAAGGTTCTTGTTATGTGACTCACCGTGACCCCCACACTGAGCGAGGAAGACGAGCCGAAGTATTTCCTTTGACCGTCACAGATGCGAGGTCTCACAAAGATGATGAACGGTTTGAACTCAGCTGTTCGTAGAGTCTTCATTGCCTGAATGAGTCAGAAACAGGTCTATGACACAAAAATAAATCATTTGGAAAGCCTGTAAAGTAAAAGTACTGAGGTTTGGAATATTTTCAGCCTTTCACTAAAAAATCTTGAGTGTTTCAAGACTTAAAAATGACTAGTTGACCGTTTCATGTATGGGTTGGTTAGTATGTGGTCATCTTTCTTCATCACTGCATAAGCAACAACAACGTAGAGGCACCTCCACCCAGCTGTTCACTCCACCCAGTAAAATAACTGGATTTTCAATCATTTTTTAGAATTCTATCAAAAATACTATTTTAGAACCCAGTCTCCATTCAGGCTTGTTTCTATAAAACTGCATACTTGTCACAAAACAGACCACTGAAGGTGTAGGTATTGGAGAAATGGAGAATCTACAGTACAGGCCAAAAGTTTGGACACACCTCATTCAATGTGTTTTCTTTATTTTCATGACCATTTACAAAGGGGCCAACAAGTGCTAAACACCTCTGGGAACTCCTTCAAGACTGTTGAAAAACCATTTCAGGTGACTACCTCTTGATGCTCATCAAGAATGTACAAAGCAGTAGTCAGAGCAAAGGGTGGCTACTTAGAAGAAAATAGAATATAAGACATGTTTTCAATTATTTCACCTTTTTTGGTTAAGTACATAACTCCACATGTGTTCATTCATAGTTTTGATGCCTTCAGTGAGAATCTACCCATATACCGGTAAATGGTAATGAAAACACATTGAATGAGAAGGTGTGTCCAAACTTTTGGCCTGTACTGTAACTCTCCAAAATGAAAGAAATGGCAACAATTCGTATTAAAAAACCAAAACAAGATGAAATTAAGTGATATTATGAAGGAAAATGACCAACTATCATTTAGAAAACCATTTTAACCCACTAATGTAAATACAACATGAAGCAGAACACTGGGTGGAGAACATCTAAGATGGTTCCCAGCCTCACCTCTAGAGGTCACTCATGTCCACCTGCAGCATGCAAGACGTACCAACTAGGGATAACAATATATCGGCATCAATATCAGTATCGGTTTGATAAATAAAACCGGGCAGATATTAACAACTGATATTTTTTCCATCTCGTCTCCATTTGTTTGCCTGTTTCATAGAGTGAGGGGGGTGATGTGTAATTGTTTAGTCATGTGACAATGAATGAAATCATCTCAGAACTGTAAATATGTGTAGTGTGTGTACATATTGTTAATTCAGCTTTAGTAATTTTCAATTCTATACAAAATCTGATTTTAGAAGCATCAATGTCAGTATATCGGTTATCGGTCATAACAGTGATCTTAATATCGGTATCGGCCCAAAAATTTCATATCGGTGCATCACTAATACCAACCTCTGGTTGCACATCCACCAGGCAGACCTTGTTCTGATTCAAGACTTTGTGGATGGACTCTAAACTGGTGCCATACAGATTCTCCTTGTATTCCCCAAATTCAATGAACCTGCAGAGTCACAGAGAGGCCTGGGATTGGAACAGAGCTGGTTCAAAGGTTCAGTAAACTGTTAAGAGATTACACAACCACAGGAATATCGTTCCTGACACTCACTTGCCATTTTGAATATCAGCCTCAAAAGCAGCTCTGCTGATGAAGTGGTACTCCACTCCTTCTCTCTCGTGACTTTTTCTGGCTCGAGTCGTGTCTTCAGGTCACAGGTTTGAGACAACCAACAAGGTGTGTGAGGAGTTGAGCCAAGGTCAATAATTCACATCCGTATACAATCATAAAATCTGCATTCACTACCTAGTGTCAAGGCATTTATGGTGAATGTGAGACGACACACTTACGAGGTACAGCCAAACCGTACTGCCGAGGATTCTCAGCGATCACCTTCTGCTTCAGCTCTGTGATCCGAGATCCTAAAGAACCTGTGGTCCCAAAAACCAGGACAATGGTTTCCAGTTTAAACAAGACCTTGATTCAATTCAATTCAAAGATACTTTATTAATCCCAGAGGGAAATTAGAGTTTAAGTACACACAATTCTGAGATCAGACATACATGCATATAGCCTAGTGAACTAGACCAAATTCTTGCTTTGCAAAGTTTGGTCTAGGCATGCTACATTGGAACCTCCGCATCTCCTACCAGGACTCTGGCTAGCCAATCACAACTCTCTAGAGGGGTTTCAAACACATACAGAGCTGTGACTGGTCCATAATGGTGGGCCAATCATAGTGCTCTATCTGCTTAGTGAACAAATCACAGAGCTTTATCCGCTTTGTGGGCCAATCAGGGCACTCTATATCCCTGGTGGGTGGGATGATGCAACAGAGTGAAACAAGAGTATGTCACATTCATTGTCCAGTGGAATGCGGAGATCATTTGAAAGACAACGGTAGAACCCGCCCCACAACCGAGAGCCGTCAACGGAGCGTGGCCAGACTAAATAATACATTTATTTAGTCTGGCTTGCCAGGCTAACATACATAGGCATAGACACATGACAAGAATTGGTGACTGCGGTCATTCGCAACCCGAGTCGCGCTACCTTAATAGAGATCAGAGGGTTTATATGTGAGGATTGAGCCAGGTGGAGGAAAAAAAGGCACTTCAGAGTTACCCTCCACAGGGAGGGCAGCTTTGCTGTGCAAAAAACACCTCAGACAGAATTGCAACAGACTTCAGACATTACACAAGTGTCCACTAGGTGGGGAGGTAGGGTAGAGGACTCTCCAAACATCAGTGCATGCAGCCACGATAAGCAGCGCCTGTCACCTCCGTTTGGACAGGGGGAGGAGGTCGTTGGGTTTAGAGAGCACAGTGACTCCTGGAACGATTCAACGGCCTTCACCGGTCGCAGTCCCACCCAGGCTGGAATAGGGAGACAGAGTTGCCATGGCAATGGCAGCATTCCACATTTCTTCTGAGGGGGAGTAATCGCTTCAGTCTCACAGGCTCAAGGGCACCAGATTCAGATAAGAACTTGTTTTGGGGCCAGACAGAGATAATTTCCTCTCTGTCTTAAAGTTCCGTTGGTCCTCAACCCCTCTAAATCCAATAATGGCGTAGTTAATCAATCCCAATCCGTGCTGACTCGTCAACTCGCTCCTTGATCGAATCCACCTTCTGTGCCAGAGTCTGAATCTCAGCCAAAGTTCCAAGCTTACGACTCATCTCGACAATTATATGAGTCTGTGCATTCACAGGGCGGTGCAATCCATCCCTGAGCTCCGGGATTGAGCCAATATTCCTTGACAGCTCATTAATTTCCGGTAAGCCAGATAACCACTCAGGCCAAAAAGCAGGAAACCTGACACCAACACCACGAATATCCAGACGTCTTGAAAATCCTCTACAGACAGTTGGGAGAGGCATATCAGGTTCCACTGTTTCCAGGAGTCCATAATATGCCCAACTGGCTCTGTCCCAGAGGGGCATCCATCGTTGAAAAAATCTTGTCAATCGCATTGAGAGACCAACTGACCAGGTCCATTTTTAATCATTTCCAGTTTCCAGAAACAATGCAGAAGTGCCGTCCACCCAAAGACAGACAAAGAGCCTTGGGATAAAAAAGGGAGGAGAAGAGGGAAAAAAAGCGTCTGTACTCTCCAAGAGCCGGAAGAATCCTGCCTACTCTAAACAGTTTTTTTTTCTAATATCTTTTTTTAAAGACCAAGTTCACTTATCTTTACAATACATTTGCTGTGGCCTCTAGTATAAATGACTACCTTGCGAGTCGATCTCTGTGGGAAATCTATGGCCCAGTCCCAACACACACACGGCACCCTGTGGTCCTCAGCGAAGTGCACTTGGAGGTAGTCGGAAGTAAGACTTTGAGTGCGTAAACAGAAGTGTGCAAATAATCTAATGTGCCCAATTTGGATAGTGAGCATTACATCATCGACCGCACAGCATGCCAGTCACTGTTTGTGTTAGTTTTAATAAAGATGATAAAAAGTATCAAAAAACAATTATTTAATAAAAATTGCATTCATTTCTGTCCATGTTAAATCTTACTCTAAAACATTCATGGATGAACATTAATCGTCCTAAAATTAACTGCTTTCATTTAAGGTAAAAGAGGAAATGATACAAATTTGGTTATAATTTTGAAGATTTGATTTTCCCAAACCATTCCAATTTGGGAAAAAAAAATTTCTGAGAAGAAATTTGCCTTTTTCATTTTTAATCTCAAAATTTTATCATTGACTCTGCAGTCTGTTAAATTGTACTGAATGATATTAAAACAAGTGATTAAATCACTGGCATGCCATGTCCAAAAGCACACACCAGCACTGTTACCTGTTAATACTTTTCAACAGACATCTGATGCATGTTTCAACAGAGAAACATTTGATTGTAATCCTATAGGAACACAATAATAAAATACTCATTATTTGGATAATTATACTTGAAAATACATATTTTCAGAAAGGGCACTTGAGCCATTGCTCTGCCTTCTCAAAATTTCCACGCAACAAAGGACTGTGGGTAAAACCCTAAAGTTTGACTGTGGTGGAGTGCTGATCAAGGATGCAAAGTCGGCGTGGCCGAGGCCTACATTTGAGAATAGGGAACCTAAGTCTCCTCCTTTCCTGGTCGGTTCATGGGTCCCCGGAAGAGCGAAAAAATTAATGCAAGTAAATGGGGGCTAAAAGAGCTATTTTCTAATCCGCTTTGCCTTACACCCTGGATCGCACAAATGTTGTACTCATATTTAAATGAAAAGTAATGATGTGTGTTTCGACCACGCCTGGCACGTACTTTGAGATTTATAGGCTTGGGAAAATTTGTAATTAGCATGACTACATCGGCACGTCGCTTATGTGACATCACCACAGAATCTCTTCCCCCTTAATGTAGCTGCTACTTACCGTACTTTCGTTAAGGGCATTTGTAGTCCTGGACTTATTTTCACACAAAACCTAAAATAGTGTTAGCGCTTTCTTGGTATCAAAAGGCTTCTTTAAAATTCAGACATCATATGTGAAATCCATGGCACTAAGCAAACGGGATTAGCGAATAGCGTTTTTTGCACATTTAACTTGCATTTGTTCTTTCTTTCTTCTGGGACCCATGGTCCAGAAGTAGATGAGCATGACATGTGCTCCTTATTGGGACACCCTACGCATTCACATTTGACTAGAATGCACAATTAAGGGGTGCAAGGTTGGAAGTGCGAGCCTTGGGACGGCCTTTGATTAATAACAGTAGCATTCATGGTGGACCTACCTATTAGTGCTATAAGGCGTGGCCTCTCACCAGGTCGTGGCAAATACTGTGTGACCTCTTCGTAAATCAAGAAGTCTTTTTGATTGGCATCTGGAGTGTTTGCCTCTGCCGGTGAACCCTGATGATCTTTCCTGAGACGGAAACTTCTGCGCAGGCTGGCTGTGCTCGAGACAAACAGGAACACACAGTTCAGGCTGACTCATAAATACTGAAGACTTATGAGAAATAACACTCCTCACACAAATCTCATTTCCAGAATGTTTTCTGAATTGCAACAAAATCTTAAATGTGTTGAATCTCTTGTCATTTTGACAGAAAAATCAGTGCTGATAGTTGCTTAAAATGGGAAAATGTTCATCCAGAGGGAAGTCTGGGCCTCTCGACTTAGGCTACTGCCCCCGCGACCTGACTCTGGATAAGCGGATGAAAATGAATGGATGGATGGATGTTAATCCAGTTAATAAAGATCAGAAAAGCTCTCTGGTCATAAAAGCTTCAGTTTCTATGCTTTTGCCGGTTCAGAAAATAAACAACTGGATTTGTTTGATTTCTCAAATACATTCCTCGTTTAAAAACAAATGGAGTAACAGGTTTCAGTGAGGGCCTCATTAATGCGAGCAAGTTTACAAATCCGACCCTTAATCGATGGAGGCGTGGCAGGGCAAGCCATCCTACATATGAAAATATATACCTGCAGGCATAATCTATAGTTGGCCTAGATTTCTAGAATAGAATGTTTGGGTAACTAAAAAAAGGATTGTATCTGAAAAAAAAGAGAAACTGAACATTTTGAACTTGCCATTTGAGCCCCCCCCCCCCCCCCCCCCCAAAATAGAGATTCAAAATAAAAAGTGAAAATCCATATTTTTTTCTTTCAGCTTAGTTTTAAAATGGGCTACATCATGGAAAGCCCAAACCCGTTTTTCATTCATGCTTTTTCCTGTTTCAGCTGCAAATTTAGAGTTTTACTTTGAAAATCTTGTAAAGTGTCAATAGAAACTAATCTGTTCATCAGGCCCTGCTCCTCTCCCAGGACTAAAATGCTGCTTGGAGATGACCAAACTCAAAGATTTTTAGAATCACAAAATATTTTGCAGAACATAATCAATAAAACTAAAATATAAAAACATGATATTTGCTTCAGCTGGTTAAATAAATTACTGCTGATTTGAACCCATGTCAGCACATGGCAAAACTAAGATGGTAGACGGACACCTTAACCACTGGACTACCAAGGCCAACATAGCCACTAACTCACCTAAGACGCTGGTATAGGCACGTTTTGTCGGAGTGGGGTGGGCAAAGTTTCACTGAAATGAAACACGTCTCCTTTTAAAGGTTGTTAAAACTGTTCAAAATACAAATTCAGGCTCCTTCTCGTTGGATTGTTTTAATTAAACTTTTTACTGAACAAAACTTTACATTAAACAATGTTGAAAGGGATTGGATCAATTCATTTTTTTCCCTCATTTACAGTGACTGAGATAACGGCGCATGGCTCTGGTGTTAAACAGGTTTAATGTTTCTCTTTGCAACAATCTTCATAAGAAGGTAAAACAGGTAAATGGCAGGGTTCACATTGACCGGATATTTCCCGTATTTGACAGAGAAACCTCAAGGTTGCAGATGAGCTGACATTTTAATCATTACGCACACCGTAGAGGTAGCTGAATCAATCAATAAAAGATTCCTATCAGAACATCTGAGCATGGACACTTTAACAGCACAGCTCGCTGTCAGCGCACACGTAAGGTGGACAGCGAGCTGAAGATGTGGAGAGTTGCTTGGAGCGCGTCAATCTGCGGCTGCAGCAGAACCAGAGCGCATGCGGGAAGACTCCTCTCACTGAAGCGAGTCTTTTCCAAACCCTGTCTGTCAGAGAGACTTGTCACTTAGAAAATGTTCCCTGATAATGCGGCACATACATGAGTCTGTCTGAGGAAAAGTCCCGAATCTCATATCCTCAGCTCAGAAAGCGCCTATAGAGACATCTGATTACGCACAAGCAGGTGACCTGTCATTTCAGGTCTTTATCATTTTTGTTTATATTTTATAAAAGGACAATCTTTATGTTTAGAATTGATATACAGATAAAAAAATGAATGCTGTAAAATAAAATACATTTTAATTAAATATTTATTCATTACTTTACAAGCACAGAGAGCCGCGTCAGATGGATAAAAGAGCTACATGCTACATTAGCGACTTTGATGTCCTGATTTACATTGAAGATGTTTGGATTGTATTCCTGAAGATGGGTGGAGATCAGGGGTTAGAGTAAAGCTGTACCCTGTGGAGAACTGAAACCTCAGATCTGGTTACCGATAGTTTTTTACTCCTCCCACAACCTATCAACTTCCTGTGTCTAAAATATGAACCTTCGTGTCCTCAATAGGTCAGGACATGCTAAAATAATCTTGTGTGTGTGTTTATAAAAATAAAAACAATAATAGGTTTTGTTGCATTATTACTTCATTTTTTCTGGAAATGAACTAGAAATACATTTAAGAATAGATGAACAGATTTACAGATCATGCTGCAACTGTGACAAACTAAACAAAAATAATCAAGCAACACCAAAATAAACTTTTGTCTCACAATTAAATCTGATACATTGTGCCAGACATCACATCACACAAACGCAGTAAACGGCAGTAGAAACCAGTAAGGGTACCTGAGTACAACTCCCATGAGAAAGCATGGCCACAGAAGGCAGGAGCTGCCTTACTCTTAGGAGAAACTACAGTTTATATGAGACAATTTTATTCCACCAGTTCAGTCATCAACACAATAAAAGCCTGAAAGCCATGCTGTCTGAAATTAAAGTGCTGGTGGTGAAAATTTTGCACGAGGAATGACTGGTTAAAGATTATATATATATATATATATATATATATATATATATATATATATATATATATATATATATATATATATATATATATATGAAAAGTTCTGTTGTTTTCATTTAAAAATCATAATGATCATGCCAAGGATAACTCTATACCAATGTGCTGCAGCATAAAGCAGCAACAGCTCAGTCAAAATGAGACTGAAACCTCTCAACAGTCTAAATAGTGCAGATAAGCAACAAATAAATAAAAAACTCACTGCTTTGTGAGATATCTTTGATTTATTGTTATTGTTATTATTATTGTTGTTGTTGTCTAGGTTTGTTTGAAGAGGTAATGAAACAAGACTAATGTTATGCATTACAGTTTTATTTTGAAGGGGAGTTTAGCAGTTGGAAAATGTGTTGTGCTTAAGAACCGCTCTGTTACGAACTGTTCTCTGGATAAACAAAGAGGTTTTAAGGCGTGGGTTACTGCCGACAGTAGCTAAAATAAAAGAGTCAGAGTCATTACGTTATTAGATGAATTAATGGAATTATTACCCATACTAGTGGGCGGAACCCGTGTCGTCCACCACAAATAGGCATGTAGCATAATGACTAATTCAAATGGTTAATTACTCAGCCTTTTGTTGGTGACGCTCATACAGACGAGTGTTAGTGAGTGCAAATGTTGCTGCTCCGAGTGTATTTATTTCTGCAGAGAGCCATGAAAACCCACCTCAGTCCGCCCAGTGAGTGCCATTTCAGTGTCCTGTTAAATTCGCTGTGTTGTCGCATTTTAACAAGCTTCCCTGCAGGTTTACATCACACCCACAGAGTAGTGAGAGCATAGCGTGAAGAAAGGGGGAGAGGTGATGCAGCACACAAGGTCTCTGCTGGTTAGCGATAGGTGATCGGCTAGCACGATCGCCTCTGAAAGGCGTTGACTGGAACTTGATGATCACGTTTTTCATGGAAATTGACTAATTTTGATTGGTGGCCGATCAGTTGGAATATCCCAACATTTAACTGCCCTGATAAGACTTTTAATAAATAAAAATTTAAAAACATATTTTTATCATTTTCAAGTGAAATTTTTAGTTTTTTTTTAATTTTTATTTCTTTTTTTAGAGAAAAAAATAATAAACTATTATAGCTGAGTAGAAACAAATGGAGAAACAGACACAAGCATCATGGAGCCTGCGCAGATGGAGTCTTTCACTGCAACTTGCAAAGCTTTTATCAAGCAGCTTCATGAAATCCTTACAGAGCAAACAAACAAACTAAGCAGCTCAGGACTTGAACATCACATCCATCTACAGCATCTAAAAGCAGGTATGAATCAGCATAAACACTGAGCCAATGAGCGAGGGATCAATATGAAGAGAGGGGGGGCCGTGTGGTTCTCACCTACGTCTTTTCCATTCAGAGCACCTTTACTGTCACAGTCTTCTGTGGGACAACAAGCAGGGAGAGAAGAGAGGGTGAGAGAGGGGAGGAGGTGAAGGCGGGACTCTAAAGCAGGAAAACAATGAAGAGGGCAGTGATACAACCAAGAGTGGAAATAAAAACATTTTAAATAAAAAATGGAAAGAGAAGCAAGTAGAATCAGAGTTTCAATTTTTCATCATTTATAACTGAATCCAGCCATGAAGACGTGATGATGCGGCGGCCCCGAGGTGTAAAACACAAAACCAGACCAACACAGCAGGGAGAAACACAACATACTTTTCTAAATGTTCATTCATTCATTATGTTTTGTTGATATTTTTTTACCATGTTTTATTGCTACACCCCAGCCTTTTCCTGCTGTGTGGTTTCAGTGAGGGTTGTTGTGTTTTTCACCTCAGAGCTTACCGGTGGTGGTTTTGAGGACGAGATACGATTTCTATCACCAGGGTCGGCCTACGTACCTCTGTCAGTCCGGTCGTCTGAAGTCGGCAGTGTGAGAGCAACACAAAGCATCACTGTAGAAACTCTAACAACCCGAGTCCATCGTCTTTTAGTCTACATGATCGTAATTTCTGTCCTGGCTAACATGTTTATTTGTTGAAGTGTAGACCTAGTAAATACAATCAAAAAGCCTGATAAATGCCACATTGCTGCAGCATCTCCTCTAAACACTTAAATTCTGTGAGTTTAGCTTCATTGTAACACAGATTTGGATTTGTTTCATTTCATCTTTTAACTGTATTTTTCATTTTCCAGAGCTTAAACTCATCCTTCATAATCTCTTTATGTCCTTGAAAAAGATTGGTTTTATCCTCAAATACAAGCAATTGGATCTAAGCTTCTTGTCTTTTTGTGGTTTTAGGTCACATAGTGAAATAAAACTTACATGTAGATGCTTTGGAGGGGACAGGAGAAGGCAGGGAACCCATTTTTAATCTGTATCTCAGCCGTCTGGAAGAACAGAACCAGAACTGATGTATTCTTGATAAAAACGTGGACGTATAGAAACAAAACCATTCTTTGAGCTTACCTCTCCTGAAACTGTGTGGAAGGAATGAGAGCAGCACGCAGGTTACAGTCGCCCACCTTCTTTGCCTGCCACCAGGTGGCGTCCTCCTGGCTAACAACCTGGAGGATGTCCCCCCTCCTAAAGGGAAGTCCCGCCTCTTGGCACGGCGTTGCTTTGTCCTCAAAAGGTGTGTAGTCAAACAGAGCTCGAAGGTAGGCCTTAAAGAGAAAAGCAGGTTAGAAACCAGCCCCATTTACCTCATTTAGATCAAAATGACCCACGACCATTAGAAGAGTTTGTTTAAATTTGACAAAAGTTTTTATTTTTGTGTGGATAAAATTAGATCAACATTGCTAATAAACAATAGTTCTTTGTTTAAATCTAATTTCATCACTTTTCAAGGTGAGTTTTCAAGATTTTCCAGCACCTTAGATTGGTGATGATTTAGCACATTATAGTTCAAGCACTTATAATAATAAATAATAATACATTTTATTTAAAAGCGCCTTTCAGAACACCCAAGGTCACTTGACAGAAAACACGTAATAAAATACAATAACAATAATAAAACCCAAACAAGAAAAAAAAACAGAGAAACAGTTCAATAAAATCAGAGGTTGTAGGCAGATTTAAACATATGTGTTTTGAGTTTTGTTTTGAAAAGGGTAAAACTGTCGATGTTCCTGATGTCTGGGGGAAGTGAGTTCCAGAGACGAGGAGCAGAGCGGCTGAAAGCTCTGCTCCCCATGGTAGCGAGATGGGCAGAAGGAACTGCAAGATGGATGGAAGAAGAAGATCTGAGTGAACGGGATGGGGTGTGAATACTTATAAGGTCTGAGATATATGGAGGAGAGAGGTTGTGGATTGCTTTGAAGGTATGGAGGAGAATTTTGAAGATGGACCTGAATTTAACTGGGAGCCAGTGAAGCTGCTGGAGAACCGGGGTGATGTGGTGAAAGGAAGGGGTTCTGGTGATCCACTTACGAGGATTTCAAACATCCACAGGAACTCTTATGAGTGCTGAGCAAGAGCAGTAAACATTATTAAAAGGAAAATAAATGATCGAAAAGTAAATTTTTACCATTTAAAAGGTGCAATTTGTAAGACTGACTTCCTGTGGTTAAATGTGGTTACTTCAGTCAATTTTTTAAAGCAAAGGAAAAATGACTGTCTCACTGCCGTTTAGTGGGTTTCATGACTGTTGCCAGTTACAGATCGGCTACAGAAGATTCTAGATCACAAGCAAAGATGAGTCACACACAATAAGTTGAAAAGTAGATAAATACATGGTCATATCTGGTGTTTTACGGGGAGCACTTACTACAGTTATTACAATAGTTTGTCTTCGACATTACAGAAAGTGTCGCATGGCGTCTTGCTGTTAGCTTGCTGTTCTAATTCTGAAGAAAAAAAGCCACGGTTGACTTATTATTCACTTCAAACGTATGTTTCACTGTAATGTCGAGTTGTTGGTAACTGAAAAAGTATCTTGAGATATTTTTAGAGCTGCCTATTTGCTTTTAACTCACCATTAGCATTGCTAGTTCAATGTTAACATTTAGCTTTCTTCACCCAATATTAAGAGTAAAACAAAGGGATGATGTGGATTCTTAGGGGAAGAAATAACTTCTGGGTCGCTCCTGTTTACTGACTTAAACAACTCTGGAGCTTTGTGCCTGCTGGTGTCGAATTTCAAATTCCTATGATGCAGCGTTAGCTTGCTGCAGATTCGGCAACCTCAAAAACAGTGCTGTTTTTGGCGGGCATCTTAGTTTTAGTCTTAGTTTTGATGACAAAAATGCATTTTAGTCATAGTCAGTTTTAGTCGACTAAAATTCTAAAAGGTTTTAGTCAACAACAATTTTTGTTTTTAATTTTACAAAACTGTAAACAGAGTATTATTCTCTAACAAATGAATTTATAGGTCAGACATGTACTGAGCTACTGGAGTGAATTTCATACCAACATCATTTATTTTATGGCTATGGGACACAATCTCAGCTGCCCCAGATTTTGTAAAACAATAATCCCCAGACTGGTATCATTTTTTTTTTACTTTATTGATAATCACAATAGTGTATATAATTTATTGATGCAGATCTGTGCATCAGTCAGTAGATTTTCACAAAAGAAATTTATGATTTTCTTCAGAATGGACTCTTAGGGAGCCTAGAGTATTCTACACAATATTTATACAGACATAAAGAAATGTGTTTGTTTAATTTATTATTTGTTATCAGACTTCCATCTTGAAAGTATATTGTGGCAAAGTCCACCTAAATGCAGCCATGTGCCTTGAGATGACTCTTGTCGTGATTTGGCTCTATATAAATGAACTTGAATTTGATGTTTTTCCACAAACTGAAGTGTTGTGAGTTTTCAGGAGCCTACAGACCTAATACAAATAACCCAGTTCTGCTCGTTAGCATCAACAGAGATGTTCATGAACATTTAGATGGGCTTAAACTGTTCTGTTGTTGGGTTAAAAAGCAGGAATGTGACCTGTTATTAGGAACCGGGAGCAGAGAATACAATCCTGACACACTGGCTTTAAAACATTTGTCTAAAACGTGTTCAGACAAAACCTGTTAAAAACAGTACTTTATTTGTATCTGCCTAAAAGCATGAATTTTCAGGAAGCACACAGATTAGAAACGTGTTAATATTATGGATATATTTAAAAGTAGCAACATGATCTCGTAGTAGCATCAATGAGCAGCTGAGCGCTGCGCGTTCCCACGGCAGGGAAGTGCTGAGCCGAGCTGCGTGAAGTTGGCTTCCAACCCACATCAGAAATGCATGCAGAGTTGTTAGTGCTTTCTTGTGTGGGTGGGAAGCCAGCTTCACTCAGCTGCTGAGCAGAGGACACACAGACAGCAGCAGCAGCGCTGACAGAGTTACAACTTTTGTGAGACAGGCAGAAATGAGCATAGTTTTTGTCTAGCCTCGGCTCCTTAATGAAAACTCCCGTTCGTCTCGTCATGTTTTAGTCACCAGAGCTATTTTTAGCTCGTCTGCGTCTCGTTTTCGTTATGAAAAAGGGGCGTCAACGAAATCAGTTCGGCTTACAAACTCAGTGTAAATAATAACTATGCACCTGCTTCTGTGTTGCCTTTTTTTAAGGAGAAAAACTGACAACCCCCATCTGGCTGAGAATCTGTTTCAATGCAACCTTCCTTCCTACTTGATTGACAAATTAGACTCTTGTGATTATTTTACTGTAGAATTCCTACAAATTGCACCTTTAAGAACTGATAGACCAGTTTATGGAAATGAACCAGATGAAAATAAATTTATGGGAAAATAGAAAAAATTTCCATTAGTTTCTTGTTGCTTTTTAAGCCAAAGCTTATGTTGAACATTTACACTTGAGCACAAACGGCTTATTGACAGTAAAAAAACATCAGTTCAATAAATCTTTACTTTTTTTAAAAGATAGAAAGCAAAGAAGTTGAAAGACGAGAAAAGGTCAGAACTTAGTTTATTACTACTAAGATTTTTTTAGATGACAGTCATGTACTAGGGCTGCAACAAACGATTATTTGGATAATCGATTAATCGGATGGGGTCTCGACACGATTAATCGGATTACATGGGGAAATTTTTTAAAACTGCTAGGGAAACGTTATTTCTCTCCTTCCTTCACTTTATTTAACACAACATTATTAGAAAACAGTTCAATAGCAGAAAAACAACATGCCATCACCTAAAGTGTCTTATAAGGTGTATAGACAGACCCTAAGCTACATCTATCTGTGACCTAAAATGCTTGGTCCAAGTTAAACGGCTTAAGGGCAATTCTCATCTGTTTTGTTTGATCTCATCTGTTGACATTTATTATAACTGGGGATGTCAAACAACTAATTTTTAAATGTAATTAAACATTGGCTGTGAATTAATCAAAATTGATCACTATTTCCAAAAATGACTGAAAAAATACCAAATAAAACAAAAGTAAATGAATGCCATCCTCCTTGCGATGATGCCCTGGGCAACTGCCATAAAGTCACATCAAGAAATGCTGCTGATCATTCCAATGATCCCAAATAGACTCACATTAGGCCACATGAAAGCAACTGAACCCAAAAATATATTAACCAGTATATAACTGCACTCTCACACAACACGCCTGCAGCAACAGTTAGGACTCCTCCCTCCCTTTTAAAAGCGTTTTTGCTTCCGAGGACATTGTGGTTGTAAAACCACATGCTAGTAGTCTGGCCCCGGTGTAATCAACCAGTTTCTGCGGGAATGTGACGGCGGAACCAGGGCCAGATTAACACTTTGTTGTACCCTGGGCAACAATATTCAAGGGCTCCATCATCACGACCCAAGAATCACCATAATATGGTCACATACAGAATATTTTACTGTAATATGCAGTAAATATACTCAATACTTGAATGCCTGACAACACGAAACCCGCCCAGAGTAACCTTTGACCCACCTCATGTGGACTGACCATTGAGGAGAGGGTCTTAACTTGAGGCCCTCTCTTCATTGGTCAATCTGCATGAGACTGACTCTCAACTGACGTTCAGTCATAGGCAGCGAAGCGTCTCTGTGCAGCGCAAAAGCCCGGGTGGACAGTTTGTTTAATAGGGTGACCATATTTCCATTTCCAAACAAGAGGACAGGGGATCTGTGCCTATGACATCACACTATGGCAACGCCACACAAACCACGTTGGGACCCATTTTTTTGTAAGAACTAAATTAATATCAGATTCTGCCAATAAAAGGGCTCTAAAACAATTCATATGTAAATATTTTGCATATTTAATGCAAAATCTCATTTTTCTGCTTTAGTGCTGCAACAAGGTTTTATTAATAATAATTATACCTTTTGTTTTACTACAGCATTGGTAAGCTTCCTGTGCACAGATTATTAAGGATGCTTGTTTCAGCTGTGAGATTAGACGATAGGATCAATGAAAAAATAAGTTGTCCCACACTCCATGGAAACTTTCAGAGAATCCACAAATAGTGGCTTTCAAGTAGTTTTGTTACTTTTTGCAAGTTTAGAAAAGAAGCAGATGAGACAGCTTGTCTGATAATTTAGTTTTTCATCTGATAATATTAGAACATGTCAGTAATGTCTGAGGGGCTTTTACAAACAATGTATAACTAATACTACTGGAGAGGGTATGAATTACACAGAGGCTTCTGGGGAGCCCAGTTATTGGGGGGGGGGGGGGGGGGGGGGGCATTTTGCCTTGGCCCCCAAAATGTCTTGAAACGGCCCTGGGTGTGTGACTGAGTTTTGAAGGTGACCTGAATTGTATCAGACGTATAAATATTACATGTGTATAACTTATTGTTTTTTACTGGTAAAAACGTGTAGTGAAGATAAATCTACCTACATTTTACTTTTCAACACTTTGTTTTGTTTTCTTGTTTTTATTTAACTATTTTCCTGTCCTGTCTGTCTCTCATCTTCCTGCATCTCCTCTTAATTCTCCAGAAAATCTGTTGCCTGGATTCTTACCTTTTCACCTCATCAGTTACTTTTGAGCAGATCAAAGGGATCTGCGCAAAGCGCAGAGCGCGTTTTCGATGCTGCGTGAGGTGAAATCACCGCAGCACAGGTGATGAGCTCCGCAGTAGCGCGCTTCAGGCACAAATAAGACAGAAAATAGAGAACATGTGCAGACATGAACGATCGTGTGCTAATTATAGTTTTTTGGTTGCGCCACTTTGAGAATGGACCGTGCGCTGGAAGCAGCTGCCTGGATCGCTGCGCAACAATGCGCTGTGCCGCTCTCTGCTCAAGAGTCCAAAAATGATATAATATAGAAAACTTTTTTCCGGCTCCCCGGATGTGTAGGATATCCAGCTCCCCCATAATTCGATCCCTGCTCCTGGATGAAAAGCCGGACATTTTCATCAATACAAGAACCCGCAGTCCGGATGCCCGGACAGAGAGTGAAAAGTGGACAAGTCTGGGGAAAACGGAACGTACGGTCACCCTAGTCCTCATAAAGCGGGAAATTATAGATACAGGATTGTGCTCGTGCCCTGGGCCCTTTAGAGTTCGTGGGCCCTGGGCAATTGCCCAGTTAATCCGGCCTTGGGCGGAACCGGTTCGCAGCAGCGCGAACCTTGCACTGATCTGCCGGCTCTCCCTCACGCTGATCTGCCGGCTCTCCCTCGCGCTGATCTGCCGGCTCTCCCTCGCGCTGATCTGCGGCTCTCCCTCGCGCTGATCTGCCGGCTCTCCCTCGCGCTGATCTGACTTGCTCTGCGCGCAACGGCGGGCGGGAAGGGGGGGCGCTTTTGGGAGAGTTGTGCGACACAACGAATCGATGACGCAATTCGTTGCCAACGCTTTTAGTAATCGATTTTCATCGAATTTATCGATTCGTTGTTGCAGCCCTATCATGCACCACTGTTTTTTTTCTCTTTTCCTGTTGTCCTCACCCTGCTCTCCCTCAGTTTGTCTTCTTCTGCCACGGCTGGGATGATTTTCAGTGTGATGGAGCCTTGAGACTGAGACTAAAACAGAGCAGCATTTTATCACACACAATACAATTGTTAGACCTGTAACATTTACCTGAACAAGTATTTTCTAATTACCAGAATCTGACTGATCTCCTCGGGCCGTTTGTGGGTTATCAGGTTTCCATTAACTTCTCGGAGCTCATCCCCAACGTGCACCAGACCTGGAGATGAGACACGTCTGCAGGCGTAAGATACTGACCCAAAGCAAACTCCAGTGTGTGCGCGTGTGTTTGTGTGGAGTATTTTTAGACACTCAGTAATAACCAAAAAAAAAACTTTTTCTAGTTGGCAATAAGTCAACTATATCTCCATGGAAACAGCTAGTCATCCGTAATCTCAAAATATGCAATTTTGCGGCAGTAATCCCAAGGATTTTATGTCTGTTTACAGTTCAAGAGGGCTGACGCAGATTAATCTCCTCGGTTCTCTGTCCATGTATCAGCCCTGATAAGATGGACGGCTGGCGTAGAAGAGAAAGAGATTACTGCACTTTGTGTCTACAGTAGTTTAGGATTATTTACATATGCAGCAGCTGTAATCTTCTATGTTCATTTTTCCCTCCACATCACTAAAAATCTGACTAGAATGGTATCCAGCACTCACCACTGCGGTCAGCCGCCCCTCCCCTCATGATCCTGGCCACAATCACAGCTCCAGTAACCTCGTCTCTGCGGATCGTTGCTCCCTGAACAACAACAAAGAACTATATTTTCACTTTTCTACCCAATGACCTCATGCAGACCTCTGATAGGCTAGTGAACCAGTGTGTGTACACTGCGGCTGAAGGAAAGCAATGTATAAAAAAAGTTCACCGGCTGTAACTCACAAGAATGAAAATATTCTGGAAGGTGATGTTTGGTCGCCTCACTGCTGCGATCCAAGCGAGCTGATGAGACTTTGTTATGCTAGATACTTGCTCTCTGACTATGCCTCCAAGCAGGAAAACGGTGAAACGTTAGCAGAGGTGTGACTAAGTCACTGCTTTGCAAATCACAAGTAAGTTAAGTCTTTCCAGTCAAGTCTCGAGTCAAGTCCAAGTCAAAGGAAATCAAGTCTAAGTCGAGTCCAAAGTCAATGATGTGGAAGTCCAAGTCAAGTCCAAGTCCTTATCTTTGAATTTTCAAGTCATAATCAAGTCAAGCTTCTTACAGCTTCATTTATTTGCTGAAACAAGCAGGAAGTGCAACAGAAACTGATTATAAACAAAGAGCTGCTGAATTTAGCAGAACAAGATCTAACCCAGAACAAAGAATGGTTTATGATTTTTGTCCATGTTATGCCACTTTTGTGCTAAAATATCAAATATGCTCAAGTCATCAAGTCAACAGATGCAAGTCGACTCAAGTCGCAAGTCATTGGCATTCGAGTCCGAGTCAAGTCGTAAGTCTTTATAGATTTTATCAAGTGAAGTCAAAGCCATTAAAATAATGACTTGAGTCTGACTCGAGTCCAAGTCATGTGACTCAAGTCCACACCTCTGAAAGTCAGCCCGTTTTCCACCATTTTCTCTAGCGATCACGAGTTGCATTCCACCACACAGCAACAATTTACCATGGATGCGTAATATAACCGATCAAATGAATAATAGATTAAATTGAGCCGCAAGACCGAGAATGAGCGCCCCATTGTCTGGAGTAACAAGCATTAAGTAAGAACTTGGAGGAAAGAACAGGGCGGCCGCGTTGGTGATGACGACACAATCCCAAGCCCTATTGTTAATAGTTGAGCTCCTCCTCCTCAGGTCACCAGCTCAGCTGTGGAATAGCATCTCAGTCCTCAACAAGGAGTTGCTGAAGTTCAACCAGCATGGTGGCATTGGTCACTCTAGTATGTACAGCATGTCCAAGAGCTGTCCATTAGGAGCCAGTCAGATGTCAATCATACACCCGTGACTGGAGCACACCTGACATCTCAAAATGGTAAATGGCCTGCATTTATATAGCACATCTTAGGAGAGGATACTCAATATAATTCAACACGATGATATGAAATTGTATCATGACACACGTGTGACACAATATCACCTCTAACTGAATCTGTAAGTTTGTTATGACCCGGTCTTGGTTCCAATGAGAACCAGGTTCCTGTTCTATCCAAACAGGAGCCTTTGTCCTCACAGACACCGTAAAACAGTTGGTTCTGTTGTTCCTGAATAGAACTGGAATAAGAACTAGAACCAAACGGATCTGGTGTAAGCAGATTTGGACCTAACTTGACTAGACTGCAATGTCTATGGTTCGGCCTTTTGTGCCCCCAAAATTCCTTTCTTCTCTTACCAGCGGCTCCTTGTTCTTAACCAGGCGGACGATCTTCACAGATTCCTCTTCAAAATCATCGTCCAAATCCTCTGGCAACGGTGGAAGAACTGGATCAAACTTCTTTTGGGCCACGATGTCATGAGCCGACAGCACTGCCTGCATGGCCAAGCAGCAACAGACGTATTGGTAACATTGCTTGATTGAAAAAAGTACTATAAGCTATAGTGTGTGTGTGTGTGTGTGTGTATGTGTGTGTGTGTGGTTTTTTTCTTGTAAATGAGGGCTGAAATTTCCCTAAAGCTTACAGAAGATCCATTAGCTTGTGCATAATCAGTCTGAGTGAAATTGGCAGCATGAACCCGGAGGATGGGAGAGAGGTGCTGACAGCTCTGATGCCGGGCTTATATCATCGATGATCAACTTGGAGACACATTAGGCATCATCGGGGGGAGCAGTCATTCAGAAGGTTCAGTCTCAGACGAAATACTGCAAACGTTTAGCTGGGACGAGAGAGTTCACATGTCCCCCTTTTATCTGTTAGTCTGTGAGGGAAAACCACCTAAAACGTGTACCTTTAGGTGAGGGGTGCTCAGCAGGAGCAGAAGTTCTCGCTCGTCCTCCTGCAGAGCGCCGCTCTGAAGCTCCTCCGCCAGCTGATCGTGATTTAGGGAAGAGAAGATTAATTTCAGACATCTAGTTTGCACTTAATGTTTACATACCGTCTATGTAGAAGTGAAATGGCCTTGCACTTAGTGCTGGATATTGATTCTCAAGATTTAGAACCGATTATCATGATTCCATCCAGTCGGTCCCGATCTGATATTGAGTCGGGTTAGCGATTTTAAAACTGATGTTTTTAGCCGTTACCTTAATTACATGTTTGTAGTTATGCTGTCAGGCTGAACTACTCAACACATTCAGAGGAAGTCAGGTGTCGATACCTGCATTATTTAGAAAATAATAAATTCGGCCAAAAGCTGTGGCTGTTGAACACTAATGACCTTTTATTTCAGTTAATATTAAAAAAAAGACGTTCTTTGCCAGCGTAGCCTAAAGTAACAGCTGACATTTTTGTGAGCGAATTAGAAATGGATCTTTCTGAATTGTTAGGAGAATCGATTCTGAATCGGAGAATCATTTTTTAAGCGCAGCACTACTTGCACTTACATCCTCTGCCAGACAGGAGGCACTGTGTAGGACTGGAGTGGGACTGTACTTCTCATACTGTCTCAGCTTCTCGTGGATCTGAGATGTGCAGCAGATTAACACCAACTAGTGACCATTCATCTAAAAACATCAGTAGTCATGCCACTTTAACAGCAATAAAACCTTTAAAGATGTATTTTGTTGTTAATGTTAACTGGTTAAAGTCAGAAACATAGCTGATACGTTTTTAATAAAACATCTTCTCAACCTTCATGAGGTAGCTAATGCTTTTCTCACTGAAGACGTCTCTGAGGAAGACCAGGTCCTCTTTGTGGTTTGCATCAGGGTGAAGCTGGGATGTGAGAAGGGCCAGAGTCTCGTGCAGCCCTGACAACCAATAAAAAGTTGTTTTTGTAAAACTACTTTGGTTTCATTTCCTCTTCAAGCATCTTTCTTTCGTAGCTGAGCATCTACACTGCAAAAACGGACTTCTACGAATGTTTAAAATGCCTTTAGACATGACAAAAATCTGCCAATAGGGTAAGCAAAAGTTCTTTGGCTAGAAATCTGAAAACTAGCAAATGATTCAAATTTTTGATTATTTTGCTAGTTTTAAGAATTCTAGCCAAGCAACTTTTGCTTACCCTATTGGCAGATTTTTTTTTACTCAAAACAAGAAACTTTGGATCATATGTAAGAATATTTACCCTTTTTTAAGTGTTTTCTGAAAAATGTATTTACTTTTTAGACTAAGAACAAGATAAAAGGTCTAAAAATTAGTTTGTTTTTTACTTTCATAGAAATCCGTTTATGTAGTGGAAAACTTAAAGCAGTGTGTTAGCTTCATTTGTTTATTCATCTTGACTAAATAACTTTTCCATCCTTTTCTCCCTTCAGACTGAAGTAATGAATCCATATTAATGCAAACCGGCCGTAAGACAGCTCGTGCATCACTCAGAGGCTCTACCTGTGCTTGCAGACACGATGGGCATGGCTTCGATCATTCAGAGGATGAAGAACAGACAGAAGGACGGAGACGAAGGACAGCTGCAGAACCTCGCCAACTCCTGGATGACATTAGAATCACAAAATAGAAACAAAAACAAAATACATACATGTAGACCTTTTGCTTAATTCATATTTTTTAATTCTCTGCATGGAGCTTTTAGAGCAGGGGTAATCAATTCCGGTCCTGGAGGTCTGGTATCCAGTACGTTTTAGTGGTTTCTCTGATTCAACACATTGATTCAGCTGTACAGCAGCTCACCAGGCTCTGCAAAAGCCTGTTAATCACTTGCTGATTGATATCATGTGTGTTGAAATAGAGTTAAAACTAAAACGCGCTGGATACCATTCCTCCAGGCCCAGAATTGAATACCCCTAGCCTGGCAAGCCAGACTAAATAAATATTTTATTTATAAATTAAAATAAAGAATTTTTTTTAAATTAAATAAATATATTATTTAGTCTGGCAACGCTTCACTGGCAGCTCTCGGTTAACTTAAATACATCTACGTGCTCCTGATTCTAATGAAGCCCCAGCCCAAATAGTCCAAAATTAATGTAAAAGCTGTTTCAATGGAGCTGTCACCATCTTGGTCCACTCTGTTGCACCATCCCGCCCACCAGATGAAGGGCCCTGATTGGCCCACAAAGCAGATAAAGCGCCGTGATTGGTTCACAAAGCAGAGCACTATGATTGGCCCACCATTATGGAGCAATCACTGCTCTCTATGTGAAACCCCTCTAGAGAGCTGTGATTGGCCAGCCAGAATGCTGCTAGAGGCTGCAGAGGTTCCAATGGAGCGTTCCTAGACCAAACTTTGCAAAGCAAGAATTTGGTCTAGTTCACTAGGCTAGAATACCCCTGATTTTAGAGAGTAGTTATTGATCATCTTTTTTCTTTCTGATATAAAAACTAGAGATGTTCAAATTTACAAATAATTATGTCAAACGTGAAAACCCCACTAAGGGTTTAAATGGGGGAGGGGCTTAGAGTTCACCTTTCCAGTACTTATAATGCAGCTTTGAATCTCATTCCTAAGCAGTTCAGTCTAAGTCACACCTTCTTGCATCTAATCAACATGACTCCCTCTCAGTAGAGGCCAATGACTCATCCGGGGATGGAGAGGCAGGGTACCCAGAGTAGTTTTTGATCGTTAAATAACAACAGACAGCTACAGCTTATAAGCTTGACTCTCCCATATTCCAGTTAGAATTGACAAAGCTCCTCGGATGAGAAGTGAGACGTCTTCAAGAAACCAAACAAGTCCAGTTGCCTTCATTTGAACCCTTTGGATTACCATGCATGACCTGGATGACTGAGAACCTTCACCAGCATTTTGAGCATAGTTTTCATTTAGTCTTGGCTCGTTAATGAAAACTCCTGTTCGTCTCAGCATGTTTTAGTCACCAAAGAGCTATTTTTTGCTCGTCAGCATCTCGTTTTTGTTATGAAAAAAAAAGGGGGGCATCAACAAAATCTATTCGGCATCGTTTTCGTTAACGGAAACAACACTCATTCCAATCACGTTTTTTTTTTTTTGCTCCCGATTCAATTCCGAGTCATTTAATTTTGAGTATCTGCTGATACCAAGTCCGATCTGATATTCTTCAGGAGTTTTTAGAGAATACAAAAGAATAAACTCTATTGATCCCACAGCAGCACCAACACTTATTAATTTGAAGGAGAAATAATAACAAAAGTACATGTTTATACACATAGGCAGTAAGCTAATATTGTAACCTTAGACCACTAACAACAACATTTTTATAATGTGTTTTTATTGTGAATTTATTTAAAAGTAGCAGCGTTGCTCTTATTTCAACTTCTTTACCCCTTCAGCTGTATTTAGCGATGTGTGTTTCCGTGACGGAGCTGGCACGCAGCGTCTCGGCAGACAGGCTAACTTTTCCCTGCATAACACCCGTAGCTACCGCGGGCTGCAGGAAACAACCAGACTTCTAGCACTTTTTGTCTGAGTTTGATGTAAACTGGAACTGTTAGTGGCAAACTAGGAATTAATGAAGACTGGTGATTTGCTTTGTTGATGCCCAAAGGGAAAAGCCAAAAGTGAAAATAGTCTGTTTGAAGGCAGCGAATCATAGAGCTTTGTCTTTTCCAGCATGCTGAATGCCCAGTATGCAAACATTACAAGTGTCTGTAGCTCTGCCTTCTCTGCTGGGTTTAAAATACCATCAAGCTGAAGACATTTTAGCTCTACTGAGGAGACACGCTAGCACTGTATTGGAGTCTAATAAAATATAAAAACTGGCATCAATCATCTTAGGTGTGTTCTTGCTGTGTCTTTCTAAATCCATGCTTTCGTTCTTTTTTAAACACAGAAACAGTTTTGTTTACCTGTTTGTAGCTACAGTTTCGCCGACGGCTGCCGGCTTCTTCAGGCTGACGCTGATGGTGGCGCGTCACTTCCTTCTCCGTTTATCTGCGGGCAGCAGAGGACGTTGTCGCCCTCTACTGCCCGCTCTCCCCTCTCCGACAATGCAGTCCCATGCGTGGTCCAGCGTGTAAACTCCGTCGTCCCTGTTCATGGTCCCACAGCCACGTCTCCTTATCTCGATTGCTTCCTTGATCCATCTTTTGTATTTTTGTTGTTCGGTGGTTATGATCCGTGTGTTGTCCCAGTCCATTATATGGTTTTCTCTTAAGCAATGATCTGTTACGGCTGACTTTTTTATTGTACTTTCTGCTTCTTCTTTTGCTGCTCTTGTGTGTTTACGATTTGCCTCTTTCTCGCACTCCTTTCCGTGTTCTATTGTCCGTGTATTGAGTTGGCGTCCGGTTTCTCCTACGTATGTTTTATTGCATATTTTGCATGGGATTTCGTAGATGACTCCACATTTTTGTCCAGCTGATATTTTGTCTTTTGGGTGTACTAGTCTGTTTCTAACTGTTGTGTATGGCTTTGTTGGTGTGTTTATGTTGTGTTTTTTCATTGTTGCTCTTATTTTTTCCGTTATGCCTCTGATGTATGGTAGGGTTATCACTGGTTTTGGTTCTTGTCTTTCTGGGTTTCTGGTTCTTTTTTTGGGTTGTTCTTTGCTTTCCATTTTTGTTTGTTGTTTTCCTTTGTTTATTGCCCATGTCGGGTATGCGCAGGTCTTTAAAGCGTGTTGTATGTGTTTGTCCTCTTGTTTACGGTCTCTCTCTTCCGTTATTATGTTTGCTCGGTGATACAATGTTCTGATTACTGATATTTTGTGTATGGTGGGGTGTTCTGATGTCCATAATAAATATTGGTCTGTGTGTGTTGGTTTCCTGTATGTGTTTATGTTTAGGGTCCCGTCGGTCTGCCTGGTGATTTTCATATCCATAAATGCTATGCTGCCTTCTGTTTCTAACTCATAAGTGAATTTTATGTTGCCCGTGTCATCAATATTGTTTAAGTGTTGTGTTAGTGTTTCTGTTTGGTCTTTTGGTATGATTTCCAGTATGTCATCCACGTAGCGTTTCCATAGTTTTATTTTGCAGTTTGGGGGGGCGGTGGCTATGGCTTTTTGTTCTAGGTCTTCCATGAAAAACTCGCACAGGGTGGCTGATAACGGGTTACCCAGGGCGAAGCCTTCCAGTTGTTTGTATATTGTGATGTCGTATGTGAAGTAAGTGGAGTTAGCTACCAGTCCTATCAGTTGTGCTATGTCGTCTGCTGTGAGTAGAGGGTGACAACGTCCTCTGCTGCCCGCAGATAAACGGAGAAGGAAGTGACGCGCCACCATCAGCGTCAGCCTGAAGAAGCCGGCAGCCGTCGGCGAAACTGTAGCTACAAACAGGTAAACAAAACTGTTTCTGTGTTTAAAAAAGAACGAAAGCATGGCATCAATCAAATAAGCACAAACAGGTATTTTAGTAAAGCTAGAAAACTGCACAGAGTTTTGGCTAGCAGCTATGAACGTAACCGAACTACGGAAGCTCTGCATGGACAAGACGTCTCAAATTCTAAACACAAAAGACCAATAAACAGGACACACTTCTTTCCTGCTAATACATTTTCACAGTTGATGCTAATACCTATGCTCCTTCAAGGGATGTGCTCCTGGCTGCAAAGCATTGCACCTTCAAATACAACATTTTGTCTTTACTTGTGAGTGTTTATGTAGACAAATACACTTGTTGATATGATATTTAGATAAATATGTAAACATATAAACTTGTTTATATTCAGTACAAGTTAGGGTTTTTTGTTGGTTCCATTATTTGAAAAATAAGAGAAAAGCCCCTTGAGAAAATAATCGTGAATCAAATCGCAATTGCAATACTGAAGAAAAATATCGCAATTAGATTCTTTTCCAAAATCACTCAGCCCTAATAATGAACTCCTTAAAAATGGCCAAAAAGGACAAAAAAAAACCGTTGTGTGACGCTAGCAGAAAGCTTCATAAAGCACAACATTTGTCATTTAAGCACCACCCAAATGTAAATGCCAGTATGAAGAGCGATGTGACCACGAGACCACTGACAGTGATCAATCGATTCACTACAGCTGAAGCTTGGCTGCAACTGTTAGCTGCTCTTCTTGCCGAGACATGAAGCTTTCATTTCTGCTGCACCAGAGAGAAGCTACGTCAAATTAAACTGGCCGCTTTAATTCATCATCACCTAGGCAACGTTGTTATACTTTATTAGGATCTACTTTAATAAGAGGGCCAGTAGGAGATTGTTAGGGTTTATTTGTTTCAGTTTATTTCTCTTTGCTTTGAGACACAAAACTAAGAAAGTTAACAGAATTGAACAAAACTAAGAATATGAAGTTGTGTTCATTTGCAGCCGTTTCTGGAACACGTTCAATTTTTAGGTTTAATACACTCCTATAAGGCTTCCCTATAGCCAGAGGTGTCCACGTTCATGCTGGAGGATAAACCGTAGTCAGTTCATTAATTATTTCTAAGTACTGATTTGTTTTTCCTCACACAGAGATGTTCAGGACCACAGGTGAGATTATTACAGAGTTTGCTTTCCTCATATTTTGTCTTTGATTAAAAAATTGAAAGTCAATAATATCAGCATTATGGGACTTTTAGAAACAGGCTTTATGAGACTCATCATTGT